GGGTCTTAACCTACTCCGCGCCTGGCTGGATTATCAATCGACTACCCCTAAACCCACTGGCCAGATACATTTCAGCTTTCTCCATAGGAACCGAGTCTTCTACTCCGTGCTCCCGAGCAATGCCAAAGCTAGAAATATTAGTTATTTATAGCAACAATCTGTCATCTACCCAGCTAAACCTGGGGAGATACTTATCAATCACTATCAATCGGTAGTGAAATTTGGCTGGGGACCACGCTCAACGGTATGGCTCGCGCGAGATATGACAAGGCATGTACATGCTTTGCCGGCGGTGGTTTGAATCTAAGTAATTAATAGTTTATTAACTTGATCTAGATATATATGGCGGTCTGAGTGCTTGGTAGCCTCGAAATAATAAATAACCGCAGTTCCGACGACGCCCAGCGTGAGGCTGACATCGAGAATCACATTGCACGACAAGACCCATCACACCGTGGTCACGGGATCAGCCGAACCCGCCTTGAGAGTTTTCAAGGTGGCCGGCTTGGATGAAAAACATTTGTGTTTAGCGTATGAACCGATGCGGGAGCCGCTCTGGATACACCAAAAGGTTTTAAGGACCAGAGCCTCCCCTTCCAAATTGTAAAAGCTTACATTCTTATCCTCCTTGCTGGGCCTGACTACCTTCACTCGAGTTTTGAATTTTGTCAGTTGTGTGCTTATCTGACTTCTGAGAGAAGGAAGGCCGCTCATCGGCTGATGAAGCATCTGATTTTCAAATGAGAAAGGATTTCAGTGCTACAGAGACCCAAAGACTAGTACTAGCATTTCTCAACTACTCAGACTCCAACCAGACTTCCCAACCAAAATTCAGAAGATACTGATAGAAGTTACAAGATTCTGGCATAAATGCCAATGAAAAATCCAGGAGCAGGGAGTTGATCAGGGAAACAGAAAGATCAACTCCATTATACTACTGTCTGGAGTGCTCTTTCACCATCAAGCCCTGTCATGCCCTTCCAAGGTCATTGGTCCAAGGAGACTAAAGCTCATGATAGATGAATCATTACCAGCCCTGGGCCTAAAAGTCATTAACTGAGAAAGAGATGCTTAATGGGCATGGGAACAAGATAGAAAACTATTGTGATTACCATAATGCTCCTACTTTTGTTAGCTAGAGTGATAGCAGAAAGGGGGCAAACATTCAACTCCAGAATGTTGCTCGCCAGTTTACCTTGTCTGCCATGCAGTACAATAACCTGCATGTAGATTCCGGAAGATGATGGTGCAGAATGTCCCAAGCTGTAGCAGAGCTATATTCACCTTCTTCATATACTGTCTCCGGCACATTGTTTCACCCATTCCATTGATAGAGCCTAAGCCTTTGATCCAGGCTCAAATTGGCTGCATTCCCTTGCAGATATCAATGCGTTGACAGTACCTGGAAAAGCGCAGTTCCCGTGGGAGTTGGCAAAACAAAACTTTTACTAGCTTCCATTCATCTTTGGCTTGCAGACTGTTTTGAAGCAAAAACAATTGTATTATGATTGTGAGTATATATACTCCGTATAACTAATAGTTTTGGGGAGGAAACATTCTTGACGTTGCGGGCGGGCCAAGTCCATTGGCTGGACTGAGCAAACCTCACCAACTTGGCACCTTCTCCGATTTACGTCACCAAACTAGCTCAACGCACAATCCGGGGCGACAAGCTCGTCGTGCCTGTGGAGTGTTACCAGCTGGGTTCAATTGAGCATGCAGTCATCAACCCTTGGATCGCCTTTTGACATTTTAATTGCCACTGCATTGACGCAGCAAGGTTTCTCTGCTCCCTCCTACTGAATTCTAAAGCTGTGCGTGTCAGGCTGATAGAGGGACGTGACTCTATGGTATGGCAATGGGCAATGCGTCTTGATGAGCGTATCCATTGACGCCTCACAATTCCTCATATACTTAGGCTAACCTGGGCATGTCCTTTCTAGAACACTTGACGCCGACCCCAACCTCGTTTACGCCAATGCCCGCGCCTGTTGAAACCAAACGTTTCAACAGATCGCCGTCATATCCTGCGCGCATCCTTCCCGATTGACCCAATGTTTTTATCCGCTAATTAGTTCAATACTTCAAGATGCTGGAAGGCCTCGTGACGAACCTGCTCAACAGGTTCCTGGGCATGTACGTTAAAAACTTCGATGCGACACAGCTGAACGTTGGAATATGGTCCGGAGATGTAAAGCTACGAAATCTCGAGCTACGTCGAGACGCCCTAGACCAGCTACACCTACCCCTAAACGTCATTGAAGGGCACCTTGGGCAACTCACACTGTCTATCCCTTGGTCTAACCTGAGAGGAAAGCCCGTAAAGATCGAAATTGAAGATGTTTTTTTACTGGCGGCGCCGAAGGAGGACGCCAGTTATGATCCGGTGGAAGAAAAAAGAAGGGCGCATGAGTTGAAGATGGAAAAGCTGGAGAGCGCCGAGCTGCTCAAGGACCAGCGCTCAGAAAGCATGAGCAAGGAAGAGCAAATGAAAAACCAGAGCTTCATGCAAAGCCTAGTGACTGCTATCATCGATAATATCCAAGTGGTCATTAAGAATGTACACTTTCGGTACGAAGATTCTATCGCTGTCCCGGGACATCCATTCGCCGCGGGTATAACCCTCAAGGAGCTCAGTGCGGTAAGCACAGACTCTGAATGGAGGCCCACCTTTATTCAGTCTACCTCCGAGACAAGCCACAAACTAGCAGTATTAGGCGCTTTGGCTACCTACTGGAATACCGATGCAGAGTTGTTTAGCCAGGGAAGTAGTGTCAATGGTGAGGCGGTACCGGTATCTCAAGAGGAGCTAGTGGACAAATTCCGCAAGGGGATCGAATCCCATGACAATGGCCAGTATATATTGAAACCGGTTAGCGGGAAAGCAGGGCTTGAGATGGACAAAACTCTGAGCACCGACCGTCCAAGGGCAAAGGCTAAATTGATTTTTGACGAGCTTGGCTTTGTCGTTGACGATCACCAATATCGTGATGCTTTGATGCTCGTTGACCTCTTTCATTCTTTTATCCGCCATCGAGAATATAAGCAGCTGCAACCAAAGTGTACGCCAAAGGAGGACCCTCGCGCTTGGTTTCAGTTTGCTGGCAATGCTGTCCTTGGAAAGATTCATGAACGGAATCGACGGTGGACGTGGGATTATATAAGAGAACGAAGGGACGACCGCAAACGATATATTGATCTATACAAGAAACAGAAAAGGAATATAACCCTCTCCGCTGACGAAACCTCTGACTTGAAACGCTTGGAAGAGAAATCATCATATGAAGACCTCAGATTCTGGCGATCATTGGGAAGACATCAACTCAAAAAAGAACATGTCGTCGCTCCGAAACAGCCGGCGCAACAAACCTGGTCAGAATGGATCTGGGGTTCTAAGAAACAAGAAACTGACGAGACCACAATGACCGAAGAGCAGCGAAAGGAACTATATGATGCCATTGACTGGGATGAGAAGAAAGCCATCACTCAATCCATCGACGTACCTCGAGACTCTGTGAAGCTCCTCATTGAGTCTAGCCTTAGGGCAGGTAGTTTTACATTGAATCGAAACGAAGGTGGTAAAGTTGAAGAAGTTCTCAAGCTTGTCTTCGACAATTTCAAGGCGAAAGCGTTGCAGAGGCCTGATTCATTTCTTGCGCAAATCAACCTCGGAGGTTTGCGACTATTTGACAGCACCACAGAAGGAACACTTTTCCCGCAAATAATTCGGGTAAAGGATGCTGTCACTCAGGGCGACCTTGATTCTCCTGACCTTGAAAGCCTTGGATCCGAAAGCGAGGACGTTGACCTGGAGGATAGTTTATTCTATTTACAGTTTGAAAAGAACCCTCTTGATGGATCCGCAGACTCGGCTCTCACAATGAAGCTTAAGAGTATTGAAGTCATTTATAATTCGCGGGTTTTGGTTGAAATTGTTAACTTCTTCCGGCCGCCTGAGCGCCATATGGAATCGATTGGCGCGCTCCTGGAGACTGCCGGTGCAACGGTTGAGGAAATCCGCCAACAAACCCGAGCAGGACTTGAATTTGCACTGGAAGAACACAAAACCATCAATGCTCAACTCGATATTCAGGCTCCTGTCATTATCATTCCAGAGAGCATCACCAGTGAAAGCTCAACCTGCCTGATTCTTGACGCCGGTAATGTCCGCGTCCGAAGCGAACTTGTTAATAAGGAGACCATGAAGATGATTCAAGGGAAGCAAGGCGTGGAATATAGCGAAAAGGACTATCTACAGCTTGAAAACTTGATGTATGACAGGTTCTTGGTCAAGCTCTATTCGACACAAATATTAATTGGCCCTGGAATTGAAGCAACCCAGTCCCAACTCGCTCCTGGCGCGGAATCCAAGAATTTCCACATCATGGATCGGATCAACATAGATTTTGTGTTTGAACTGTGCATTGTGCCTAAAACAACGGATCTCGCGAGAACACGCCTCTCAGGTCGTCTGCCAGAGCTGCACGTTTCGATGTCAGATACAAAGTATAAAAATCTGATGAAACTGATTGACATCGCCATTCCGCACTTTGGCGACGACGCTCGAACGGACAGTGCCAATGCAGAATCCGAGGAAAGGTCCTATGAATCTCCGGCTCCAGATGCGCGTGCTAGGTCATCTTCAATACAGCTGGCAACTAAAGAACTTCCAATCATTGAGCATGATTCTGAGTCTGATGTTGAAGACACGGATACCAAGGAAATTCAGAAATCGACTAAAAAGCCGATCAACCTCCATCAGCGACAGTTCGAGTTCAAATTCACTGTGGACAAACTCAGGGGCTCGCTCTATCGATCGGATCCCAGAGACGAGGTGAAAGATAAGTTATTGGTTGAGCTAGTGGCGGAGCATTTTCAGCTGGATTATTATCTTCGGGCTTATGATATGATCGCCGAAATTGTGCTGAAGTCCCTTGCTGTGGACGACCATATCGAACAGGATGCGCCTCCAGAATTCAAACAAATAATATCTTCCAAGGGTTTTAATGCCACGGAGGGAAGAAATTTGTTTGAGCTTAAATTCATAAGAGTCAATCCAGACTCCCCTGAATTCGTGAAGGTTTATGAAGGCACGGAAATGAACCTGGACCTCTCCATCTCCACGATTAATCTTATCGTTACTCGGAGAACTCTCCTAACCCTTCTTGATTTTATCCTTATAACGTTCACGAATCCAGGGCAACAGAATGAGAGCCAAACTGTAGCCCAAAGACAGGCAGAACCAAGCAAAGAAGGGGCGCAGCTAACAGCTGGCCCTGGGAAAATCCGTATTAAATCCAGGCTGGAAACCATATCCTTGATCTTAAACGAAGATGGCGTCCGCCTTGCAACGTTGAGCTTAAACACGGCTGATGTTAGTATATTCGTGGCCGGCGAGGCCCTTGCTGTCAAAGCTAGAATCGGCAGCCTCACCATGTTTAACGATATCGGTGAGACGACCACCCGACTTTTAAGCATCGAAGGCGACGACTTTGCGGATTTCCGTTATCAAACGTTTGACCCTAAACAGGATGACTATCCTGGCTATAACTCTGAGGTGATGCTCCGGTCAGGCTCGATAAAGATCAATTTCATTGAAGAACCGTACCGAAGGATTATTAACTTCCTGGTCAAGTTTGGGAAAATGCAAGCAATTTTTAATGCTGCACGCCAGGCTGCTGCCAACCAAGCAAGCCAAATCCAAGAAACCGCGTCTTTAATGCGTTTTGATATTATTGTCATGACGCCTATTCTGGTATTCCCGAGGATTACTGACGATGACCAACCGAAGGATTTCGTCACTGCTCACTTAGGAGAAATATATGCGAACAATAAATTCGAACGGCTCACCGAAGGGGATACGGCCGGTAATCTAAATTGTATATCCGCAGGTGTTAGGCATATTCGCTTGACTTCGAACTTCTATTACTCACCTGAACGCTCTGAGGAATTGGAAATGATTGAAAAGGTAGACTTGGATTTCAACATTCAGTATTTAGCCCACCAGGCGCATATATCTCGGCCGGACATCAAGGTCGAAGGTTTGATGTCGCCCATGAACTTAAGAATATCCCAAACTCAACTCAAGTTTCTAATAGAGTTGTCAAAGACACTCCCTGCAGCACTTACCCCGGATCAGGACCAGCAAGAGCAGGAAGCGGCACAAGCACTTCCAGGTCTAACTGGCAGTGAAGTAGAAGCGACTGAGCAACCGACCCAACCAGAGGAGTCTCAAAGTGTCTCGCACATGGCACCGGAAATTAAGCCCGAGCCAGAAAATTGGGTGCAGCTAGACTTTACGTTCAAAATCGACACCGTGGGATTGGAATTGATCCTTGCGAAGGAAAATGAGCCAGTTGGCTCTCTAGATGAAGCCAGTCTTTCCAAATTCTTCCTTAGCAACACAAACGTTAAGCTCCAGATGTTGAGTGATGGATCTCTTGAATCCGAATTGCTCATCCACTCGTTCAACGTGCGAGACAGCCGCAAAAACGAGACTAACAAGTACCGGAGAATTATGTCGTTGATCAACACGGATGTACAACAGCAATTCATGGCTAGTTTATCTATGTCTGGCGGTGCCGAGCGGAAGATTATTGCTATGCTCACAATTGATAGCCCTAGGGTTATTTTCGCACTTGATTACCTCTTTGCATTGCAATCATTTGCGACTGCTGCTTTCCAGCCAGAGCTTGAACCGGCCGAGGAGCTTTCAGAGCTCTCTGATGAGGAATCTCAGGATGCATCCAACAACAGCGGTACTGTAGTAAGCTCAGGAGATGTGGTGTCGAATGATACGCTCGCTCAAGACGAGGGGACTTCAATGCCCTATTTCTTTCCGGGTAAATATCGTGGATGCCCAGGCAATTCTAGTCGCAAATCCAGCAATCTCGAACTCTGAAGCAATAGTTCTCGGAGCAAAGCAAATGCTACTCTCTCAGCAAAATGCGTCAACTTTGCAAATATCTAAGATTGGAATGTTCCTGTGCCGAATGGATAAGTTTGAAACGAGCCGACTTAGAATATTGGATGATTTCACTCTAGAGCTATCCATGGATAGTCGATCGAAAGGACGGGGCTGCACAATGACAAGAATTGACGTGCACGTTGATCCATTGATTCTCCGTTTATCACCTCGAGACATCGTCCTTGCGATCCAAATTATGAATAAGGCCTCTGAAATGACTACATCGCCATCACCACCGGAGCACAGCAAAGCTACACCCAAAGATAACTCTTCTCAAACTACAAGGAGAAGGTCAAGAGGGCTGTCGCTCAGTGGTGGCCAACTGGCTCTCCGCCCTAGTACCACTCCTACTCCAACGGTGCAACAGTCAGCCATAATGAGAAAAGAAGAAATGTCGATTCAATTCGACGGAGTGCGAGTAATCCTTATTGGTGATTTGCATATGCTTCCACTTGTTGATTGGAGAGTAAAGAAGTTCGTCGTCGACGTTCGTGACTGGTCTGGAAACATGAGCGCGGATATGACATTTGACACTCTTGTAAATGTCTACAACTTCTCCAAATCAGCTTGGGAACCACTAATCGAGCCATGGCAACTGGGATTCCACATGTCAAAGGAATTGGCTCCAACCGTATTGTCCGTGGAGGCCTACTCCCACAAAACGATGGAGCTCACTGTCACTTCGGCTACAATAGCATTGGCTTCTAAGACGCTCCAATCTATATCCACGACGGAAGATGTCTTGTCGAAACCAAGGACTGCAGATGCCCCATACAGGATCCGGAACCAAACTGGCTTTGATATTCGGGTCTGGGCTGATCTCGGCAATGGTGAAGAAGGGCCAGCCGCACTCCTGAGTGATGGCGAAGAACATCCATGGAGGTTTGAAGACCCTACTACGATGCGTGAGAGCTTAGCCCCGGAGGGGAGTGTTGGCCTAGTTGGGATCAGACTGGAAGACAGTGGATTTGACAGCATCGACCGTATTCCGTTAATTCGAGAAGGAGAGACACTATATAACCTGAAACCGAAACAAGACAAGATACTGCACCGATTACTCGTCGAAATTAGTCTTGGATCAAACTATGTCAAGTATATAACCTTCCGGTCACCCCTTCTCGTCGAGAACAAGACACAAATACCTCTTGAAATAGGTGTGTTCAGCCCCGAAGAAGGACATCTTCTGAAGATAGAGAAGATCCTTCCGGGAGATAGCCGGCCAGCTCCTGTTGGCGCAGCATTCATGCGCTCCCTCCTCGTTCGTCCGGATCAAGGTTTCGGCTACGATTGGTCAACTGAGAAGTTGTTCTGGAGAGACCTCTTGAAGTTACCTACGAAAACGCTTAAATGTAATAGCGAGAGTGGACAACAAGCACCCCCGTTCTATTTCCGGATGCATGCCACCTTTGACAAGGATGATCCGATCCACAGTGTCTATCCTTATATGCGCATTCGACTTTCCGCTCCTATTGAAATTCAGAATTTGCTTCCATACGACTTCAAATACCGTATATATGACAGAAACACCCGCAAAGATTGGACAAATTTCCTTCGAAAGGGTGGAACTAGCCCCGTCCACGTTGTTGAGTTGTCCCATTTGTTGCTTCTTAGCATAGACATGCAGGACACGGAGTTCCGACGTTGCGAATTCGCCATTATCAATGGGACGCCACAGGATGATTTCCGTAGGGAACATGTTCTGTCTATCCAAGATGACAAAGGCGTCGAACTAAAACTAGGGCTTCATTATTTCGCGATTCCAGAAAGCGGTGGATCGTTCAAAGTGTCAGTCTTCAGTCCATACCTCATATTGAACCGGACCGGGTTAGATATCAATCTCCAAAGCAAGAGCATGTTTCAATCTGCGAGAGCATCAACGGGTCGTGCAATTAAAACGGACGTATCCAATGGCGTTCGGAAAGCTGTTCCATATATGTATTCCTATGCCACAAACGACCGCAAAAATCGATCCATTATTAAGATCGAGGGCTCTTCCTGGAGCAAACCACAAAGTTTTGAGGCCATTGGAAGTACTTTTGAGGTTCTTTTACCTGCTGTTAGCGGCAAGACTGAATACCATGCTGGAATATCAGTTGAGGAAGGGGTTGGCAAATATAAGATTTCAAAAGTCGTTACGATTGCACCTCGTTTTATCTTGAATAACAAACTAGGTGAAGACCTTGTTGCTCGGGAGCCTGGGTCCTCTAACGTTCTCAGGCTGAAGTCTGGCGACTTTGTTCCTCTCCACTTTCTGCGACAACATGCCGAGAAACAACTGTGTCTCTGCTTTCCCGGAGTCAATAATCAATGGGCTTCTCCATTCAATATTTCTGACCTTGGGACTATTTATGTGAAACTCGCTAAAGCCAACCAGCGTCAAAGGCTTCTTCGGATCGAGATTCTCATGGAGGCGGCGACGATATTCTTACATATAAGCCTTGAAACTCGACATTGGCCTTTCTCGATGCGCAATGAGAGTGATTCTGAATTTCTCTTTTATCAAGCTGTACGTTTCAATTCAAAATTACGAATTATCATTGCTATACTAACGCTTTTATAGAATCCGAATGTCGCCGAAGACGAGGAAGACCGAACCAGTGGCTGGAGACCGATACGTTATCGCCTTCCGCCGAGAAGCATTATGCCATATGCCTGGGACTATCCAGCGTCGAAGAACAAAACGCTAGTCCTTGTCTGCCGCGGAAAAGAACGATATGTTAAATTAGCTGAGATTGGTAACCTGATACCGATGAGAGTTCCAACGTCACAAGAGGATGCCCAGTCTAAGATCATTGACCTACGAATTGAAGCCGAAGGGCCGACGCAGATTCTGGTGCTATCGAATTATAGGCCATCCCGGAGCATTTATCGTCAACAAAAACCTACCACCTCGCAAGGCAGTGTCTCTACGGGGTTCGAGGTTAAGGAAATTAATACAGATGTCACCTTCAAGGCGCAACTTCGATTAAGCGGCATCGGCGTCTCACTAATCAACAAGAAGTTGAAAGAGCTTGTCTATGTCACCTTCCGCGATATTGAAGTCAATTTCAGCGAATCGAAGTTGTATCAAACAATTGGCACAACAATAAAATGGATACAAGTTGATAACCAGCTTTACGGTGGCATATTCCCAATTTTGCTTTACCCGAGTGTTGTCCCAAAGACCGGTAGAGAAATGGAAGCCCATCCCATTTTCAACGCAAGAGTCACCCGGGTGAAAGATGATTCTTATGGGGTCTTATATATTAAATATGCCTCTGTTCTTTTACAGCAAATGACCCTTGAACTTGATGAAGATTTTATTTTCGCCGTTCTTGATTTCGTGAAAGTTACGGATATAACCCCCAGTGAGGATTACGAAACGCAGTTTGGCGACGAGATTGGTATCCCAGAACCAAAAGGAGACGAACAAGGCACGGGAGTTTACTTTGAATTACTCCATATACAACCGATGCAACTGGACCTGTCATTCGTTCGTACAGAACGTGTTAATGTGGAGGACACCGTCGAGTCCTCGAACCCACTGATGTTTTTCGTCAACGTGATGACTATGTCCATTGGAAACGTCAATGACGCCCCTGTTCGATTGAATGCGTTGATTCTCGAAAATGCCAGAATATCTCTCCCTGTTCTCCTGACGAACATGACCAATCACTATACTCAAGATTTTTTGAGACAAGTGCACATCGTGCTTGGATCCGCCGACTTTTTGGGCAACCCCGTGGGCTTGTTTAATACAGTCAGCTCTGGTGTTGCAGATATATTTTACGAACCATATCAAGGACTGGTGGCTGATCGACCTAACGAACTTGGCTTAGGTATTGCCAAGGGTGCTACATCTTTTGTGAAGAAGTCCGTATTTGGATTATCTGACAGTCTCACCAAATTTACTGGGAGTGTTTCGAAAGGACTTGCTGCAGCTACCCTCGATAAAGAATTTCAGGACCAAAGACGAATGTCCAAAGCTCGAAACCGGCCTAAACACGCCCTCTATGGGATTACCGCTGGCGGAAGTGCATTCGCTTCAAGCATGGCAAGTGGAATCGGAGGTCTAGCCCGCCATCCTCTAGAAGGTGCTGAAAAAGAAGGATTCCCTGGGTTCATGAAAGGTGTCGCGAAGGGTGTATGGGGTCTAGCGACAAAACCAGCACTGGGTGCATTTGATCTTGCTTCCAGTAGGTCAATTCTAATTTAGGGATGACCACATCACACTAACAATAAATCACAGATCTCGCTGAAGGTGTTCGTAACACCACTACCGTTTTCGATCCTGAGGGCCTGGACCGTGTCCGTCTTACCCGGTTCATTCCCATGGACGGCATTGTGCGTCCGTACTCTCAACGCGAAGCTCTTGGGCAATTTTGGCTTAAAACCACGGACGACGGAAAATACTTCAATGATGACTATATCGCACATCTAGAGTTTACCGGGAAGGATATGCTCGTCCTCTTGACTTACAATCGGATCATGCTTGTTAGATCGAAGAAACTAGCAACGGAATGGGATATCAAATTAACCGATATCCAGAAGATCTCAAAGGAAAGGACAGGAATGGGTATTACCTTGAAGGGCGGAGCCAATGGTCCGTTCATTCCAGTTCAAGAGGAGAGCTCAAGAAATTGGCTGTACAAGCAGATCGCTATTGGTGCGTAAATCTTTTCGTTTTCCCCTTTTGAAAAGTGTACATGCTGACTCTGTGATGACAGCTGTCAATGCCTTCAATGAAAAATATAGCGCCAAGGGATAAACATAGCCCGTAACTATATATATGAATATCGAAGGGAAGTTATTTTATTGTGGTGGATTGTCCATTTAATGTTAATATTGTTATGAGCCTTTATGTTTTCACTACTCCTTGTCTACATTCTTCATATGCTTCTTCGGATTTCTTTCCTGGTCGTGCTAGAGACAGATTGATCATTTTATTTTATGAGTGCCATGACTTTCGATTTGTTTCTGATACGAGTGTATCGGTTAATTTTGTCTATATCTTTGTGAGAATACGATTTTCTTGGACCTACGGGTTTTAGATGTAACTAAATAAACAAGGTCAGACTGGATCAAGCCCTGTAAAAATCATCCTACAGTCTGGCCATGTTCAGCATAGACAAGAAGCAGCGTGGATTAAATACATTAGCTCTACCAAGTGTATCTAGTGTATCTCAAATCATCCGGGGATGTGGAATTATTTCCCCTCCGCTTTTGCTATAAGGTCATCATCTAAGCCAACCGGCTCCCAAATCTCTCTCGCTTTCCTATTTTGTGCCCACACCACATCTCCTTTAAGATACACTTGCACACCTCCTTTCCCACTGGCGCTCGCGGTTATTCTAAATAGCGGCAGCCCGCTTTTAACATGTGCTTCGCGAAGTGGAATCATGAGTAAGCCTTCTTCAGCACACCATTCTTCAACCATGTCCCTAAACGTGGGCTCTTCGATTTGCTTCGCTTTACGGGCAGGTTGATATGTTTGCTCTTTGGGATCTTGATCGTGCTTCTCGTGTATTTGTTTCTGCAGATGGTTCTGATGGTCTTTGACATCTGGGGGTGGAAGGTCCGTTCTCGCCTTCTCGCCCAGATCAAGGGCTAGATTCATCATCTCGAGACCTCGATTCCATTCTTCAACAACTTCGTTCACGGCGTTGATTTCTTCCGGTATCTGCGACTTCCACCACACCAGCCACTGACCTACTTCTTCGTAGGAAGGGTCTGAGGTTAACCAAAGGTGTAGAATAGAGAGCCATTTAGGAAAGAATTCGGCGCAGAGCAGGAGTGCTAGGACGTTGGGCTTGAAATAAGGCCTCCATTTCATCACATCTTCAAAAGCTGCTAGATCTTGATCTTGCGGATTAACCTCGAAGTTTTCCCGCATGTGCCTTGCTAACCTAGGGAGAAGGTGGTTTCTGAGAGACTTATCAAACTCAGAACCGAGTACATCTTTCCACAGGTCAATATCATTGAGCAGCCCTTTTTTAAGATCCCACTTGTCCAAAACACTGCGGAACTTGCGCTTCACATCCGAGAGGATACCACTGGGCGCCTTCGGATCTGTATGATGATCGCCAAGGTAGCGTAACCAATCGAACAGGAACCACGGAAATTGTTCTGAAGAACCGTTACGCCTCCTTCTCTTGGGTTTCCAGTCTTTTAATGCTGTGCTTAGTTTCGGAACAATAACTTGATCGAGGATATTTGAGAGGACAAATTGCGGGACAATATCCTTCCAAGCATCCACTAACGATGTAGCTGGAGTAGGCTCATTCACATCCCAATCGTTAAGTAAAACGGAGCGAACGCGAGGGAGCCAGAGAGTGTAGAATAAAGTTTCATAAAGAGTCGTGGACTTTCTGGGACGAAATTCCTCCTCGACATCCACATCTCCCTTCTTCGAATTCATAATACTATGAAGCCGTTGAATGTTGGAGACGAGATAATCCGGTTTAGTAAGGGGCTCCCATTCTTCCATTGACTGCCGGAAAAGGGGCTGAACAGCCGCGACGGCAATTTCCGATAGCGAATATTCATCTGCAATGTCTTGATACTGACTTGCAATGTCTTCCAATTGCTTCGTCGTCTGCTCCCATCGACCATCAAGACTGTCTTCGATGCTCATATTTTCCAAGGCTTCAACTGTAGTATGCAATGACGTTAACCGCTCGAGTTTCCTCTCCGTTTCGTCCATCTCTTCTTGTACCTGAGCTTTTTCCCTCTCAACAAACTGTTCCCTTTCAACTAGGCCTTTCCACTCATCAGCAAAGGCTTCCAGCTCATTGCGGGCTTTGCGGGCAATTTTTAGAGCTTCGCTTTCCTTCGAGCTAACAAAATCCACCGAAGTCATCAAGCCCGCTGTTGACGTAAGCAGCTTTTGCTCTTTCCCCGTTGCATCAATCAATGATTTTAAAACGTTAGGGATTTCCAAGCCAGCCGTATCGGCTTCAATCTCGCGTGCGGTTCTATATCTCCGTTTCGGGGGGGCTCTGGGCGTGCTTGTCCCGCTACCACTCTCGTCTTGCCTCCTGCGCTCTTGTCTGCGGCGCTGGCGCCTGTCAAGCTCCTCATCTGAACTATCTTCCACCGTCTCGCCTTTCCTGGCCGCCTCACGCTTCGCCTCCTCTTTTGCCTGTCGAGACTTTTCCTTTACGGCTCCCAACCCAACTCCCTGCGGTCTCAAAACATGTTCCACGGGATTGACGATACCCTGACCGCTTGCACCAAGACCCTGGCCTTCAACATATCCCATTTTTGCCATCATCCGGGCGGCAAAGGAGTTTGCACCCATAGACGACCCCGGTTTCCCTCCACCACCAGGCTTCGGGGATGAGTTGTTTTGGTTGCGCCATGACGGGCGATTCGCAGGTTTCATGGTGGTGGGAGGAGACGGTGAGCGCGACGAAGGTCGAGCAAAATTTTGGAAGCCAAATGCGGGCCTGTAGTCCTCGTCTTCATCGGATTCAACCGCGTTGAGCTTTCGTTTATGGCCAGCGAACGAAGGGCGATATGACGAATCCATTATCAAAAGTCTCAGGATCTAGGTAAACGACATCAAAATATATATTCCAAGTAGGCGAGAGGTCCTCTATCCCTGCACCATCTCTAGTTTCGCGGCCACAGTCGCCATGGGCCTCACGTCTACAGTTTGTTGCCGCTTCTGTCAAGAGAGCATGTATTACATAAGCTGACAGCTTTGCCGTCTTACATAATCAGAGTCGGAGATGACGTTTAGCGCCGTTTGGGGGTAAACAACCGGATTAGTCAACACCGACGGCTTCCGTCTCTTCTGCCCGGATTTCTGGAGACTGCACTCGATTCCATCGCAATCCCTTTGCTTGTCCTCGTATCTAAGTGGAAAAGGCAGCCCAATTGCACCTGTAAGTCCATTCCAAAGCTCTTCCCGCTTCACTAGCATTAAACTGACTGACTGAGTTCCAAGCCGATTCCTCCGAACAACTTATCAGCAGGCTCGCAGCTTACACCATGGCTACAATTGCCCTTCGCTCATCTCTGACGGGCACCACCCTGCGTGCCGGTGTCTCTACAGCTCGTGTTAACACTGCAGGCCTCTCAGGGATCGCCGGTTCTCGCTTCTTTGCTGCAAAGGCTACACTTCCGGATTTGCCATGTATGTTTATGCGCGTCTCGCAGCTGTCCAGTTCTCGATTCATGTCATTCCGATACCAGTTCATATTGGCGGCGGATGCTAATCCCCTTTTCCCGTGGATGAACAGATGACTATGGAGCACTTGAGCCCTCCATCTCCGGCAAAATCATGGAACTTCACCACAAGAAGCACCACCAGACCTATGTAAACTCCTACAACGACGCTGTCCAGAAACTCGCCGAGGCTCAGGAAAAATGCGATATCCAATCTCAGATCTCTCTGCAGCATCTGACGAACTTCCACGGCGGTGGCCACATCAACCACTCCCTCTTCTGGGAGAATTTGGCTCCAAGCAAGAACGGCGGCGGTGAGCCACCTAGTGGTTCTCTCTCCAAGGCCATTGACGATGCGTACGGCAGCTTGGATGATTTTAAGAAGAAGTTCAACACGGCGTTGGCGGGAATTCAGGGAAGCGGTTGGGCCTGGTTGGTCAAGGACAAGCAAACGGGGGACATCATGATCAAGACTTATGCTGTGCGTATATTTAGCCTTACGGCTTCCGTGCCGCGGTTTTAGAACTAACAAGCCTTCTCTAGAACCAAGATCCCGTTACCGGCCAATACACTCCCCTCCTTGGAATTGACGCTTGGGAGCACGCATACTAGTAAGCTCCCATACTCCTATGGAATTTCGTCCATGTCGAACGTGATTTCTGACTTGTACCGTCTAGCCTCCAATACGAAAACCGCAAGGCGGAATATTTTAGTGCTGTTTGGGATGTCGTCAACTGGAAGACAGTTGAGAAAAGATATGCCTAGGCCTGAAAGGCAAACTCAAAGTCTTTCGAAAATGCACCTTGTAAATTTAATTTGAACCGGAGATCTAACCGTGATGCTTCGGCGGGATATTCGGGCCTACTGTGTTATATATGATAAAAGAAGAAAAGATTGGTGTTTCTAATTTTTGGGTGACTTATCTCTACGAATAAGGAATTCCAATAACACATATATTGGGTTTAAGTCTGTCGAGGACAAGTACATGTCGGCATTATTATCGTGTTTATCTCGTAGCGTCGATAATTAACATACAAAGAAAGATCATTGGAGCTAAGTAGGAAAATCTAGCACTGCTGAAACTTGATTCGTAATGGAGCAACCACATCGAATAGTTGTGGGGACAAAAAGGAAAACCACAGCAAGGCAATCGTCAGTCATACATGGTAGTTGAAGGTAAAGAATACACTCGCCAGTGAAGAAAACGAATCGAAAATGGCAAAGGTCGTTAGAAGGATGCGCAACACCACGTCACCCAAAGGTCATCAAGAGTGGTGTCCGGTAAATAGGTAGGCAATTGGGGAAACGTCAAGTATTTGATATTAGAAGCTTCAGTGATGCTCGCAACGAACTTGGGACCCCAGGTCTCGCATTAGAATCAGGTAGCGCTCAGGATTTCGTAAGCTCCGCAGCTAGAGGATGCCGGGCCCGACGCTGGTGTGCATTCGGACCGTCCCTCGAGGAGCGTCCACCGGTATAAGAATCCGCCCGCGAATCCGGCCTGCCCACAAATCCACACGCTGAACTCGGCCGCTCGGGGGGCTGAGAGGATGGCCTGCCAGGCGATCCGGGCACAGTAGAGTTTTTGGAGCCTTTTAACCACCCCCAAAGGCCACTAGAGCCACGGCGGAAATGTCTTAGGTTCTCTAGGCTGTTGGATGTGCGTGGTCTTGAGGTTTCGTCGGGACCCACGGAGCTTCTGGATAAGGGACGGTATCCATTCGGGTTTCGTGGAGTTGTTGTGGGTGATGATTCCAGTCTCATGCTACGACGGCGGGCGGTGCTAGGACGTTTATCGTGGGGACTTCTTGGGGATGATACTGGCTCTTCGTCGACCGGTTCGGACGCCATAGGGTTGTTGTTTTTGGGGCGGTTGAAAAAGCGGAAAGTGAACCCTCGGCGCATGTGAGTTTTGGGGCTCACTGGAGACATTCTTTTATGTCGAGCACGTGTAGCTGGTATAGAGATATCCGCATCGAGTTGATTCCCTGGTTCATACATTCCTGAGGTTTCAACGCCATTATCCATGCCCGCCCTAGCGCTCCGGCGAGAGATAACATGTCTTGAGACAGGCAGCGCAGCTTCTAGCCAATCCTCTGGGCTCAAGATATCCGAATTCGTTGCAGCTCTGCTGCGTGAAGGATCTGAGAGAGCTGAATCCGATAATCTCGATCTTATAGAATGAGAATATTGAGGCCGAGACGAGAACTCGCTTTCGTTTGCACAATCCCAGGTAGAACCGCGATCGTTAGTGCCACGCCGGGTTCCATCAAGGCCAGAAGAGTGCGCATGGGGAGGTTCAGATGATTGGCGAATATTTCCCGGGGGTGGGAATACGCCATTGAGTTGAGCTTTGCCGTGACGTCCGACATTTGGGTGATTCCACTCAATACTATTGAACAATGCTGTATCAGCAGTGCTAGGGCGAGACGCCATGTTTACTGATGATCCAGGCCGGCCAACAGATTCATCACTGGTCACAGAAGAGAAAATTTGACCACGTCCATATAAGCTTCTTTCTTCAATGATGCTTGGGTTAGACCGGCTCCTGGGGTCAATGAAAGTAGTGCTCATGGTGTCAGGTGTGGGGGGTAGCCGTGCCCCAAATGCGGCATTGTTTTGAGTCGACCGTGATTTCGAGCCCTTCAAGTTACGTTTGGTTTCAAATGCAGCTCCAAGAATCGGCTGCTTTCGAGAGATGCGTAGGGGAGCCGGTGATTCATGATTAGTAGGTGTCGAGTCTCGTGTATCAGGCAAAGGCCCATCGGCTGGTATCCATTCCTCAATCCGCGAGAATCTGCTGCTAATGTCATCCGTGAATCCAGTAGTTTCCGTTTCCCGATCTGAGGATTTGATTGAACCAGTATGAGAAATTATGTTCCCACTAGGTCCGTCCAATTTTAGCGGGCTTGATAGTAAATCTAAATCACTGCACTCGCTCAGAGCACTTAACCGAGGCGAGTCCAGTTCTTCTGATTCACGCCCAGAGAATATGCTGAACGGACGGGAGTTATTTCTATCCTCGACGTAGAGGCTCCGCAATGCACTTGTATTCTCGCTTTCATCCTGGAGGAAGGATGGTTGTCGTCGAGAGTGTCGCACTGACAAAACGCGAGAGCGGCGTGCCATTGCAGAAGTTGTGCCTTTACGAGATGAGGACCTGTCTGGGACGTCGATGATTGGTATTACTTTTGGCGTCTGATTAATTTGGAGGGTCTCGGTAGATAACACCGCGTCAGGGTTGCAGTCAGGGCCGCCATGCTGCGCGGATTCCATCGCTTCGATTTTGCTTTCCAGGTCGCATATCAGTCCAACCGCTTCATAGAGGCCCCTATTTCGCTTTTCAAGCTCTTTTTGTAGTCCCTGATTGGCATCCTGTAACTCAACCTCCACAGCTTCAAGTTCTTTGACTCGCACTTCCAGCTCGCCCATCCGCTCCACTTTTTGTTTGAGAGAGTTTATATGCTCTATTCGGTGAACGATTTCGAGTTTCAAGTCGAATATTTCTTTATTAATTCTGGATACATACTAGGGGTTGTGTTAGAGCGCAGTTCTCGATGTCAGGAGTAGTTATTCACCTGATCCATTTCTCTGAGTCCCAACTCCTTTGGATCCTTCAAGCCAGCAGAGACAGCGTTGAGTAATTTGCGGTTCTTCTCCGAAGCCGGTGCGCTTTCTACAGTATCAGGGGCGGGCGAGGATCGGCCATCAGGGACAAGCTTTGACGTGCCTGGCGGACGCGACACGCGCACGGCGCGTTGCTCCTTGATCAAATCATGCAAAAGGGTAGAATTCGGATGTACATGGTGAGGGGTAGAGACGGATCCTAAGTCAAAGAAAATTACTATTAGCCGATTTCTTATTTCCGAGCCGCGTGAAGGTTTGCTGAGGAACGTTCGCACGGACTTACTCTTCGGGGTATGTGGCTGATGTGCCGCGGAGCGGTGACTAGACATGTTTCTCGAGTCTTGCCAACCAGTTAGACGATTTGGGACAGGTACGGTCGATGTGGACTGTATTATACCTGCATGAACGGTGGTGACGGAGCCCTTTGACAGACGGTGGGACGAACGTCTTGATTTCCGCTGCGCGACGGCTTCAGGGGTTACGGGCCGGCCTTTTGGCCAGTGACTGTTAGCTTGCGAAACTCGGTAATTCGGCCATGGATATGCCACTTACCCAGTTCATGTCGGCGATCGGTCACAGTCGTAAAGTGCGCAGACGGGGAGCTCGCGTTTATACCGGAGAGACGCCTCTGGGTGCTCGAATCCATGATTCGGGGATTTGCCAGGAAATGCGACGGGCCCGGGGGATCCGGGAGATGACGCGCACACTGGGCAGTTCTCCTTGTTTCAGTTGGATTTTGGCAGCGCAATGGCCATGTTGGAAGCTGGGAAGAGCTCCTCTTTGTAGAGTGAGGGAGTGCGCATTGAGCAATGGAGGTGAGAGTGACGGTGGTTGCCGACAGAAGGGCAGTGAATCGGCGACAACGCAACTCCGGGGGAGGTGTTGTGAGGGAACAGTCGGAAGATCAAAGAGATTCAAGCAACACAACGCAATGGAAGCTGAGCCCAGCGTTTCAGGGGCAGGCAATCACTTAGTTAACAAGTTCAAATGTGCTGAGAAGATGATGTGCAGCAGGCGTAGCGTGGTTCAGGAGGCTGGCGAACCACACACAAAGCGCACTCTGGAGTCTGACCCTCACGCTAGGTGCCGTGTTCCCCACCCTGCCCGCTCGTGTTTGAATGGCTTCTTGAGGCGCTGGAAAAAAGAACACTCGAGGTTCCACGAGAGACAACCCAAGAGACGGCCGGTTCTGTCGAAGATGGGCACCCTCGACAGGACTTTGTGCTACGACTCGCTAACTGATCACTGGCCCCAGGGATAAAAAGCACAGGGCAAGGCATGGAGCGTGCTCGTGAGACAAGATTCAGGGAGTCCTTGGAGCCACCAGCCTCCCGCACCCTAGTCGCCGGTTGAAAATCCCCGGTTGGACTGGACGCCATGCTTTAGAGGGACCATGGATGGTGCCAGCCGTGCCTGTCGATCAACATCAAAACTACAAAGTAGTTAGCAGTTAGGATGATCTCTTTGTTAGGGAATGCAGTACAGAATACAGATATCCAGTTGATCACTTTATTCTATGCTCATCTGGCCATCTTTATCTATGATTAACATATATCATAAAAGAACCCCTGGACCGACGTTTCATTATTGGTTCTCGGTCTATTGAACACCAATGCTCAAGCCCACTGTTTGCAGAGTCAATGCGCCAGAGTCATGCAAAGAGACGACGATCCAGCAGCCGTTTCCGACGAAAACTCGACTGTACTCCGTACCGTTTTCTTATCCCGTAGTTAAGATCCCAAACACCAGCCAACATGACATGCCACTCGTTTAAAATCATTTGACAGAGCCCAAAAAAAAAATCGATAAGAAAGGCTGAGTCGCTACTTCTTTGCCTCCCCTGCCCAGATACGCGTTTCTTTAGCACCGTCATGAGCAGCTCGAAACACTGTATAGCTCGATATCAGTTCTAAACGGAAAAATACACGTCGAGAAAATGCGGCTCTCGACACACTTACACTGTCGTTCCGTTTCATCGAGGCCACGAAGGAATTCGACTGCCCCTCCCAAAGCGCCCGTTGGATTATGGGCATGGTCCGCTATTTGCATTGCGCGCTGTTTGAAAGTCTACGGAAGAGTCAGCGCACCGTTGTCAACTGCATGAATACGTCGCTTACATCACTGAGAATCTCCACCATTTCCTCTTCCTCAAACAGCTGCAATATCTTCACCCCCAACCTGTAAAAGTGCGACGCCAAAGCACGAAGATCCACGGTCCGAGGATCAGCCTTGAGTGCGTTCATGACTGGTTCGGACAAGGCCTTGGGAATATCCAAAGTCACCAGCGGATCGGAGCCGGCCTTTGCTCTGCCAACAGAGAATACGAATGTTAGCATTGGTCCTCACAGTTGATATGTACAGAACCGCATGGTCGTACCCCACAGCAAGCATGACTCCCAGCCATAGAGGAACATCTAACCGGGTGCCAGTTTTGATCTACGGAGTGGGAGTCAGCAGTCGGAAAAGCTCTCTTCAAAACACACTATAACTTACATCTTCGCCCGGGTTCCCGTCGAGAAACCCCAGGGCTGGAACGTCAAGTTCAAACGTGCAGGGAAGTTTCTGGAATGCGGTATGAGGGATTAGCGCACAGCCGCCATGGTTTGTACAAAGTACGCAACCCACCTGGGCGTCTGTAAGAATCTCGTCGATATCGTAGTACGCCATTGCTGCGAAGTCAAAGGGCCTCGGCCGCTTCGATCCGAATTCTCGCGGTGACCGGAACTCCTCGAATTAGTTATATCTGGCGACGCGCCAAGTGCCGAAACGCGATATCACGTGCCCGTCAGGGCACACCTACAGTGCTCTCAACGGACTCCGTAGCTCACGAATTAATCCAGTAGCCGGACAGACCCTTTGACCTGACCGAGAGCAAGAAGACTATCGGGATACCGGAGAGCGAGAAGACACTTCTCTTGTAGCCGACATTAAAAAAAAATGATGATCTAGAAGAGGTGCGTGCTCTATCAAAGACTGCTGACGAGTCCGCTTATGGCGAGCTTTTGGGCTATGCCGCGTTTATTTGGGCAATCAACAGTGAAAAAATCGATTTGCTTGGAGTCTCTCCTCGGCTACGGACCAAGATTGACACAGGAATCAACAGCAGCGGTTCTCTTCGCGGCCGTCTTTAATGATGCCAAGGATTCGTTACGCATGTTGTTAAGGAGCTGGAAAATATTGGAGAGCCGCGAGGCAGAGCTCTCACATTCCGCTGCTTCGAATGAATGCAACAAAGTTGTAGGCTTTTTTGCCACGCGCAGTATTGACAATCATACCCGACGTCCGCTATTGGCTACCGCTATTAGCAGACGTATGAAGACTGACTTCTTCTTCTCGACTATGGAGCTACACTAAACCGAGGCTACCATCACGGTGCTCTCGTGTCTATTCTAGTTCGGAGAGCGGATATAAGTGCTAAATATAGGAGCGGGAAATTATCACTAGGTACAACCTGTGGTATTTTTGTTTCAAGAGGAGCCGATCCTGCAGTTCCCGGTGTGGCGGCTTTAAATGGCAAGAGCATAAAACTTAGAGCGTGGCCCGCTTCTTAAATCCCAGCCGTCAATATATTGGTTGGTACGGGTCCTCAGTTTGTGCGCACGGAACTCAGAAATGGCTTGCTTACTTCTAGATAACGGGGCCACGGATTCTTTTCAGGATCAGATATTAGCTGGTACTCAGGCGTCAACCATGGCAGGGATCCAGTCCTTGCTGCTATTGCCACTTGTGGCAGGACCCGTATCGTGGATCGATATATCCATCATGGGACCAGAATGGCTAACGCGCGGACTTTCATGGGCAATGCTCTTCGAACAGCAGCTCACCTAGGCCACCAAGAGGTTGTAAAGGTTTTCCCGGACAATGTATTTGACATCACGGCGCGAGTCAGGCCGTTTGCAGACGCTTTAGGGCTTGCTATCCGGAATTCCAAACTGGACACCGCTATTTATTGCTTCGGAGGGGGTGCCGCGATTGCTCACCTTGAGCCTAAAGTCTGGCTCAGGCTGCGGGACCTGATCTATGGGAGCATAGCTTTGATCACCACAGGGGTTTAAGGTTGACTTTTCGCTCCTGACCCCAGAAAAAGGTATCTTCTACCTCTTAACAAGGGGCGTTTGTCACAATATAGAAGAACCCTCGGGTTTATAGTTTTCGTAAAGGCAACCCCAGGCAAGGATGGTAGTTAGCGGGTTCATGGATATATAAGCCCTTGGGGTCATGGAAAGTCAATTGCATGGTGTGGGCGGGCAAAGTTCAGGCACCTCTCAGGGCCCGAACCAGGAACCATCGTATCTCATGGTAAAAGCAAAGTGAACCGCTAGCGGAGTTATCAATGCTGATGCTCGTCCATGTCTAGGTTCGACCGTCTACGCCTCTTCCGGGCGATCATTGAAATCCTGGATACACTCACATGTGTCACAAGACAAGCCACAGGATGGACGCAGGCTCTCGAGATTCTAGAAGAAGCCAATTTGTTCAAGGAAGAATAGTAAGGGGCCTGAAGCAGTCTGCGCTGGGGGATGTTGGGATTTTAAACCTCAAACCCATTCTCACACATCCGCACACAAAAAAAAGAGGAAGCACTTGAAAACAAAGGCCTGGGTAGAACGGTTCACTAGTCAACTAGCGGGCGCGCGAGGCCTTCTTCCTGAGAGCGCAAAAAAGGACTCCGGAACAGGGAGTCGAACCCTGGTCTCCCGCGCTTGTTGATAGTGTATTTCAACAAATTGACAAGCGGAAATCATGACCGTTAGACCATTCCGGATTACTAATGGGCGCTTCTAGAGGAGAGTCGGCTCTCAAGGGTGGAGTGGGAAGATAACTCGTGGTGAACTAGTTAGTTTCTCCCACAGCCATAAGACCCCATCAACAGATGAGAGAAGTCCAAAGAACTACTGTAACTTACTTGACACTTCATGATGGGGCCCCTTTTGACTAGCTTCTTTCCGGTTCCGAATGGGACGATCCCCCAAAGCGCGCCGTTTTCATTGCCTGCATGATTCATGCGCCAGAAATGCAGAAATGCGATCCCCGAATCAGTCTGTCTCCTTACCAGCTCTCGATTTCGGTCGAACGCCCGGCGCTTATGAGTTAGGACCTCAATTTTTAAGAGGCCACCGGAAATCGTGACCTACCTAAGAAATTAAATGGCTGCGTCACCTCGTCATGAGGGTACATCCATCCCATCCTTCATGTTATATAACTAACCATTATGCTTCAACCCGCGCAGGATGTTTCCACCCGTCGCAGTGTACGGCAGATGCGAGAGGAAGGGTGCCTATGGCTCGGACCGCCGTTTTCAGAGGCCATAGAAACCATGGCTGGCTGCTTGATGAATAATATGTGTCATGAAAGGACATTGACAGGCCCTTCAACTAGCACAGCCTTGCAGCCTTGAGCTGATAGGAATCAGGGATAACCGTCCTATTGATTGAACCAAAGGAAAAATATCTGCAGTGGCATTACTCAGTGGGATGTTTTATGCAAGAGCGAGCATGTATTATATGGAGACTAGAAGTGTTTAAACTATATCATCAGCATTGCGGCCCCTTCCATCCCTCTAACTTCCAGGAAACACCACTCTTGGTGAAGGTTTCTTTTTCCCGGCGACATTGGGCCATTGCCGGAGGTGGTCTCTAGATTCCAGGGGACATAGCCTCTGAATCGTATAGCTTGTCCTGGGGGAGCACCACCCTCCGATGTGTTGAGCAATCAGGGCAGGGAGTTTTGTCGAATCGGGATTGCAGGATGTGAGGGTGGGCGTGAACAACGGCGGGCCGTGGGCGTGGAGGGAGATGATGACCTATTTGGCGCCGGGTTCTTGCTCTGCCAAGTCTTTCGAGGGTGTCGCTGCGCCGGGGTTAACTAACTAGTTAGTTATTTAACTACGGAGTACGCAAGTCAAAATGAACCTTTGAACACATCAAACCACTGCGCATATACGGAATATATATTAAAATACTCCGTCCTCGAATCAAAGATCCTTCTTCCCTTCCCTCCTCGCCTTTCCACCTCCCTCCTCGCCCTATCAAACGACTCTCCTCTCCGCTCAGGCCCTTTGCTTCCCAGCCATCACCAGCTCTGCGGTATGTGTCCAGGATTACTTTTCCGGGCTGGATCCCAAGTCTGAAGAACTCTCTGCCGTGTATTGCCCGTTCCCGGGATGTTTCCTATTCGCGTTTCATCGCCTGATGGATGGTGGACAACGTAGTCGCCATCGGCGTCCGTAACGAGGCCATTCAGCTACAACGCCAGACAACCTTAGTAGCTTTTCAGTCTACTAAGTGGAATATCTTCAATAGAGTCTATTTCCGGCTGTTTAGTGACTGAGACGAGGCTAGCTACTTGTTTTGCCAGGCTGTCTGCTCCTTCATTCCCTAGCTCTCCAATATATGCAGGGAGCCAGTGAAACTGCACTTCCCATCTGAAATCCTGCAGCCTGTCAAGCGCCGGTGCTGCTTCAATGATGATGTACTGTCCCAATGAGTGCTTAAATCTCAGTATCACCTGCATATCTGTCTGATTATCGGTGAAAACTGCACATTTCCTCAGGGTGGTGCCAGTTGCATGGATATTGCGCATGATCTGCATTGCAGCTTCTCAGGCCTCTGAATTTCGCTGTGTTTGCTGTGGAGATGCTAGATTCCCCAGTTTTGCATAGCTTGATGAGATCAGCATGTAGACCTGATAGAGGATCAGAAACTGGGTTATCCCTGTGATATTCCGATTTCCAATCGAGCCCGAGGGAGCAGTGTACTCCTGCAACTTGCCCAGAGTGGTAAATCAGCTGTGGAGGAAGGATGCCTTCCAACCTACCATCCACCGTTTTGATTTTGGAGGTTACAAAGCAGCCATGTTCGGGAGACATTGCCATATGCCCCTGATAACCTTGCCTTCTCACCGTGCCTAGTGTATCCGCGGGAGAAGGAGGTGCATGGCATGCTCGGGTCGATGCTGATTTCTGGCCCGCGGTGTATGTCCGCTTGCTTGCCTTGACCATTTTCCTACTATGTGGATAAGTGCTGAAAAATATCAAACTTGATAAAGAATTTGTGGAAACTGATCATGGAAAAGAGTCAGGCAGGCATAGTGTGTGAGCTGCGGAACTGAGAGGGAAAAGTAGTGAGTACATCTCTTCTTCTTACTGAGAGTGTCACTAACTACCAAAGCATGCAGTTGAGGGAATTATTTGAAACCGTTTTACCAGCATTGGCCCAATGCGCTCTTGCTCAGCTACCACAAATGTGAATGGCGATGTGTCCATACATCTTTCAGCCAGCCAACCCAATCCGCTAAATTTCAGGTCGGGGTGGCAGCCTTGGCGACGGAACAATAGTCATTATAGCGGGCTGCATAAATTGATCTGCAACAAACTGACCGGCATTCGTTGTTGCTCTCCACGGACTTCTCCGTACGGATAGTTAGACGAACAATGCAAGCGAACATACTCCTATCATGCCCGAGGCCATGCAAACCAGAGGTCCTGGAGTGTGTGGTAGTATGGATTTGATTCTCGCCAGCCATGCATACCCAATATAACGATGATGTTGCATTGTCGACTGCTTCAACACTTTTGCCGCTCAGATTTCCTATAAAGACCGTGGCTGCTTCATACAAGTTGTTCTCTTGCAAGCCGTCTTCTTCACATCCTGAGTTACCCACAGACCAAGCAACGTACCCAAATCTTTCCACTTGAGCAAGGAATAACCGAGTATGGCTGCTGATACAGCTCCATTCCCCCCCCATTCTTGGCTTGGCTACGGCCTCGACTTGACATCAATCACGCCCACCAACATTACTACTGTGTGTATCGTCACCGAAGAGCGAGAATGAGAGGCTAACCGCCCCCAGGTTACCCAACACGTGCTCAGAGCTATCCGTATTATCGAGCTCAAGCGAGGTGGCACGGTGCAAACCTATGGCGGCGTCACCTGGACCGTACCGGATAATGTTAATGTTGCTGCCGATGCCGGTAACTCGGAAAGTAGGCTTATGGCCTCCAGGTTCTTTGGTATCTGCATTTCTGACGAGAAAATAGCTTCCCAGACCTCTTACACCAATGGATCTGTAGCTGCCAGTAACTTGGAAGCTGATGCCTCTCTTTCTGGCCAATACCTGGCGGTCTCCGCTGGTGCATCTGCCAATTACTCCATTAGCAAGACCTTCCATTCGAGCTACCAGTATTTCATGTTTAACTTCAGGCAAGTCCTCCTGGAGGTTGGTCTCGAAAACTTTGCCGAAAATCAATACCAAAGAGCTTGCATGGCACGTGGGAAAATTGCCTTCATTTGACTCCACGAAAGCAGATGTTGTGAAGACCTATAAGACCTTCTTTGGCACCTTTGGATCCCATGTTGTTACTGGCACAACTTATGGGTCACGGTTCCAACTGGTAAGTCGCTCATGCACGGTGAGGTTTTAAGGATGCTGATTCATTTATTTGTGCTGTAGCATGTCTGGGCATCTAATGAGGACTCTTCCGTTAATACTAATTTCGGAGCTGACATCAAGGCCCAATTCAATGGTCTCACCGCCAGCGGAAACTTCGATGCGTCCATCAAGACAACAGATCAGTATAAGACTTTCGAGACATCAGTACAAAAAAACTGCTCCTGCCAGGGCGGGGACACAAGCATTGGGACCAAAATTGCTTCCGATCCCACCACCACGGATGTCTACACCAGTTACGCATCCTGGACTAAGAGTTCTCAAACCACCCCGGGGGTCATGACTATGCAGACAATGAGTCTTTGGGAACTTATGACCGCCGCGATGGATGACACGCTGAATCTCCGCGCCGGAGACGTCGAAAAAGCCTTCAGCTGGATCGTGGAGAACCCGGCCACCCACCACACCAAGTGCACGCTCATTGTTAACTCGGACTGGGGTGAAGTTGGCTTGTTGAACCCTTCCGCGTTCATCATTCCCGATCCCGACAACCCACCCCCAACGGACAAGACCATCTTCTCGCGTACGAAGATCAGATGGGGTCTAGAACATTCGCACGATTTTCAGAGAGAAATCAGAATTGAGTAAGCTTTCATAGCCTCCATCCTCTCCTGTTTCGCCTCCTTCTCTGGAGCTTTTTGGTAACTGAATCTGACATGACTATGTACAGCTTCATCATTCAAAACGACGGTTCTCCTGTAGATATTGAGCTCTCTCATGGCAGTGATGGGTCCACTTCCGGTAGTGGTGCTTGCTCGGCCATCATCGGCAATGTAAGTCAACCTGTAGGACCTGTCACGATTATCTGCAGTCGATGTGCTGACATGGTTGTATAGGAACCACAATATGACAACACGGGTATCCAAGACAACAATTGGAACACAAAGTGGTTTTACAAGTGCCCGGTCAACCCAAACCCTGTGGCCAGACAACCCTAGGCATCTGAACTGCTGGAAATATTGGCTGACAATCTTAGCTAGTAGCAAGAGGCCTTTCCAATACTATATAGTTCCCACCTGTTTATTCTGCTTTCCCCAAATTTCATCACTTCTGGTTTTTCTCTTTTATCATCTTCACCTTCTGTCTGTCATCATAAATGAGTGCAGTTAGTGAATAGGGAACTGGTACGCACTACAGAGAAGAGTCAAGATTGTTTCAGTGCCAGATTGGAGGAGGATGAATATTGTTCTGTTCCAAAGTTCTCGCAACCATCTCAGCTGGGGACAAGCGGGCTTTCAACACCCGTCAACAAGACAGGAATCAGGATGGGAAGCAGAGATGAGAACTGAGGTGATATTCTTTGGTTATTCAGAAGATATTAGTATAGGTTGTTATTTCTGTTCATATATTCTTTAAGCAAATAATCATGCTTATATGCCCAAGCAGATCATTCTTTATTGATTCAACCAATATGAAAGAGTAAGGGATAGAGAGATCCCTCATTCCATGCAATTTTGTGGGATTTCTTTAGAAAGATTAGCAAGACTTTACAAAACTCAAATGCAGTGCAGATGTTGCTTCAGATCTCAAATTACAAACTCACAAGTTAGCTGAAAGATCTATAGAGATTAAAAGTCAAGAAGAAAGTGGTATTGAATTTTAATACACAGTTTGCAGATATTGAATTCATTCAGAAGACTCAGAATGAAGTAAAAGTCTTAGAACGTCATGTTCAATCAACAATATTAACCTGATTTACTAGCAAAAAAGAATGCGGTGGAGGTCCTCCAGGCTGGTATGGAAGCTTGTATAATAGAATGACAACTTTGGTAGAAATTTGTTGAGAAATGGAGCTCTAATGGAGTGGGTTGAAAATCTATAAGATGGGCGAAAAGGGGGGTGGGCATCTTATCCTGAATATATTCGAGAATACAAATATTCAGTGCACACACCGGGTGGCCAGCGCCCACTACTCCGTACAAGTAGTTAGTTAATTTTGCGTCTAGTCAGCAAAAAGATAGATTTTGAATAATGCGTAATTCACATTATTGTTGCATTCACACCCATACAGGCCAAATTTCGTTGAAGACAAAAAGATCACTCCGCGACGGGGAGTCGAACCCCGGTCTCCCGCGCTTGCGACCGAAGAAGCTGACAAGCGGAAATCATAACCGTTAGACCATCCCGGATTGGAGGCCTGGGCTCCGTGGGCACTAGAAGTACCCCCCGGCCACCGCCTGTCTCACTCTACCAGGGCCCTGCAGCTGCATTCTTTTTCTGCGTCCCATCCACACAGCATTTGCCGCGTCCTTCAGGGGTCTTTGTGTCCCTTGAACACCAAGGATGAAATCGATCTTGCAGCCTCTACCGATCCTTACTGTGGCAACCTTGATGACCCTTGTGACTCCTTGACCACCGTTGTTTGCTTGGATACAACTCACTGCATTCTCACAGGAACCCCAGCGCTCAATGCTGACCACTTGACGCCCTTTGCGGAATACCGACCAGTTCGACAGCATGGCGTACAATGCCGTCTCCCAGAATGAAATCGACGCTGCTTCTGATTCAGATGCCTCCGAACCCTCCCCCCTTCCTAAAACCTCCTTCGAGCCGCTGTCGATCGATTTCGAGAACTTGGGCGGCTCCTCGTTCATGAGCGCTGCAAAGACCGAGAAACCGAGCTCCATATCCTTGAAGTCAGTAATACGCTCCAGAGGGGCATCGACTACAAGCTATGACATGCTGGAGGACGACGATTACCAGGTTGTTGGTCGGGCCAGTAAATCTGAACGTGATTGTCATGTGAAAACAGCTCAGGGAGACGGACCAGCCGATCTATCTAAACCGCCCCCTTTAAACACCCCGTCCTCCTCTCCTGAACCCTCGGAGCCAATCCTGCAGAGTCCCAAAACGGATGGGCCGGCATTGTGCCATCCAACCCCAGATCTCCAGTCGCTGCAGGGAGCCTACGTCGGAAACGTCGAACGACTAGAGAAGACTGCCGAACGTCTCAGCCTTGCCTTGGAGCGCGGAGATGATCTTGAAGGTATCGAATCAAGGCGAAACATTCCAGCTTTGGGATCTCCAGCAGGGTCAATATCGTCTGGGCCGCGAAAGCCATCCATCGGTTCGCGAACGGGGCCGATTCTGGGCAGTTCCGGTATCTATTCTCCAGGAGGACATATTTCATCTCCACGGCGGTCAGTGCAATCTTCGCCGTCTTCGCAAGCTGCTGCTCGTTTACGCTCCGGCTCGGTCGCATCTCGATTGGCGCGGGTGGTTGAGCCTGAAAACGAGGACCAGCTCAACAACCCTGAGCAGATTTCCTCCGTTCCGGCGTCGATACCTCCCCCGCCGAATCCACATTCCCTACAATTACAGTCACATCCCTTACAACATCACGAAGAAAACATGGGAGTCCCTATCGATGAAGAACAAATGCACCGCCCTGGCAGTGCCGGGTCTACAGACACGTATCAACAAGCTACCAATCTGTTCAAAGATTTCGATGGCGTGCACTTCACGGCCCATTCAAGTGAAAAATCTCAATCGCGACGAGTTTCAATAAGTAGGCCTCCCCTCGCAAGCTTGCCCCAAGCGCACAAGGAGCCACCGCCTGGTGAAAATATGGTCTACTATCCTGCCCCGGTACCGATGGTGTTGAACCTACCCCAGCGGCTGTCCAAGCAACATGCTGCATCGGAGCAGGAGAAACGTCGCACCCAGTTAATGAATTCAATGCCCATCGATAAGCGAAAATCAGCAGTCTGGTTGCCGAATAACGAAAAAGAAGGCGAACCTCCGGCTAGACAGAGCAAGAGGCTTTCACAAATGCCACCACAACTCCGTGCTAGCGCCTTCTTTGACCAGCCGCCGTCGCATTTGGATATCACGGTGAGAGACAATTCCGCCGTTGCTACTTTAGACTGTATTCTCGATGCTGCAGCTTCTGCGCCGGTTAGCGCATTTACTGATCATCCCATCGTTGGCCACATCGGCGCCGAAGTGTATGGCAAAGAGAAAACGAAAAAGAAAAATAAGATTGAGAAGAAACGCTTCTCTGAAAATCCCCTCGGTGTAGGAGAAGCTACTCACAACCGCAACCCCTCAGGACAATCCGAAAGCCACGCTGAAGGCAAACCCGGGCCTGACGAGGCAACTCCATTCAGAAACTCCTACGAACGTGATGCAGATGACTCTGACCATTTTATTCATCCTCAGGGTCAACAACAGGATGATTCTGAAAGTGACAGTGATGATAGTAAAGATGAAGAGGCTTTTGTCGGCCCGCCAACGACTTTGTTGGCTGAATTACAAATGCGGAAGCAAGAGCAGAAGCAGCGAAACCGCACGGCTGCCACTGCGTTTCCTAACGGCATGCATTCGACGTTGCTTGAGCTGGATGCTGTCGCACAGCGTCAACGCGAGAATCGGAACCAGAAGCATGTCATCCTGGCCTGGGAAGATCCTGACCTTGCTGACCGCCGGGAACCTGACGATGATGATGTTCCGCTTGCGTTGCTTTTCCCCGAAAAGACTAAGCAAAATGACAACCGTCCTTTGGGCCTTATGGAGAAACTGGAATTGGAAGAAAATGAGCCGTTAAGTCGCCGGCGGGCTCGAATTCGCGGTGAACCGCCGCCTGCTCCCCGCCCGCCCCCGGTTCCAGTGGGATATTCTCAACCTCCCGCCAAGCGAGCAAGTACTGCATATACACTTGACATCCCTGGGCTGGAGGATGGAGAGAGCGACGAAGAGGAGACTCTAGCTCAGCGCGTCAGAAGATTACGAGCACGGGAAGAGAAAGCCGGTTCAGACTTTGCGAGCGAGCTGCTCTCGAGATTTGGGGATGATAAACCCCCCGAGAAGCCAGCAAGCGAGGATGGGGGTGAACCCGAGGAGGAAACCCTGGGCCAACGGCGGAAACGGCTTCAAGCAGAAGCCCAAGCCGGCAATCCAAATGCTCCGGATAAGCTTTCTTCACGACGAAGTCTCGCCGATGTCCTTCAAGCGCATCCGGTGGGCCCGCAATCGCAAGTTCACGTCCATCCTGCAGGCTTGGGAGCGGCGGGAAGTCGACAGTCGCTGGTCGCAACAAACCGCTTGTCCCGGGTGTCCACGAACGGTCCCCTTTTGCAATTTGGCAATGAAATGAATGGCGGTATGGGGCCGTATAATGCTCACGGGCTCATTGCTCCTGCGTACGGGAACGGTTTATCAGCCGTGAACTTGAATCCGCACTTCTACGCCCAACCGAGCTATCGTCCCAGTCTCCAGCCAGGACCCGTGATCGATCAGAAGCAGAGAGACATGATCGACCGTTGGCGACTTGGTGTGCAGTGACCTCAACCAGACTACTCAACTCCTATGTTGAAGCTACATTTAAACATATCTACCTCCGACGCGACTCAATTTTGCTACACCGTTTATGAGCGAGTTTTTTGGACATTGAACTGGCACGGTCTGCCGGAGCTTTTCCTTTCATTTTTATTTTTTTTGCCGCCTTTTTAATAGCGATCCGTGTTAATGTCGTATTACCTTTTTTTAATTCCCTGTCCTTCGTAGCACAAGAATTTGCATAGCCCCCTGGAGTTTTTAGCTAGCATCCATCCATAACATCTATCTAATTATCACAGCCAACTTGCCTGACATGCTCTAAATGTACATAGCAAACCAAACTCAGCAAACTCCATCATAAATAGCAATAATAGCCGAACCAGCAACCCTCTGTTCAATTTCAATGTAAATCTGGCGCATTTGTTGGCTCTCCATTGTTGTTTGTGAGCAAATCTTATCAAGCTGCAGTTCCCAGTTAAGCTCGACGCCATTGAAATTCAATCCTTGTCAGCTCATTATTTTGGTTCGTAAACAATGGACAGAAGCGTTTTCTTGGGGGGTTGATTTTCGAGGAATTTGTTGAAAATCAAATCGACAGTGTTGATCTAACCCGCGTTTGTTTGTGGTTTCAGGACTTTGGCTCTCTTGCTTCTCATGCGAAATCCAACGATGGTCGATTATTGCTATGATTTATCTGCAATCGCGGACACGCAACGAAGCAACACGGCTAGAATCTCGCGGGGTAAAGCTCATTGACCAACCCCAGGGATCGAGCGACTACATCCAGGACCTTCAAGCTGCCGCCCATTTGGGCATCATCGATTTCTCCTGGTGAAAGCACAATCGGCCCAGAGGCATCTCCGGTCCAGCGAGGAGAATGCCGCCATCCACCGTTTTCTCCTACTTGCGTCGTGATCATCGCCGCCCGAGCCCATCGTCAACCACAGCTGCCTCGCCTTCCACCCATACCTTTCCCCAGCTGCCCCCGACCGCCAGCACGACCAAGCTCACGGATTCGATATTTGAAACGGGCCCATGGACAGAGACGACGAGGGAGATTCCGTCAGATAGTGCGCTAGAGCCGGCCACGGGCTTGGAGCTCGAACAAGTGAATAGCACTCCGTCCTTACGTCCTGCGAGCAACCCTTCTAGGCCTCATTCGAGTTCGGGTGAAAGCTTAGAACCTCTTTCGAGCCTGACGAATATCCAAAAACCGCACCATCACGACGGCGGACTACACAAGGGGATATCATCATGGAAGCGAAGCTTTGGCGGACAAAAGGTTGGAGCTGCTCCGGTGCCCTCAACCGGAGGAGCTGGGAAGGGCAAAACATCTGACGTTGGCGGTGGGATATCGAATTTGCCGTTTCGAGAACATAAACCGGAAAATTCCACGTCTCGTCGAGATGGTGGCTATGATGTCGTGCACGAATCGTCGTCGTCTCGCGGCGGCAAGATGAGATTCCATCTGCTGAACCCGATGGCTCTTTTGGCTCGTCGACGATCGGCGCAGTTGAACACACGAGCTGAAGATATCAACATTGGAAAGCTTACGCTTCCAGCGTTGCCCGATGACTATGACCCTAGGATCCGTGGAAAGCTCTTCCACGATTTCTCCAACCCCCGACCCCGGCCTCACCCTATTTCCAGCAACACGCAACCATATCCGAGAGATCATGGTAGACCATCACTACGTACGGAAGAAGGCTATTACTCAGATAGTTCTGCGCAGGCTTCGCGTAGAAGTCGCCGGTTCGAACATAAACCCGTCTTCAAAGAGGACTTTGAAGACGGCAATGCGAAGCCCGCCAGCAGTCAGGACAGCCCTCCACAAACCAAAGGCACATCTTACTCACTCCCTGTATTCGCGCGTAATCTTCCCTCGACTCTGCCATCGCAACGTGACGAGAAGCCACTGCCAGAGGTACCTTCGGCGCCTCCTAAAACCTCCCACGAAGCGGAGGCAGAGGCACCACATCCTTTACGGTCGCGGCCACCGACAGTTCGCGAACCGCCATCACAAGCTCCGACGGGGCTTCCTAAACATTTGACAAGCAGTGCATCGAGATTTAGTTTTGACATGGCAGGAGGTGACTCTGCCTCTCAAGAAAGGCTTCTGGAAGAGAAGCATAAAGAAAAGGAAGCTGCGAGAAAGGCCAAGGAGCGAAGCGAAGTTGCTGCTGATGGTTTTGAGTCTGACGAATTTGATTATGATGCAATGATGGACGACGATGGCTTGGAAGAAAAGATCCCTGGGGTTAACGCTGACGCGGAGGACTACGAGGATGGAGATTTAGATATAAATGCTGTGCAGCCACTGAACCTGCCGGGAACATCTTCATTCCTTCTGAGTCCAATCAGCTCGGAAGGCGCACCTTCTCCGCAACTTTCACAATTACAGGAGCCATATCCCTCTTGTGGAGCTGGAATGCTTTCTACGAATACTGAGAGGACATCGGCGCTGATGACCCCTTCACTTACTATAGACACCAATCAACCTTTCCTGGCCCAGCAAGCTCCGCAAGTGACGAACAAGTCAGTCGCGTCGCATACGATGTACGATGAGGATGAGTTATACTATGACGATGGCTTGTTTGGTGATTTGCCAGAGGATATGGAGACAGGGGGCTTTGACGAATCTGTATTCGATGATGAAGCTAGCCATTTGTACGAGCGCAAGAATAAGGCAAACAACGTACTTCCTGCGATACTTGAGAATCAGCCTGACGTGAGGGATACTGCAATAGACTCTCGACGATGTGAACCGCCACCGGGAGATGCTAACAAAATCACCGATCAGCCTGCTGGTTTGGAATTTGAAGAATCGACCTCAGAAGAGCCAGAGGAACCGATTCGGGGATTAACACAGGGAAACCTGCAGGCATATCATGACGCGCTTGCACAGGCTGCGAACGAAGCGGCGCTGAAAGGACGGTTTGAGCGAAGTTTTAGCGGAAGCGAAGCGTCTGATGACCGTGATGCAACTGAGGACTCTCATCCTGATTTAACCGCCGGTGAAAGCCGGCACACGAGCCAGAACATTGAGATGGCACCCGACGATGTATTTGATGACTTTGCTTTTTACGACGCGGATGATCTTGATGATGATCCCATGATTGCGGCGGCTAACGCAGAAGCGCTTGAAAACGACGATGAAGGACTTTATGGCCAGGAGTTTGGGTTCTACGCACATTCACATCCTCACTGCGACGGTGAGCGTGTGCTTGGGGGTTACTTTGGCACGTTGGGCTTGGAAGGGGTGAAGAGGAATCACAGTGCTCGGGCGAATTTCCAGGAGCCGAGCCTTACGCCGATCACTGAACGCAGTGAATGGAGTACAAGGAACTCGATCGTCTCGTTAGCGCCGCACGGTGGACCGCAGTCCAATCCATCCATTTCCAGCCCTCCGCTGTCACAGCTCCTCGATATGGGTCATTTCGACGACGAGATTTCGTTAACGGCTCTGATGAAGCTTCGACGGGGGGCGTTTGGTGGCAGCAATGGCAGCCTCCGGAGCAATGCTACCAGCCAAACGGGCCAGTCTCCGCAGTCTCCTTCCGCCCCAATTGGCTCTAGTTTTGGAAGTTTTTCAAGTATTCACAAAGCTTTACCTGATCAGAAGCGTGCAAACGGGCTGCATTCGCCAGGTGGACTGGGTTCGCCGCCTTGGGCAGATGCTGGCACTTCATACCAAAAAGACAGTGAATCTGGTTCGAGCGGAGGCTTAGGGGACGTTCCGCTCAGGCTCCGGTCCGCTGAGCGGCCACGTTCGATGAACATGGAGCCGTACGCCAAGTCGAGATCGCCAGAGATGATTCGGAGGCACATTCGCAGCAATAGCGCAACGGAAAGCATCAGCTACGTGAAGGAGACTGATGACTCTGGAGCGAATTGCTGGGTGTTGGAGCGACGGCGAACCGGAGACGATGGCGAGGGCGAGGTGGTCGAGAGAGAAGTTATGAGCTCAGGGCATATCTGAGCTTTTTGGGGAGCTCACACTTTTTGGTGGATTCTTTTTGCATCTTTTCTTCTTTTTTTACTTTCGACCATGTACATTCTTGCATACTTTTGATTACGCTCTGGACGACCATCTACGGAGTATTCTATTTCCCCCAGAGTTTGATTTGGCCTTGGTCCTGTCGCTGGAAAAGTTTCTTGCGGTCCAAGTTGACCGCCTCTCTGCTTCTTTTTTCCTGGATTCCAAATCCCGCTTCCTGTTTAACCTTTTTGTGGTTTCTCGTATCTCAAATCATGCTCGCCTGTCCTTCTCACTGATGATTGATACCCCGTCTCTGGCAGACCAATGGTGGTAATGCCATCTATTCCGTCTTGATACTCTCAGGTTCCGAGTCCACGAAAAGTGCAGCCCGAAAAGTTCGGAACACGGCCCAATATCGTCATGCCGCGTCTAATTCCCGCGGCCCGGTTCCGCATCTTCAAAGAACAAGGAGAGTTTGTTTTGGCTGGAAACTCTGTTAGTGACGGCTGTAGCTTTGATGAGAACCAGAGACTGAACGCTGGTCGATTCTTGTTTCCTGCGTGGCTGTTGATGTTCAACCCGTTGCTTGTCGCCTGACAGCCAGATGCGACCTTGAGTGTCCGCAGCGGTCTGGCCGAATGAGGCATTTTCTTAGTCACGGGGTTGCAGCCCGTTTCAGCCAATCCAGCCCGCTGCAGGTCGTGCACCGCCACCTTGGCACTCCGCAGGCCTGGCCAATCAGACGCCGCAGACAGCGGGCTTAGTCAGGCGACCGGCCAAATAATGATGCGTCTTATGTAATGGGTTGCCAGCGCAGACGTCATAGGGCGGTCTTGCTGTCAAATTTCACGCTCCGTACAGGGCATGTTCTGGCGCTAGTAGCAGACTAGGCGGCTTCGGGTTAGACGGCCAGGCAGTTCGCGCGCAAACAGGGTGCTTAAGCTCAGCGCTAGTCCTGTCCCGGCTAGACTTCCCATGTGGTGCCTGGCCCTTGGATGTCACGAATCGGTATCAGTTTGACGAAATTTCCACGGGGCCGCGATGGATTCCCGCCACAGCCGGCGATCGGCAATGAAAGCAGCGCAGGGAAGAAGTCACTGCCATTCAACGCGCTCGTCTGGTGCTGCTTGGGCATGACTGCGAGACGAGGAAAAAGCAAACCTCCAGGTCAGCCTTGCTTGGGTATGCATGAGTGAAGGAGAGAGAAAAGGTGGAAAAAGAAAGTGGGAGAGAAGCAGAATATAAAAGAGTGTTGGATTAGTTCTCCAGAGTTCAACTTCAGACATGCAACTGTTTGATGTCTCATTTCAGACCCAAGTAGCCTTTTGATCACAACCTGGACTTTGGTCTCATTTTTATTTAACTATCTCAACTGCTGTCCTGCCGTAGACCTTGTGGACAGTTCCTCTTGCTGCTGAATCGCTGACTGGCAGCACATTCTCCACTCCCTCAAAGAACCACCTGTCTGTCTTCTTGTTCTGCAGAATCATCATATATAAAAGTGTTCTCCCAGAAGGTTCTCTCCCGAGCTGTGTTTCCTGCATAGTGACTGCCGAGAATCACCCGCCCTGAATTTTTTCTGGTTCTGCAGCCCCCTATCAAAACTTAACCGCCAAAACACCCTGTCATCATCTCTCACCAACTCTCTGTCTTCTTCCTCCACTCTCACCACTGCACCAACAATCAAGAAAAAAAATCACTTGGTCCCTTGCGCATTCTACCAGAGGGACTCTCTGATGACCACGAGATCGTGTGAGGCGGAACGACATAGTCGATAACTTCCTGCCTCTTTATTCTGCGTTACTGAAGGAAAAAATTATTCCCTGTCACTTTTTCTTGCTTGCTCCAACGCTGACCCTTTTACTTGTCTCCTTTTCTCCTCCCTGTCCGGTTCTGTACTACGCTCAGCCCGTTTTCCTTGTGTCCTTTGTCCTCCCTCCAAATAGACAGACATAAGAACAAGACCTCGTTTCGCGGGAAATTCAAACTTGGCTGCCCAATTTCTTGGTGTTTTTTTTTTCCCTACCCAAGATGCTGCGCGCTACTAGATCGTCGACCTTGAAGGTCTCAGAGGCTGCGAGCCTGCTGAGAAAAACTCCCTCTGCGCGCAATGCTCGGTGGATCGCGTCCTCCTCGAAACCGACGTCGCTGTCGAGTCGTGCGAAGCTGGGCTTGGCTCCCCGGAGACCATTGGCGTTGGTGGGAGCTCAGGAAGTGTGGAAGCAGCGTAGGCAATATGCGATTGCGGCTGAGGAGACGAATAAAGGAGTGGTGAGTGGCTCTGATGTTTTATTTCTCTCTTGTTCTGGAACAATTGCTGTGGGTTGATGTGCACTGCTGTGTTGGGGCATGTTGTCACACTGAAAAGAACAGACGAAAGCACAGCATTGTGAAGCCGCAACACTAAATATCAAAGAATGATCTTCAGACGAAAAAAGACAAACTAACCTAAATGCGCATTTGCTCTAGGATCCCAATGATTCATTCCTTCAAGGCAATACCGCGGACTACATCGACGAGATGTACTTGGCGTGGAAAAAGGATCCGTCAAGCGTTCACATTTCGTGGCAGACCTACTTCCATAACATGGAAGAAGGGAACATGCCCATCTCGCAAGCCTTCCAGCCGCCACCTACTCTCGTTCCTACTCCCACTGGCGGAGTCCCCCAGCACATGCCCACCTCCCGCACCGCCGCCGGAGCCGAAGTATCGAATCACTTAAAGGTCCAATTGCTCGTCCGCGCATACCAGGCGCGTGGTCACCACAAAGCGAAGATTGACCCTTTGGGTATTCGCGGAGAAGCTGAGGCGTTTGGATACTCGAAACCCAAGGAGCTGGAGCTTTCGCACTATGGATTTACGGAATCGGATTTGGATCAGGAATTCGCACTTGGACCCGGCATTCTTCCTCGTTTTGAAACAGAAACGAGAAAGAAGATGACTCTCCGTGAGATCATTGCGGCTTGCGAGCGCATTTACTGTGGTTCCTTTGGTATCGAGTACATCCACATTCCCGACCGTGAGCCTTGCGACTGGATCCGTGATCGTGTAGAAATCCCTCAACCGTACAAGTACTCTGTCGATGAGAAACGCCGGATTCTGGACCGTCTAATTTGGTCTACCTCCTTTGAAGCGTTCCTGGCCACGAAATTCCCGAACGACAAGCGATTCGGCTTGGAAGGCTGCGAAACCCTCGTTCCTGGAATGAAAGCTTTGATTGACCGAAGCGTCGACTATGGCATCAAGGACATTGTGATTGGTATGCCTCATCGTGGTCGTTTGAATGTGCTGAGCAACGTCGTGCGAAAACCGAACGAGTCGATCTTCAGCGAATTCACCGGTACCGCCGAACCAGGCGACGAAGGCTCTGGAGATGTGAAATACCATCTCGGTATGAACTTTGAGCGCCCGACTCCCTCTGGCAAACGTGTCCAGCTTTCCCTAGTTGCGAACCCGTCTCATCTTGAAGCCGAAGATCCCGTCGTGCTTGGAAAGACCCGCGCAATTCAGCACTACAACCATGACGAGAAGAACTTCAACAGCGCCATGGGTGTGTTGCTCCATGGTGATGCTGCTTTCGCCGCCCAGGGTGTTGTCTACGAGACTATGGGCTTTCAGTCGTTGCCTGCCTACTCGACCGGCGGTACAGTTCACATCATCGTGAACAACCAGATCGGTTTCACTACTGACCCTCGTTTCGCTCGCTCTACCCCGTACTGCTCTGATATTGCCAAAGCGATCGAAGCCCCTGTCTTCCACGTCAACGCTGACGATGTCGAGGCCGTCAACTTTGTTTGCCAAATGGCCGCTGACTGGCGTGCTCAGTTCAAGAGTGATGTCGTTATTGACATTGTCTGCTACCGTAAACAGGGCCACAACGAAACCGACCAACCGGCCTTCACCCAACCATTGATGTACAAGCGTATCGCTGACCAAACTAGTCAATTGGAAAAATACGTCGACAAGCTCTTGAGTGAGAACTCGTTTACCAAGGAAGACATCGAGGAACACAAGAAATGGGTCTGGGGAATGCTCAACGACAGCTTTGATCGCAGCAAGGACTACCAGCCTACGAGCAGAGAATGGCTGACTTCTGCCTGGAACGGATTCAAGTCTCCCAAGGAGCTTGCGACCGAGGTTCTCCCTCACCTCCCAACCGGTGTTTCCCATGAAAACCTGCGCACGATCGGAGATAAGATCAGCGAGGCACCTGAGGGATTCAACGTCCACCGCAACCTCAAGCGTATTCTCGCGAACAGAAAGAAGACCGTGGATGAGGGCAAAAACATTGACTGGGCCACTGCGGAAGCTCTCGCTTTTGGTACGCTGTGCAACGAAGGCCATCATGTCCGTGTCTCCGGCCAGGATGTTGAGCGCGGTACTTTCTCCCAGCGACATGCTGTTTTGCACGACCAGGAGAGTGAGGCGACCTATACGCCTTTGCAGCACATCAGTGAGAACCAGGGTACATTTGTTATCTCTAACTCCTCGCTCAGCGAGTTTGGCGTGTAAGTTCATTCGTTCTCTTTGTCTTTGTGGATTTGCCTAAACTTATTGTTAGTCTTGGATTCGAATACGGCTACTCATTGACATCGCCCAATGCTCTGGTCATGTGGGAAGCTCAATTTGGCGATTTTGCCAACAACGCTCAGTGCATCATCGATCAGTTCATCGCCTCTGGTGAAGTAAAGTGGCTCCAGCGATCTGGCTTGGTCATGTCCCTGCCTCACGGTTATGACGGTCAAGGTCCTGAGCACTCTTCTGGCAGAATCGAACGTTATCTCCAGCTTTGCAATGAGGATCCGCGTGTATTCCCGTCTCCCGACAAGCTCGATCGCCAACATCAGGACTGCAACATGCAAATTGCTTACATGACCACTCCTGCCAACTTGTTCCACATCCTCCGTAGACAGATCAACCGCCAGTTTAGAAAACGTAAGCATTTATTATTTGTTGTCGGGCATGAACACGTTGATGCTAACAGTTTTTACCAGCTCTTATCATCTTCTTCTCCAAAGCTCTCTTGCGTCATCCAATTTGCCGTTCGTCCATCGAAGACTTCACCGGCGACTCCCACTTCAACTGGATTATCCCTGAGACTGAACACGGCAAGTCCATCGCAGAACCCGAGCAGATCGATCGCGTCATCCTTTGTACGGGTCAGGTATACGCCGCGCTCGTCAAACACCGCGAGGCCCAGGGCATCAAGAATACCGCCATCACTCGTATCGAACAACTTAACCCCTTCCCGTGGCAACAACTCAAGGACAACCTTGACAGCTATCCCAACGCCAAAGACATTGTTTGGTGCCAGGAAGAACCGCTCAACGCGGGTGCCTGGAGCTTTGTCCAACCACGCATTGAGACGCTGTTGAACAATACCGAGCACCATAACCGTCGCCATGTCCTGTATGCTGGCCGTAACCAGAGTGCCAGTGTCGCCACTGGATTGAAAGCCAGCCACATCAAGGAGGAGCAGGAATTGTTGCACGATGCATTCACCGTGCATCAGGATAAATTGAAGGGAGAGTAGAGGATCAGATATGAAAAGGGGGACAGGATGGGGTGATGAAAAAGAAATCAGATTTCTTCCTTTTTTTCCCCTTTCCACCTATTCCCAAATGCATTATGCTTCAGAAATTTTACCCCTGTACAACAACATGCATGTTCTGCCTGTCGCCCCCTTTTTTTGCACTGCAAGTTCATATGAATGGTGAAACTCGGGGCGGTGTCTTATCTTCTTTGCTTGATTTTACGCTCTTGATTCCCTTTGCGATTTTCACCATGTTCATATTCATCACGCCATGTCGTGACCTGGCTCTCCTTTGTAACTTTTTTCACTTACTTGTTACTTTGTGACGAGTTTCCTTGTAGCATCAGAAATCCCAGCATTGCCTTGTTCTTTTCTTTCCCTCGGCTTACCTTTTCCAAGATGACCAAAAAAAAGATGATGATGACTCTTGCTCGAGATTTTATATGTCTCGCGCATTGTTGATGCTTGCCTTTTGCTCTTTCGGGAAAGGCATGACAGCTGCATGTTTATGTTGACAGAGAGAATACTATTAACCACTTCTGAGGAATGTTATTCAAGGAGGTTTTCCAGTCTTCTAGCTTCAATTGTGAAATGAACATGTAAGTTTCAAGGTTATAAGTCCTGTGTGGTGTATATCAACTGCTCGTCTTTGATATTGAGCATGACATCATTCTGGCGTCCTGGTGCCTTAATTACATAATCCGGTCGCGCCAAAAGCGAAGCCGAAAAGCGAGTCTTTTGCTGCTCGCTTTGGCTTCACCCCGACCTCATCCTGCTGTCGCTGCAGTGAGATAACCAGTGCTTTCGGTTGAATTCGCCATCTGTCACCATGTCAGTGATGCTCTAACATTTTAGTTTCACCGTTTTCTCCTTTGGCTTGACTCCGCAGCACCGTTTGACCCGTCGCATCGCATCTCCCTTCGTCAAGCCCATTACCCTCACCGGATCAGCGCTGATCGAGGTCCCTGTGCTGATAAAGCTTTATTGAACTGCCTTACCCCCAGACCTACACAGCTCACATTACCACCCCGCCTTTCACGTCCATGATGGCCACTGCCAACGGCACCATGGGCAACTCCTCCAACATCCGCTCCTCCACCCTCCGCCAAACCCGCACCAACCCCAGTCGTCAATCGAAAACCGTCGGCCGAACCTCCATAATGAACCATGTTTCCAACCCGTTCAACAGCCCTTATCACTCCGGTATCCCAGGTGGGGGAGCTGCCGCGTACCCAAACGGCCATCACGCGGCTGCCAACCAGCACCCGCCGGGCTTGTATCCTGGCATTCAGCATTTTACCGATACGATCGCCGCGCTGCCTAGGGAGTTTCGCAGACACACGTCGTTGTTGAATGAGGTGGATGGGAAGGCGTTTGCGCTGGAGGCACTGTTGCCGCAGCTGATGCAGGTTGCGGCAGAATCGATTTCAGGGCCGTTCCCGGTGGTCGGAGAGGTTGATCCGCAGGTGGAGGGGTTCCAGATAGTAAGTTGGCTGTTCCGCTTTTGGGGATCATGGGCTTTTATGTTTTGAATGGAACTATTTTTTTTTCTAATGTGCGTCCACACTACAGGATGCCGCGCAAACTGAATCCCCCGATAAAACTGCCGCAAGAAGACAGGCTTTCCAAGATATTCGGAACACCCTTACCGACCTTTTACCTACGATGGATGAGAAAAATCACGTTGCTCGAAACGCGTACCTTTCACTGAAAAAAGATGTTAACCGCCTCGAGATTCTATATCCTTATGTGCAGAACGAAGTATCCGATGAAGCTCGTATCGGAAGTCGTACCCACTGGGCGTATCTCAACAAACCTGTCAAACCTACTGGGACAGCTGGATCGGAACGCCCGAGGCGAGAGGCTGCAACAAGAGATCGCGATGCCGCATTCCATGACGAAGCCGTACGGGAATCCAGAAGAGATGTAGCCGCGACAAGGAAACAACGTCGTAATCGAATTGAGCCGTACGCAGATGAGGCGCGTGCTCGCGGAAGTAACGTCGCTGCCAAAAATCGCGGGGGAGAGTCTACACAGGTCAATCAAACCGTTGCCATGCCTACAGCTCCATCAAAGAGAAGACGCGTTGAGAAGGCGATGGCTGCGCCGAGCTCTACGGCAATGGAACGTTCGACAAGTACCGCGACTAATGTTGGTACAAGTCGAACTGTGAAAGAGTCCCCAGCCCCGGAAACGGGAAAGAAGAGAGTTCGTGCTCAAAATATAACCGTGGCGTCGCGGAAGAGGTATGTGGTTTTGTTCTTGACTCGTGAAATCCTCCATAATTTTCCCCAAAGTTAGGGAGGATTTCAACTCTTGTTTCTAACGTTTGCCTTTATTGTTTTCAAGCAGAACCAACACCCTCAACTCGACCGCGGATGCTCCATCGTTGCCATCTCCTGTTGCTCCCCATGTTAACCCCCTTGGAAAAACTAGTTCTCCTTCATTGAATGGCCCCAACCGGCCCCAACCTTCTCGAGTGCAACAAACCGCTGCTACAGCGAGCAACGGTCGCCAACGACCTTCTTCATCTACTTCCAACCGGAACCTTAATTCTAGTACGTCTCTTGGACCTGGACCCGCCCATCTGGACCACCTTTCTAACTCGGCTTCCACTGCAGATAAAGGTATTTTGGAAACGAAAATTCCCGCGCCTAAGGATTCATCTGGCCCTAGAGTCGAGCATTCTCCTCCTGCTGCTATTCTCCCCGAATCAAAAGTCAATGCTGGTGTCGAACCCAAAGCTGATTCCTTGGTCATTACCAATCCAGGCGACCGAGATATACCGCGTGGCACCTCCCTGACCATTACTACGGCTGTTACAGCTAAATCGGAGCCCCAGGATGTTGCCAATAAAAATTCCCCCGTCCCACCTAGTGTCACGTCCAAAGGCCGTTCTTCCAAAACCTCTACCCCCGTTGTTTCCAGCTTTGCAGAGTCACAAAGATCTTCCAGACCTTCAAGGTCCACCGTGGCAACCACTGCCGCTGCTGAAGGGTCCGTTACGTCTTCCACTAGTTCTAAGCGCGCTCACAAGAAAGGGGCCGGCAACACTGCAGCTATGGCTCCTACTGCTAGACAATTGGCCATGGCAGCTGCTGCGGCTGCCGAGGAAGCAGATGAGGACTCCTCTCAACACGGAGATGATGAGGTTGATGATGGGGAATTGAGGTATTGCTATTGTAACCAAGTCAGCTTTGGAGAGATGGTTGCGTGTGACATGGAGAATTGTCCGAGAGAGTGGTTCCATTTGTCGTGCGTGGGGTTGACAAAGCCACCTTCGGAGAATGGTGGGTTTTCCGTCCCAGTTTTGATCAAGGCTCTCGTTTTACTGACTGCATCATTTCCCCCGTGTAGTGAAGTGGTATTGCAAGGAATGCAAAGAGACGATGAAGAAGGGCAAGTCGAACGGTCGATGAACATTGAATGTTCATATCAACCAGCATTTTGCGGCACTTTTCAGCATTTTACGCGCTTGTTTAGTTATATATTGACACCACGGCCAATTCGTCCCTAATTTTCATGATGGCCTAGTGGCAGGAGTTTTTATGTTCTGTTTTATGGACGGTTTTCTCTTTATTGATTTACCAGATCAGTGAACCCTTTCTCTAATGAGCCGGCTTCGAGAGCCCACATAGACGTGCAGCTAGATGGGGCCTAATATGGCACATCACAACATAAACAGTGTCTTCCCTTCAAGCGCTAGGACTATCTATTTCTGTGACTATGTTCTTCACTGTCTTGGTGGATTGATGTAATTGCATAATCGATTTTCCAGTTACATAGTCTATTATCCTTCTAAGTTATGATACTTCAAACATCCAGGGTAAATTAGTTTCAAGTGTGAAAAAGGTAAAATGCATGATATTTCCAATAATGCCCAAAACAAATGCAAATGCAATTCGAATACGCCATACCAAACATAATGCCATCTATAAGGAGGTCTTGCTCTCCACATCTACACCATCCATATAACCCTCTCTCCCTAAAACGCTCCCCGAAACCGGTCAAATATCTGTCCCGCCAACGGTCTCCGCCTCTGCGTCTCCCCTCCGTCAACGCCACTTCCTTCCCCTCTCGCCGCCGCCGCCGCACGCGATTCGCCCTCTAATCGTCGCCGGAGGCCTTCATACCGCTCCGCCTCCGGCCCATCGTGCTCCGGCGCGGTGCCCTGCCTGCGATCGAAAGCGGTTTCATGTCCGCCGTATACCCAGCGCGGAATGCGCCAGGACGGGGCGGAGAAGCGACCGGGTAGGAGTTCTGCGCGCCAGGCGTGGCCGATGATCCAGCCTACGGCTGCGGGGAGGAGGGAGTTGGGGAATTGGGAGAGGGAGAGTTGGAGGGCGAGGAAGTAGATGGTGGATTTGTCGCTGAGGTGGAGGGTGAGGGCGGAAGGGGTCGTGGTGGTGCCGGTGGAGATGGTGTATTTGTATGTGGTTGGGATGGCGGCGTGGTATTGGGCGAGAAGGGCGAAGAGGATTGCGGTTGGGCCGGCGGGAAGGTAGTTTAGGGTGTTGAGGGTGAGGGGTCGAAGGACGAGGGAGAGGAGGAGCGGCGGGAGGAGGGTGGTGTAGGGTAAGGTCGAGAGGATGAAGCTCTGTTTGTCTGATATTAGAGGCCAGGCTGGAGACTTGGGGAGAGATATCAAAGGCGGCATACAGCGAGCTTGCGTGACCCCCATAGTCGTTCCACCACGCGCAAACTGTACAGCACCATGCACGCCTGGAGGACTTCGGTTGAATTGGTGTAGCATATCTAGCCAAAATGATAATCTCCGTTAGCTCACGCACATTCAACCAGAGGCCTCTTGTCACTGCATGCATGGATTGCGAGCGATCTAACCTGCCATATAACGAGCCTCCACCACTGCCAGTATTGCCATAGATGCGGGGTGACTTGGATGTAGAAGAGATACTTTGTATCAGCGATGCTCACGGCAATCGAGGACGAGATGAAGAAGATGATTGCATATTTGGTGAGCGGCGCGTTGCTGAAGCCGGACGTTAACATTGTGGCTCGGGTTCGTCGTCTGCCTGCTCACTTGTGCCGTGGCCTGGATGGAGCACTGAGTCAAGGAGAAGTCGGAATATCGCTAAGTAATAACTAGTTAATTGATCATGGTTAGCATCACTCTCCTGTTGTCCGCTGGATGGATGGAGCTGTTGTATGGTTTGAATTGAGTTTGCTGTTGCATGAATTGAAGAGTAGAAGAAACATCAGGTCACTGAGGTCACTAAGGACAAGAGAGAGAGATATTCACTCAGATACAAAACTGCAAGGGAAACACGGGGTTCATGCTCTTGATTTATTCGTTTGCAAATCTATTAGGGATTCATATCTGAGTTCACATACATCCTGCCCATCAACCGCTAATTCTGTCCCAGGAGCACGCAAGAAAACTGATGGAATGTTATACAAGTGCCGCCTCTTTGCTCTGCTGCGCAACAGCGGTTCTATACTCTGAAATGGCCTTTCCCAGTGCATTCACCGTGGGCCCCATTAACTGATTCACCACCTTCTGCCCGCCCTCTACCCCTTTCAAATTCGGTCGAATATTTCTACCCGTGGCGGCCATAATCTCTCGAGCCTGCTGTTTGCGGCGCTCAATTTCAGCCTGGCGTTCAGCTTCCGCCTCGTCGGAGACGGCTTTGATTCGATCCATCGCTCGATTGAGGGATTCAACCAACGACGTGATCTCCGCAACACGATCAGGGTTTCCAGACAAGAAAGCTTGCCAGAACTGATGTAAAAACTCAGTGGTGGTCGCGTGCGTGAGGCTTAGACGGTCGAAGATTGCTTGTGGCAAACCGCATGTTTTTGAATTCGATGCAGAATCAGCCTGTGCTCTTCGGTCTCGAATAGCCTCGAAGATCTGAGCCGAAGCCCTGGCCAAACCGGCCTTGGAGCCAACTACTTGTTTCTTCGGATGGGTATCATCCTCATCACTGTCATCTTCTTCGGGTTCAACGAGCTGATCCAACGGTACACCAGCTCCTCTATCGGGATATGTCCTGGCCAAGTCAACATTTAAAGACTTTAAAATGACTGCCGGATCTTGACTCGCGAAGATACGCGCTTCATTACTTTCCTCTTCCTTTGTTGCAGCAAAAAACCTACTCTGATCTTTGATGTTCAGCATGATCCTATCTTGTTCTTCATTTTCACGAAGATCTCGAAGTTGTAGCTGGTTGAATGTCTCTTCGTCCATCCCAACCGGCGCCGACGGATCACGATCGATTGGCGCGACGTTGGCCATGATCTTCTCGCTCAATTGATTCAAAGTTCGAATGACGGGCACTTTATCCAAAGATGATGGCCTCATATCAAAATTCGGACGGTTCCCATGCCTTCTGACATCCTCTTCGTTTGCTTCAAGGTCAATGATATGTGGTACATTTGTCGTTGAATTGTGGCCAGCATGTTCGTCGGCCCTCAGATACTTATCAAGTAGTGAATCGGTGGCATCTGATTCTGTAATTCGCTCGCCTCTCAACTTTTTAAATAGCCGGCTTTGGAAAAAGCGGGACCAGAATTCTTGCTCCGTCAGTCTGGGTACATTTTCATCATATACCTTCTTGACCAATGGGTGCTGGGTAAAAATCAGCTGGATTTGCTCTTTGCTAATGTTTAGCTTGGTAACACTGTTCTCCACTCGTGGTTTCAACGAAGAAAGCACATTGTACGGCCCGCGAGCTTGGGATTTTTCAATCGCGTGTGCACGAAGCAGATGTACTCGCGAAGACCAGAACTGAGACATGAACTGCGCGCTCGATACTGATTCTGGTTTGTTCCGCAGCAACTCCATGAAGACCTGTCGCAGATTCTGGTCCGACTTCAGCAAAGACTGTTGTAGCTCGGCATCTGACTTGAGTTTATTGTCATCGTACCAAATAGGTTTTCCGCTGCCGGTAGAAGTCACCGCGCTCGCTATGGCCATAGCCGCCGACTGCCCACCGGACGCAGCTGCCTGGGCGGTTTTTGCTGTTTGAATGCCAGCATTTAGTATATCTCTAATCGTATCCGCCTCGGCACGCGCGTTGGTGGGAGATGTAAAAGCAAAAAGATATTGTTCCACCTCCCCAGAGGCAGCTTTTCCGGGTTGATACGCAAAGATTTTAAGCATGATTTTCGGGCTTGTGATGGGGGTTTGTTGGAGATCTAGTAGTTGTAAATCATAGCACCAATTAGCATCCAAGTTCTTATGCTATGCGGGATTCTCAAACAGCCCCATAATGAACGCAGGGACAGAAGTGGGAGATTCTGAGATATTACGAGGGTAGCACATACGGCTAAGATTCGCAACATGAAGGGTAAAAGCACCCACTGGCCCGCCGCTTATTTTTGGCGCCCATGAGACGGACTGCCCGTCTTGAGACATGGACAGCGTTCCATCCTTCTTCTTGTATGACGCCGTTGCGCTGGCCGGCGCGGACGCCATCTCGCTGGTGCTCCGAAACTAGAAAACCCCGAAGCTCGCACCGCCTCGCAGGAAGACCGTCTGCACGCAATCTCCCATCTGGAAAACCGGTCATTCACTGGCGGCGGGTGAAAGCGCGCGAGCACAGAATGGACATTGGTAGAGCTTGATGTGAGAGCTGGCGGTTCCCGTCGCTCGTTTGAAGCTCCACTCGAAACGGCACTTTTTGATGCGTCTTGAGCTGACTCAGCCAGTGCTTGGCATTCAATATGGACAGCAGAATTTATACACTCTATCGTACATGGACTTTCAAGATTCAAACGGATATTATACAATTCGCTTTATTGCAAGATCATGCGTTCCCATCATCTATGTTTCCAAGGTTCACTTTTCCTCGAGTCTCCGCCTCTCCCCACCCGTAGTTGTCCCATAATCGCTTCCAAGTAGGTATCGGGATCGGTTTCTCCTCTCCCAGAACCCACTCTCTGCCCTCCGCGATGCGCTCTGCTCTCGCATCCTCTTCCGGTGCCAGAACGAACCGCCGCATCCTTGAGCCAAGGCGCGGATCGATGACGACGTCGTCGAGCCATTCCCGTTCTTTGACCTCGGGGTTCTCCGGGGTTTTATGCACAGACTTGTGCCATTCCTTCTCTTCTTGCTCAAGGAGGTGTTGCTGCTCATAATTCAGCGACGAGGATGACGTTGGGGAGTCGGAATGGTCGGGCTCTGAGTCTGAGGGTTGGTAAGCGTCTGAGTAAGGTCTGCACGAGGATGCGAGCACAATTGCGGCGACATCCCGGCCGACGCTATCCGCTAAATATCGACGAGTGAGAAACCGTTTAATTCGAATAGGGGTATTTAGGAAGCCTAAGATATGCGGAAAGGCAATTGGCGATGAGGGTTGGAATTCGTCTGGTAGAGAGCGTGGGAGTTCTTGTGAGGAGTACAGCGATGGTAGCAGGTAAGTAGGCGTAGGGCCAGTTGGTTTCTTGGCTTCAGGTTTCTTTTCATCTTTTTTCTTCTCTTCAGCGGTGGTCGAGCTGTCATCAGAAATGAATTCGTTTTCAGTCGGTTTCTCGGTATCTGGGACCGCAGGTTCGGCTTCAGCAGGCATAGGGGGGGCCATGGGCCCGAGCCAGCCTTCGTGAAGGCCGCGAATATATTCCTTCCATGTATGCCTTCCGATGACCACATCACCCTTCACGCTCGGCTCATCATGAGTCCCAAATTGCTCCCTTACCCGCTTCAATGCGGATTCGTGGTCATCCTCTTCTAGCGGAGCGCCTTCGCCAGCTTTCCGTCTCAACCTTCGAATCTTTTCGGCCAATGCGGCTCTGATATCGCCTTCCCTTCTCCCCTCTAGAACCTCGTAGTCCACCGCTCCTGAGACCAGGATTGGCTTAACATATTCTCTGAAATGATCTCTTGCGCTCATTAGCCCATCTCCGGGAGGCGCTGCGAGAAAAATGGTAAGTTTTCGCCGGGTTTCATTCGTGGGAAGAGGCTCTTTTGCGATATGGGCGACTAAATTTGACCATTTCTCTTGTACCCGTTTCTTTTCCCGCCGGTCGTAGATCAGGGCTCCGAAAAAGGACCCGGTAACAGTGAGAAATATCATCCAATTTCGGGAAGGAAGTTTGAATCGGAAATTCGGGAGACCTTCAATACAGCTATTAGCACCCAAAACATAGTTCAATTCTCCACGCCTTGCCAGACGTACCGAGCATCCTCAGGGCGGGATTTTGCGCCTTCGGGGCAGTTTTCGGGGCGCCATTTTGCGCAGGGGACGGAGACGACGAAGAAGTCTTCGAATCAGCCATAACAGCTGTAGAAATCAGGCTCAAAGCTAGATGGAAATAATTCTTTGGCCGGGGCAGTTGTCTTTCTCCTCTTCACTATCGCTTTCCGCACTTTTTCATTCTTTTCAAAAAAGGTTTGAAGCTTCACATCGGAATTTAGTTGTTCCGGCAGATTTTGAGCTCAACGCGATTTCGCCTCTTGAACCGCCAGACGGACTAAGCAGCTATTGTTCATCTTTCTGGTGATTGATGATATGGTTCTCTCTATTGGGGGAATAGGCTCCCACTATCAGACCAGTGCAGGAAGAAACACTGAGAACACAGTTACACAGCTCACACTTATTGTACAGCAGGACCTCTTATCATCTCTCACACAGATCAACCCTCCTAGTACCCAACAAGCCTGAAGGACTCAGATGGCTTAACATAAATACTCTTGCTCCTCCGACTTAGCTTCGAATCATGCCTACATCCGAACACATTACGAAACCTCCCGCACAATGCAGGATGGTTGCCCCTATCTCAATTCATGGAAGCAACTTGAGGATGCACTAGGCAACAAGCATGTTGCCTCAAGATTACACCTCGTCCTGCATATTCGCTCAAAATATGCCGCAGTATGTCATTCTAATTGTCCTTCTCTTGATTTAACTGACAATCAAAATCAGAGCAACTTCTGACGATTGTGACGATTGTGACATGGATTGCCATTGCGGCCGGTTGCAGGATGACGTTCGCATAAGGCATTTGGGCGGGCTTCTTAACCCTATCGTTTCCGTTTCATGCGTTCAGTGAAACACCTCCTACTTGGCTACCAGAGCCTCTAGTCTTCCGGCCGTAGTGCATTCACCTAGTTTTCGGGGGACTTGTGCGGCTTTTTAACGGCAGTACTGCGTTGAACCGTTAACAATGTCGGCAATTGGAACGAGGAGGACTAACGTTACCGTCTAATCGCGTTCTAGAGATGGGATCTCATTTTATACGTATATTTTTCCCGCCGGGAATATCCTATTCTTGAATCCTTTTCTTCTCGTGGAATGAGACGGGATGGTATCCTGTTTCCATAAGCTCATATTCTGGTCCCGAAATGCATGTAGAATCCATATTATAGAGCTTGATCCCGGGTTCCAATGATTCCAAGTCCCATGCCAGCCGTGGTGGTCCCTGCCAGCACTCACCTGGCTGAGGGGATATCATAGGGGGACATACTTTTCCCTAAGCTGCACTAACTCTCGGATGCCATGTTGTTCCGACAAGGTTGCGGCTGCTGCCATGCCGCTAAACCACAAGCAGCCTGGCGTAGTTCGATGGGGAGGCCTAGGCGGAGGAGAACAGTTTCAAAGCTGCTTGAAAGTTGACAACAACCTTAGTCCTCTTAAAAACAACAACCACGTTCACTCACCTGCCTGCTCTTGTGTTGTTTCGATCTGCCCTCTTTGCCTTTATCTCAGCCATCCAAGGAGCTGGCCTTGTCTCCGGGACAGGCTTCTTCTCCTGGAATTTGTGTGTGTTGTCAGGACGAAGCCACCCCTCTCCTGAGCCTCAAATTCCTCGCTTGCTCTCGTCTCGCGTCGCCTTCTCGTCCGTCGCTTTCACTTCAATTCAATCATCGAGGCATAAAGCCACCGACCATCGCTTGCGAACATGGACCCCAATCACCCCAATAATCGCCTCAACCTCAATTTCGGGTTCAATGACCGTCCGTACACCGCCTCCAACCCCCGGGCATACCCTACCACCCCGTCGACGTTTCCGCAGCCGATGTACCCGAATCAAGGTGGTCATGATTATGTCGACGCCCAAAATGCACAGAATGCATATGGCCAGGGATATTTTGTGAATAATCCGTATGCCCAGCAGGCTCCGCTTCAGCAGCAATACATGCACCCGAACGCCCCTCCACCACAGGCCGCCTATCAAACACGCCCTGGTGGATATCAGCCAAATGATGGGACAAACGGGTTGATTCAGCAATTCTCAAATCAAGACCTTGGTGGCTCTCCTCGTGGAGCAGGTGCTGGTCGCGGTCCCCCACCCGCCCAGCGCCCTCGGACTGCAGGGTCTCCCGCTGGAAATCAAGGACCCGGACACCTGGCACCGTCTATGGCTAATCGGAGTCCCAAGCCGGCCGGTGAAGAAGAGGAATTGGTCAGGTGCCCGGAGAAATACTCTGAGAACGTTCACAAGAGAGGAAAGGCAGCCAAGGAGTTGGTCAATGTTTTCTTTCGCGAGAACATCGAACGCGCACGTGATCGCAATCTTCGGTATGTTGGGCGTGTTTGCACGGAACAGGCAACGGGTGCTAATGATATATGCTTCACAGTGCGGTGAATCTCGACAAGACCTTTCAGAATGCTTCCGTCCCGGAGGCCAGGAAACGCCATGAGGCGGAGACCGTGGCTAAGAAGGAATCCAATTTCCTACGATTTATTCGAACCAGAGAAACTGTTTCAAACTTCCAGACTCTCAAGATTATCGGTAAAGGCGCCTTTGGTGAGGTAAAGCTAGTTCAGCGGAAGACAGATGGAAAGATCTATGCCCTCAAATCCTTGATTAAGTCTGAGATGTTCAAGAAGGACCAGCTCGCTCACGTTCGTGCGGAACGTGATATCCTTGCCGACTCCAAGGACAATCCTTGGCTGGTGAAACTGCATGCATCGTTCCAGGACTTGGCTTATCTCTACCTGCTCATGGAATTCTTGCCCGGAGGTGACTTGATGACCATGTTGATCAAATATGAGATCTTTTCAGAAGATATCACTCGATTTTATATGGCCGAATTGGTGATGGCGATTGAGGCTGTTCATAAACTCGGCTTCCTTCACAGGTAAGACTATACTACGACCAGCTCCTTTTTCGATGTTTGAAGCTAACAGGGTACTTGCAGAGACATCAAACCAGACAACATTCTCCTCGACCGTGGTGGCCATATCAAGCTTACAGACTTTGGTCTATCAACTGGCGGAAAGAAACAGCATGACAACTCATACTACCAACAGCTTCTGAAAAACACGTCCACTTCTAAAGATAAGAATCGTAATTCAGGATTCTTCAATGACGCCATCAACCTTACGGTCTCCAACCGTGGTCAGATTAATACTTGGCGAAAGTCCCGTCGTGCCATGGCTTACTCAACCGTGGGAACGCCCGACTACATTGCCCCTGAGATTTTCAACGGACAGGGTTACACTTATATGTGTGACTGGTGGTCTGTCGGCGCAATCATGTTTGAATGCCTTGTTGGATGGCCGCCGTTCTGTGCTGAGGAAGCTACAGACACCTATCGAAAGATTGTCAACTGGAGGGAATGCTTATATTTTCCAGAGGAATTGACGCTCTCGCGCGATTCTGAGCACCTCATTCGAAGGTATTTTCATCAGTCATTGAGTTTGCTCCGCTCTCTGTCAGAGTCTAATGATCGTTTAGTTTCCTCTGTGATCCTGAGCATCGCATTGGCCAGGAAGGCGGCCAGCACGGCGGTGCAACTCAGATCAAAAGCCACCCATTCTTCCGCGGAGTCGTCTGGGACCAGCTTCGCAAGATCCGTGCTCCGTTCGAGCCTAGACTTACTTCTAATGTTGACGTTTCTTACTTCCCGATAGATGAGATTCCCCAGGAGGATAACAGCGCTCAGCTCCGGGCTCAGGCTCGTGCTATGCCAGAGGAACAAGAAGCCGAAATGAGTCTTCCGTTCATTGGTTATACCTACAAGGCTTTCAATGCTTTTCAGGGTAACTAAGGTGTGTCTCGAAGAGGTCCAGTCAATGGTTAAGGACGTGCATGAGGCAGCTTCGCTCTAGGAAAATCGACCTTTCTACGTAATGTGCACCTGTTATCCGATATGACAGAATTTTAATGACCATGAACTTTATTTTAATCCATTCGAAATCTACTACTTCGGTTCAAAAGCTGGTCAAACCACGAAATAATCGCCCATGTACCACTTGGACCACTTAAGAAATCTTAGAAATGTAGTTTTGATATCGGCATAAACAGCCTTTAGATATATTACAGCAACAATCATGCAACGCACTCCCAGTTCAGCAATCAAATAATTCCAGATCCCAAGACTCCAGACTACCAGTCCTAGACTCCCAGAGAAAATGTTGTAAACCAGCTGCTGGCCTTAGAAACAGCTCATCGCCTCGGTAAACTTGGCGCCAAACCGGGCACACCAGAATACCGCTCCTCTCTCTCCGTCTTAAACAATATTTGCACCCAAAACTCCTTACTATCCTCATCAAACCACGACCAGAACTTGCCCTCTCTCCGATCCACCTCCCTCGCCTGCAACTTGAACCCGCACGTTTGATACGGCTCCGCCGCCACGAGCAGATACTGAAAATTCTTATCCGGCGGATCATCCACCTTTTGCTCAAACGCCGACATGAACCGCACGCGCGGCGTCACACCGGGCGTGATTTCCTGATACTGAAGCTGAAACAGCAGCCCATGCTGCCTCGTCAGCGGGTCGCGGATCTTGGTGATCTTGTACCCCGGCCGACCGATCTTGACCGTGTTGCGTTTGACCTGCACGCCCATGGCGCCCGGGAGCAGGGAGCCGTCGGTCTCGGCCTTGCCTTCTTTTTGCTCGCGCGCCGCGCGCCGGGCGAGATTGGTCTGGTGCTTGCGGCCCTGGGTGTGGGCGAGGTAGGAGCCGTCATTTTGGTGGACGGTGAGGCAGAGGCGGCATTCGAAGCTGCCGACGTGGTTTTTGAAAAAGTATGGGTCTTTGTCGAGGTCGATGTGCTCGAGGGCGAGTTTGCGCAGACGTTCGCGGCGGTCAGCGTTGGTGGCGGAGTGGGAGGCTACGCCTCCTCCACCGAATTTGGAACCGGCACGATTCTAGGGGAGGAGGGGTTAGTTAGCTTGCTTGCGGGTATGCGAAGGGAAAGAGTCTTACTTGAAAATCCATGGTGTAAATCTCAAAGCATCGGGATTGGATAAGGGTTGGAGGAGCTCGGATCTGAGGTGATGATGCTGGTCGTTTTTTGCCGCACAGCTTACTCAGTAACTAGCTGGTGTTTGACTTGTTTGATTCTAGGTGGAAAAGCAAACCATACTCCGTATTTGCCCACCTATTGGTACAGAGTACGGAGTACATAAGCTTGAATTGGCACCACAGAAAAATCTGATACTTGATGGGAATGCACCAAAAACAAAAAAAACAAAGAGAAAAGGAAAAAAAAACCGAGATAAAAACAATTGGACACTGTGGGAATCGAACCCACGACCTTACCATTGCGGGTGGTATGTTATACCCCTAAACCAAGCGCCCATAATAGTTCCAAGCATCGGACCCCTAGTTGCTTAAGAGTTTAATGAGTAGCAAAAAGGCTACTAACGGACTTGCAGGCCATACTTGCACCACGACACGTCGTGAAGACGGACAACCTTGGGGAATATACTCGGTTCTTGAAGGCGTACGCGACAAGCTGATTGTTTCTACACATACCAGCCCAATTCCTATGGCTACCTCAGCAGAGATTCAACCTCAGCCCATAGTGAGGGTCGGCAGTCGGCGCTCATATGATGGCGGTCTCTGCACTGTCAGGTATGTGGGTACACTTGAAGGAGTGGATGGCCGATGGCTGGGTGTAGAATGGGATAATCCATCCCGGGGGAAACATTCAGGCGAACATAAAGGGGTGAAATATTTCGAATGCATGTGTATACGTTTTGATCATGAGATATATGCTCTTGTTACTACCCTTGGACAACAAATGGCTAATAAGCTTTGCAGGTCGAGGCAATTCACCCACAGCGGGCTCATTTCTGCGCATATCTAGAATGCCAGATAGACCCCGGGGGTTTCGGGAGGCTCTCCGCGCGAAGTATGCCTCTGAGCCGGAGGTAGGTGCAAGTTCTAGCTCTGGGAGCACGGAGCCACTTCAAATCAGCGGGAAGGTTGTCGAGGAGGTTGGCTTTGATAGGGTTCGTAAGATACTTGCTACCCTGCAGGAGCTTAGAATTGTTATCCTAGACGGTATGCGCATTAGGGGCTTTGCGGCGGAGGAAGACGAGGACCTGCGCAAGGCGGAAATAGAGCGCGTCAAAGAACTTTGTCCAAAAATTACCCAACTTGACCTGAGTCGAAATCTGCTCGCAGACTGGACAGAAATCGCGGATCTTAGTGAGCAGCTGGAGGATTTGCGAATCTTGAAGTTGGAGTATGCATTATATCGCATTCTTATCTCCCAGTGGTGACTGTGGATTGCTGATCTTCAACAGCGGCAACCGTTTCAGCATTTCTCTCGGGGACAGGGTATTAAGAGGAATAACTGAATTACATCTTGATGAAACACTCTTAACATGGGAAGAAGTACGATCGCGTGAACCGGCTTGATTGTGCCTTTATTGACAAAGCTCACAGATATCTGCCCTTTCCTACCGAGTTCCAGACCTCCGCAAGCTCTCCTTATCGTCCAACAATTTACCCCTTGTCTCTGTTCCAATATCAAACACAATAACGGACATAACCCTAGAATCCAACAACTTTACTACAATACAGGGCCTCTCACACTTGTCATCGCTCCCAAATCTAACTCGGCTGTCCGTTCGCCGAAACAAGATCAGCGTGATTCAAGATTCGAATGATAAAACCCATCCCTTGCGGTTCTCGCCGACAGTTACTACCTTGGACATATCCCGAAATCTGATAGAATCGTGGGCTTTTATCGACGCCCTCCCATCCGTTTTCCCAGGTCTGACGAATCTTCGCATATCAGACAATCCGGTATATGAACAGCCACCTGCCTCGTCAGCCATAACAGGGCTTCCGGAGAAGCGCATGACAGTCGACGAGGCTTACATGCTTACACTTGCCCGACTCCCCAAATTAGAGATAATGAATTATAGCAAGATAACCCCCCAGGATCGTGTTAACGGAGAGCTGTACTACATGTCTCTTATCAAGAAGGAATTGTCGATATCTCCCGTAAGTGAAGAGAAGAGAATCCTTTCGTCACACCCTCAATATGGTGAACTTTGCGCGATACACGGTGCTCCTGAAATCAAACGGGCAGAGAGCAATGATCCGGTTAATATACGATCCCTCGCAGCACGTCTGATCAACTTTACGTTTTATTTCCCAAATGCTAAGCATGCTCCCGGGCAAACAGCCATGGAGTTCAGAAAGGAGATCCCAAGAACATTCGACATATATCGCGTCAAAGCCATCGTTGCACGCCACTTTTCCCTTGCTCCTCTAAGCTTCAGACTAATCTGGGAGACAGAGGAGTGGGACCCGGTTGAAGAAGGCGTGGCGGAGGAAGACGAATGGGATAGTGGCGATGAGGGAGACGAGGAGCCCGTTGAGGTAGGACGTCAAAAGAGATTTGTTCGGCGTGAGGAGGAATTTGTTGATTCCACCAGGGCCGTTGAGCACTGGTTGAGCCATGATACCCGTGAGGTCAGAGTAAGAGTCGAAGTGTACTGAGAGAGAATTCGATACAACAGCCTCCAGTTCAAATCTAGAAAGATTCTACTATCCATAATCATCCATTCATAACTAGCCCGTAAAGTTAAAGGTTATGTACTCCGTAGTTATGTTGTTAGCTGGTGTGTGTTTAGTCATGACACTTGGGCCACTAACAAACAAATCAACTACCTCCAGCAAAATGCCAGTACTGATTAATGAGATATCATTTGAAGCTCATCAAGTGCTGGAGAGTTAAAGGCTTGTACTCTATACCATGTGGATTAATTGCAGGCCAAGTTAGTGAAAAACAGTTTCCTAATTTCATGCGGAGTACACCTTTCTTGCAATGTCGGAGTACTGGAAGTCAACGGTAAGTGGAAATCCAAGCACAAGGACTTTGGATTATATCATTGACCTTTAAAAATCCAGCCGAAATATTGGTGCAAACACTGCAAGACATATGTCCGCGACACCCCATTCGAGCGCACCCAACACGAAGCGACGGGTAAACACCAAGGGAGCCTGAAACGATTCCTTCGCGACGTCCACCGCTCGCAGGATAAAGACCAGAGAGAATCTCAAAGAGCCAAACAGGAAGTAGAGAGGCTAAAGGGATTAGTTGGGCATGCAGCGGCAAAACCTGAGAAAGAGCCGCCATGGAAACGTGGCGGTAGGAATCCGGACGTCGGCGCATCTGCGTCGTTGAGTGTCACAAAGGAGCAAAGGAAAAGGCAAATGGAACAGCTGGCTGAGATGGGAGTTGCAATACCCGAGGAGTTTAGGCCGGAAATGGCGATGGTTGGTGAGTGGAAGACTCTTTCAGAGACTCCCGTCGCGGAGCGTGAAACCGCTGCTGTGGTGAAGGGTGTGAGGAAGAGGAAACTTGAGGATCAGGAGGAAGATGAAGAAGACGAGGCTGGCGGTCCGGTCCCTGAGCTGGAACGCCCTCGAAAGGTTTGGGGTTCGGCATTCAAGAGTCATCCAGTTGCAGAGGAAAACGACGACGAGCTTGAGGCCCTGCTAAGTATGACGAAGGATATAAAGGGGAAGAACACAAAACTAGAAACCAAGTCCGAAGACGAAGCCATTAAAGAAGAAGAGCCTGTGATGGAACCGGTGACTGGGCTGGACACGAACACAGGCTTCCAGGACAATATCAAGCGAGAAGAAGTAAAAAGCGATTCTCTAGACGCTCCCCCTACGTTGGAAGCTAGTGCTGCAAGGAACTCCACGCCGCCGGTTGTATTCAAGAAACGCAAACCGAAACAGGCCAAGAGATAATGTTCCTTCCCGCGGACATATGCCTACAATTTAGCTGACCAGATATCTCCATGTCCCAGGTCCGGGACTTCAATCCAAGCCCGGGGTTTGCAGTCATTGCAAGATCCAGTGCGGCACAATGCCAGATAAAGCTGACTGCCAGGGCTATTCATTGAGCGTCAACAAGGGAGCTAGATTTGATAAGAATTGCACTTGGAGCTTTGCTCCGCCATGTTAACCCACGGCGAACAATAAATACCTTGATCCGATCGGACCTCTAGTCTGATCATAATGCTCGGTCTGATGCTGTTATAACATGGAGGAATATTGCGAAGCCAATATGTTGCGTCTTTGAGGAATTCACTTGTATACTTTTGATAGCCGTCTCGCTGTGATAAATCAAGTGAATAAGTCTATTGACTAACAACTTGCAATATCCTAACATTGACAACTAGCCAGTATCTCATATTTTCACTGTCATTTACTCTACTGTATTCAGCCTCATTCTCGCAGTAGAAATTCTTTCAGATCAAATATTCATTTCCGTTGCTGTTAATACACTGTGCTTGGCATCAATTGCCACTCACTCGTTCATTTGCTAGTACGGAGTAGCTCCATTTTGCATCCTCGAATCCCTCATTGGCAATCGTGATTTGGGAACAACAGGACAGTCTATCCTGCCATGTTACTGTTGTCAGAGGTCTGAATGATTGCAGTTCTGTTCCCAGCACCATTGCTTGCTGTGGCAGCTCAGTGCGCAAGCAATCCATTTCGTTGACACAGAATCTGTTAAATACCCTTCTCACATCACTCTACTAGTGAACTAGAGGTAAGTTGGCTGCTTTGAGCTGATCTCAGCTGTCTTTTCTTTCCCGGATTGTTCCCTTTACTACTACGGCGATGAAATGGCGGAGTGAAGCTAGCTACAGAATATGTTGCTGATACGTTGGCTGTCTTGCTGCTACGCTGCCCCAATACAGGGCCATTACATCTTGCGCTTTTCAGATCGATATATCTCCTGCCAGCTTTGTGAATTCTAGAGAGATTGCAGTGTTAAATGTGATCCTAGCGCTCCGGCTCATGTTGAAGCAGGAAACACTGGCTGCCAATGTTGTCGCATCCCATCTTTCGCGCGTCCTACTATCACAGGATTATTATTTGGGCTATATGGGCGATTACTGGCTGACTGGGATAGTTTTGGATATTCCGCACGCTATTAGACCGATAACACCGATCTCGATATCCCTCGCCGTTGTGCCTCGCTCCGTATCCCGATCGAGAGCAAACCGGTGATGCTGCGGTTTTGCCGCGGGCTCGTCAGTGATAATTCCGCACTTTGGGGCCGCTGAAGGGGTTGGCTTGGAAAAGATATTTGATTTCAATTTGCTAGAGCCATGGCCGAAACAATGCAGCGGCCTGCTCCAGCGGCCCCCGCGAAGCCGACTCCGGCGGAGATATCGCAGGATATCGAAATGACAAACGGACAGGTCACCGTCCCGCAGGCCCAACAGCCCATTACAACCGAGTCAACGGTTCCTAGCACGGTACCAGCGCCAGCTCCGGCTCCCGCAATCTCCCAACCCCCCTCGCATTCGTATCAACCTCCTCCCATAGCATTCCAAGCTCCGGCGAGCGCTCCACCACAAACAGTTCCTGCACAGCCCTCAAGTACACCACCACAGCAGCTACCGCTGCCACCGATACCGACGCCGAATAACCTACCTCCTCCTAATCAGTCGAATCTGGCTCCGGTTAACCAGGTCAATAACCATGTTCCTCCCGCTCCGGCACACCCTGGCTCCCAGATGCACATGGGCAGCATTCCAACGGCTTTCTCCGCGCAGCCCATCGCTGGCTATTATTCAGAGATGCCCGCGAATTCGCAGCAATCGGACGGATTCGAATTGGTCAGTGATGGCGGAGGGATGCTCTCGGGAGGCCGCATGGGAAAAAAGGACGTCAAACGGCGGACCAAGACCGGATGCTTGACGTGCAGGAAGCGCAGAATCAAGGTAAATAAACTGCACCGTTTCTTCCTTCGACGAGTAGCTTGTTCTGCGTTTTGTTGTTGCTTTTGTACCTTTGAGTCCTGTCGACAGTGATTTTCTCCCCGCAAATAAAGCTCGCTTAGCGCCCCTCCAAGACTGTTCCACCAGCTTCACAAAGCTCACTCTGACTGCCAACCCTCCCCAACATGACCGCTTGATAATCTCTCTTCAAAGCAACAGTTCTTCTCAATTCAACTGATGGAAACTCACGCCCCTCCTTCTGTTTAGTGCGACGAAAGGCATCCTGTCTGCCGCAATTGCGAGAAGAGTAAACGCGAATGCCTTGGTTACGATCCGGTCTTCAGATCACAGCCAGGCCCTTCGGTTATCCAGCCAGCCCCGTCTCAAACTTCATTTGCTGTCGCTGCGCCGCCGCAGGTTCAACAAGTTCCGCAAATTCCGCCAGCACCGCACGTCCCGCAGGCATCGCAGCCCGCTTCAGCACCTCCTCCCACGCCTCCGGTTGTATCGGGTCAGCCTTCCCATTCGCCGTCGGTCCCTGCAGCAACTCCACCAGTCACGTCCCCTGCGACACAGCAACCCAGCCAGAGCTCGAACGTCACCTCCGCCGCGGCAACTGTGAAATCTCCAAGTGTTCCTCCGACGCAGGAAGGCTACGAACACTTGCTCATGGCGAACGCTATCCCGGAGTGCCGCAATCTCCAATGTAGGTGTCGAAACCCTAATATTGGGCGAATCTCAAACTGACAAGATCCATAGTGCAACAAATTAGTATTAATGACCTGCTTATGGTCAGTGGTTCACTAGACCCCTTGCCTGAAAGCCTGGAGCTGCCACCAACTCGAGTAGAAGAATGTGCGAATTTTTTTATGGCCTACGCGACATCCGCCGATATCTTCCTCGAAACGCATTGGTTCGAGGCAAACGCGCGTCGGTTTCTGCTTGGCAATAAAAATCTCTTAAGCCATGTGTCTCTCTTTTTGAATGATTTTATGGAAAGGAAATGGGTTAGCAACCCCGAATGCGTGCCATCCATGGAAAGCCGTGAAGCCCGGATCATCTGGGACACAATAACCCTGTGCCGTACAGCTCAAGCCCAGAATACAAACCCAGATGGTGGGTTTCTCCATGAAAGCCCAGAACTAACGCTTGCTGTCAATCGACTGAAGGTTCTGGAGGCATTGATCACTGGGAAGACGTTGGAGACCAATCCGACGTCTGCACCCGAATATGCCGGAGAAGCACCGGCTTGGGCACCGGCGGCGTTGGCGCATCAGCTCAAACGCAGCGAAATGAAATTCTGGGATGCGATGGGCCAGTACCTCGTCATCACCGATGACATGCCTGAATGCAATGTGCTGCGTGACCTTGCATTGATTGATGCGCGAGCACACCTCGATCTCATTGAGAATCGCGACGTTATCTACTCGATTGCAGTCATTCGTCACATCTCTCGGTTCCAGCCCCGGAAAGTCAAGAACCTTCCTCCGTCGACTGACGAGAAGGATGTGTCGGCCAAGCTCTACGTGGCAACCAAGTTCATCGAGGAAGAAAGGGATGGCAAAGCGACTAACCAAGTGATCAGGCGTCTTTGCGCGCAGCTTCTTCGATGGTGGGAGAAACCCGAGAATATGTGATTTCTGTCCTTCAGCAGGGCATGCGTGACTAAAAATCTTTTGTATATACTTGCGAAAACTTGTTCCATTAGGTGATTCGTGCACGGTTTTCAAGGGGAGTTGTTGGCTTTTAATATGGATTTGAACCCAGCCACATGGACGGGCGTTGCAGACGTGCTCCTGGCATTGAGGTGACCGGCGTTTTGCGAGGACAGATACACAGTACTGATGATTCCCATGTTTCCAGAGTTGCTTTTCCTGTTTTTCTAATGGAGGTGTCCGAATATATTAATGTAAATGCCCCTTTCCTACCCTGATGCTCGAATATCCCCCGCTGCATGTGACTTGTCTGTTTGCAAGAGTTCATCCGCTCTGCCTCGGCTAGACATATAGAACTTCAACGATATCATTCTTTCAAGCATCGAGTTGGCCTGGTAACTATGCAGCTACTGAGTAAACCCTTCAGCCCGACCATCCAAATTCCCCCCTGATTGTCGCAAAAATACCCACTTCACTCGAGCCACTACTCTATCTATATCTTGAAGACTCCACCCCGGTGTCCTTGGCCTGTACGTGGCTAATCCTAAAAGGCCCTGTTCGGCCCCAGGTTGCGGTGTGCGAAGAAGCTCGTTGAGCCAGGGGGTTGTTGCAAATAAAGCGGTTGAAAAGGCCCCTCAATTGCCCCCTTCACATCTCGCATCTGATATTATTACTGGCAGAGTGCCCTCCGCTAAAGATGAGAAAGTGGTGCTGCGATGGAGAAGAGACTTTGTCCCCGCCGTTCAGCTCGGAAAAGGGGAATCGCTAGTTATTATTCCCACCGTCGTTGATGGAAGTCTAGCTATATGGAGTGCTTCATATAAGAAATATTCCCAGAGTGTTCTTTTATTTCTTTCTCTTTCTTCATGCGCATTTGCTGCGAGAATTCTAGCATCTTTCCTTCACAGCTTTGGACCCAGTTTTGCAAGTGAGATCTATTTGACTACGTTTCCCGCAAGATGAAGGTACTTTTTATCATTCCCATGTGCTGATGATGGTCTTGAGTCCTATTCTAACCTGGGGATCGCTTTCAGATCTCTACCCTTGCAGCTGGCCTCATGGCCCTCGCTGTCCCAGCTACGAGGTAACTAAGTCGAAGCCTCAATTCTCCCCTATATCCAAGATGTGCACCAGCAAAATCATCCTTAACTAATTATAACCGTACCAACTCCAGCGAGGTGGTTAGCTGCGACACGTCCTCGGCCCCCTTCAACCCTCTCAGCCCAGTTGCGCTATATGACCGAGTCCAACAATTCTGCAATTCAATGCACCTCAAACACCTGGGCGTTGAAAAAGTCTCGTACGACTTTTATCGCCCAAACAGCAACCAGCTGATCCGTGTCAACATGGCGCTCGCATATGTGGCCGGCGGGAGCACGGTCGTCTTTGCAAATGGGTGCATCAATATGTTCGGGTCGATCTGGAATAACTGCAAACCATACAACCCGCAGCATTGGCGTGGAGGTGTTAGTTTTAGCGACGACCAGAAGTGGAAAGCAATGGTTACGACCTCGCAGATCTATTAGGCCAAGGTGTCGATTTCGCGCAACAGGTTATGCCAGCTTTTGCTTGGTGTTTCTTCGTTTAGTCTCTTTGAATCGTTGAGAGTATCTTCGACTATTTCCCTACTTCACGCCCCACGAGCGGCTTGAAGGTTCCGGAATTCCCAAAGTCCTGAAATGGCGATGATTTGAACTGATATGGAGTATGTACAGTACCTTTCTTGGAAAAAATTATATTTATGAAGAAATTAAAAGAGTAGAAGATAATAAGGAAAAAGATATCTAAGAGAATGAAGTTCTCACGACAAGAAAGTAGTATGTATCTCCATGTTGTACCACAGTCACAAAACCAAGCCCCGGTACGGCTATTCATCACAAGCACGAAGTTTGAAGTTATCCAAATTGATCATCGCAGCATTGTTCGTGACCAATCGGCACCGAACTTGGAGTGAAGTGCTGGTGGCGAGAACCGGGCTCTCAAAATGAGTCCAACTGCCGGTGACAGTGGTATCCAGGTTGAAGCTGAAGACCTGAGTAGCAGGGAGGAAAGTGCAAGTAAGATAACTGCCGGGCTTCTTGTACTGGTTCTTGTGATCGACGCTGAATTTGTAAATCGTCCCGGGGACGGTTGATACGATTTGGCTCATGGACACCGAGGCGAGATTGGATCCCGATCCATATAGGAGGGCGGCATAGCCACCGCCGCCCACGCCAGCCATCGACACTTTTCCTCCGATCTCATCGATTGCCCAGTTATTGAGGTTTGGAACTGCAAAGTCACCGTTCTTGATGAGATTGGGGCATCTTGGCGGTTGCGTGTAGGTAGCGGTTGCGGTTGCTGTGAGGGTGGTTTCCACGGTCTCTGTGGCGGTGGCATCGATGGTTTCTGTTACCATTTCCGTCTGGGGAATATGGACAGTGGTCGCAATGGTTATCTGGATTGTTGTTGGTTGGGTGACAGTGATTATCTCTGTGGCGGTGGCGGTAACTGTTGCGGCTGAAGTGACATCGACAGTCTCCGTCAGCGTAGCGGTAGAAAGAGCTGGTAGTGTCTCTATGGACGTTGCAGTGACTGTGATGCTGACTGTCTCTGTAAGTGGGCCGGTTGGTTGGGCCGTTGTGATCGCAGTGATGAACTTGGTAACATAGGTTGTTTGTTTGCGATACACGTATGCTGTGCGGTATCTTGTCGAGGTCTCGCCCGGCTTGTGGATGATCTCCGTTTTCTAGATCAGGAGTTAGAGTCATATTCACGCCGGTAACATCGACAAAAAGGAAACTTACAGTGATCTGTGGCAGAGTCCTAGTCCTCGTAGCCGTTGTCGTGCAGGGGCCAAGATGTAAAGATGAGCACGCTTTGCTAAGAACGTGCTTGGGTATATTCTTTAGGCTGGTAGGGGTGGGATAAGGTGTCTGGGGGCGATGATGACGCTTCGCAGGAGCCCTCACGGTGACAGTAACGGGCACAGTGACTGTGGTAGGGTCCAAGACCGTGGCAGTCGACGTCTGTGTGATAGACTCGGTCAATGTCACCCAATCGTCACTGGTGATGGTGTTATATTCCGTCTCAAATAACGACTGCGGTTCAGTCTCCGTCACTGTCACATCAACGCTCTCCGTTGCAGTCAGGGCGATGGTATTGGTGGCCGTTTCTGTGACAGTTGCCGACAGATATTCTGAAATGATTTCCGTGGCCGGCAATGTCTGGGTGACGGTCGTGGCTGAAGGAGCCGGGTGTGTCAATGTCACTCCCCTGGTGATAGTACGTGTGATCTGTCGAACAATGGAAGAAGTGGTCCATCTGGTCACGGTCGGCACCATAGTGACGCTGACGGTCTTGCAGGGCGGCGTCACAGTTCTCGTAGAGGTTCTGCATGGAAGGTGCAGCAGATGGCGACAGAATTCAGTGCCCTCCGGGTTGGAGACATCGACACTATGAGGTTTGCAGTGATTTTTACCGCGTTTAGTCAGTGCGGCAGGCTCTGCATTGGGCAGCGCTGCAGCGGCCGCCGCAAAGGTCAGCAGAATAGAAATCCGAACCATCTTGGAGATTCTCTTCCCAAGGGCAGGAGAGAGAGTGAACGAGTCTCTTCATCACTGGGAGGGCGGCGGTGTGGCCTGAAGGCTTTATAGAGTGCCGACATGAAGCCATCGTGGGAATTTATTGAATTGTTGGCATGGTGCCGGCCCACAATCTAGAACAACCAGCGCGGCGAGATCGTGGTCTCGCCGCCTCCCGCCGACAGCATACTATGATATCGCAGACTCGGATCGCGTAGAACAGCGCGAGTCAGGGCCAGCATTAAGGTTGTGCCAAGACATAGCTTAACTAAGCTTAGCTGGACTGCCGGAGCCACGTGTTGTGCCCCTGTTTTTCTCGCTTCTTTTTTCGCTTCGCTTCCACCAGGCCAGGCCAGGCACCGGATATATGCTCTCGCTTAACCCGCTCCAGCCCTGGCGGATAGATGCTCCTCGAGTGTCCCCATCGCGTGGCGCTCCAATAATGTCCAGTAGCACTGTGGCTTGCTGAAGTTCTGTAACATGGATTCCTCAGGATCGCTTATGTATGTTGTTGTACTCCGTACGGAGTATGTCGAGAGATGGAGAGGCAAGTTTGCTGACTAATAGCTATACACTAGTATGAATGGGGCAGGAGTACTTGATTGGACGATCGGACCTCTGTATGGGTCACGTGACAAAAGATGGATTATGTAACAAGGTTAGAAAGACTCAGCCAATGAGATCTTATGCTCACCTCCCCAAATATCGATAGAAGAGCACTCATCCAATTACAGAGAATTACAATGCTGTTGCATAATGATTGAGCAACAACACATCCTCAATAACGCATATCCAGTAAGCTTCTAACCAAATGAGGGCTGAATTCTCGCTAATTCTAAAAAACATGCAGGTGAAATGTTGGGTTCCAGATCCTCCAGACATGGCTTGGGCAGATGTCATTGCTGCAATTGAACCAGGGGCTCTCTCATTTTCAATGAATTCCCAGATCTATAAATTCAAGCAGGAGAGAAAGGCATACAAGGCCTCTGCTAGTCAACGTGAATTTGACCTCATGATGGAAGCTGGGGACTGTGCTGTTAAGGTCCGTGGTAGATCTCTCTGGAGGGATAAGGACGGAGAAATAAGAATGAGTGGCATTATCATGGATCTTGAGACTCCATTTGACCCAAAATCCGTGGAAACTTTCAGCGCAAGCATTTGATGGACCAAATTATCCCAGTCTTACATGAACTACACCACAAAGGAATCATTCATGGTGATGTTAAACCAGCAAACTTTCTTCTTTGCGCGGATGGTCGACTCCGCCTCTGTGATTTCAGCGACGCGATGAGGGTAGGCGAAGATCCAAGCAGCTGGGGTGGCCTGACAACCACAAATTACATATCACCACATCGAACGCGGAACTGGCCTGATGGGGCAGATCCTCCTCCAACCATTGAGGATGACCTCTACAGCCTAGCTTGTGGGAGCTCTGCACAAGGAAGACATCCTTCGAGGGCTGGTATGAGGATGATATCATGTCTACTCTCCAGCGAGGGGAGACTGTCGATGTGGATGAAGTTGAAGACGAGGATGTGAAGTCTGTGATTTGCTATTATCTGAGGTATGGCGGTGCAAAAATATAGCCTGCCTTGGTGCAGTTATAACGTTCCAGTGGGCGTATTCAAGGAACCGACGTAGAATGGCAAAGGTTTTCCCTACCATCCTAACTTCGGGTCAGGGTAACCGTGGAAGCTCTTGCGATCCGACCTACTCTGTTAAAATCGGCGGTAGTGGCCGGAGGCGGAAGGTGAGCTACTCGCGTCAATGAGGCGTCAGAATAGGTCCATGTAGAGGCCTAATAGCTGTGGGGAATTACAAGTTCCTTGACCTTTGGATAAACCATCCCTTCCAATGGTATCTGGAAATACGGGCTGAAATCGACAGGCGGGCATAGGCCATAGCGGTGGTCTATAGCGCTACAGCTCTTGTTCACTGGTGATGAGGATGGGAATCAACGAAATCGTGCATCAGTAGAACTCCCAGAGACATCCAAAAGGATGCTATGAGCCATGGGGCAAAACAGCTCAGATAGCAGTATAAACAGATTTCTTTTCCGTCCCTCAGCTCGCCCCGTTCTATTCTCGACCAACATCTATGCAGAAATTTCTAACCCTTCAATACGTAGATGGAAAAGAAAAGGAAAGACTATCCACTCGCTTATCACTGGAACTCCGCTTGTTCAGGAACAGGCGATTTCAATTTGCCCGTCGTAAGCACCTGTCGAATATTATCGATAGCCCACTCTTCCATCCCGGTTTGGGTCTGAATCGTGATTAGAAAAAGGCTCTTTCAAGAAGCAGAAGCGGGGATAAAATGCTCAACTCACCTCTACAGACCAAGTGCCCATGTGTGGCACCAGGATCACATTCGGATTGCGTAGCAGGCCAGGATGCACTTTGGGCTCTTCTTCAAAGACGTCAAGGCCGGCGGAAAAGACTTTGCCGCTATCGAGTGCCTGGACAAGCGCCTCCTCGTCCATGACGGCGCCGCGAGCGGTGTTGACCACGACAACGCCGTCTTTCATTTTGGCAAATTCGGGGGTGCTGATGATATGTCGGGTATTTTTCTGCAGTAGTTAGCCATGCTAGCTCAACTATACTCAAACGGCTGGATATAGCATTCGGGGGAAAAAGAAAATCTTACATTCAATGGCAGATTCAGGCTCAAGACATCACTCTGTCCCAGCAATTCATCGAAAGAAACATATTGCGCGCCGTCAGCGAGCTCCGGGCTCAACTTCCTGCGATTGTGATAGATGACCTTCATCCCAAAAACCTCTGCTTTCTTTTTCAGATTCCTTCCGATGCCTCCCATTCCTAAGATGCCGAGCGTCTTGCCCTGCGGATCATGGCCCAGAACCGGGAGGGGATTCCCTTTCCATTTGCCCTGGCGTAGTGCTTGCATTCCAGTGTTGAAATTCCGCAATGCGCCGATGATTAAGAACATATTCACGTCCGCCGTGGCATCATCGACGGCGGTTGGGACATTGGACACAATCAATGGTGGCGAGCGGGCACTGCATGCCTGCACGTCGACTTGGTCATATCCGGCGCCTGGAGATAGATATTGAACATTCTGAACATATAAAATAGTCGAAAAAGGATGTGGCCCGCAGGCCGCAACAGGACGGAGCGTAGAGAGCGCATTTTAGAAAGGAGTCTACCTACCACAATGTGCGAGATATCGCATCGACTTGGGCAGCGCATCCACCAGCTCCTCGTCGATCAGGCCGGTGATGCTGACAGAGCCGAACGTGCGGTAGGCAACCAGGACGCCGTCGAGGGCACCGCTGCGGCATTCTTCCAAAAAGTCAGCGCGGTTCGTGGAGCGCGGTTCTATCAGATCGGCGAGGACGGCGAGGGAATCCCACGCAGCATGAGCGCTGTGATCGCAAGGTTAGTCGGGAATGAAATCGACAGGGGACTCGAGCAGGCGCTGCCCGGCATCACGCCAATCTGAGCTTCTCCGGCGGTGTCGTTACCAGGTCTCTGGATAGAGTGAAAGGGAACGTACTGATCTATCTTGCCCAGCAGCAGCACCTTTGGCCTCAGGTTCGATCCCATCGTGGGCAGTCCGCGGTTCTTGATACGGCTTTGGTGGCGAAGTCTCTACAGCGGGCAAAAAAGCAATATAACTAGTTAATTATCAGAGCAGCGTCCGAGATGCCCCGATGGTCAGCTGCTGAGTCGTTTTTATATTCCCTGCGGCGTTGCCTCCAAGTGAAGACGCCAAAAGAGTCACAAACGGGCACTCGGTCGTGACAACATCTCCACAGCATCCGAGCGATAGATATCAGCCTTTAAAAAGTGGATAAAATCTCCGCCGAGCAGCGAGCCTAGTGAATCGTTAAACCTGTCGGGACGGGATCGGTTCTCAATCCCACCAACCGATCTCTCTCTGGCTCCAGGTTGCCCGATGCAAGTGCGAATCCACCGCTCCATCGCGCGCTGAGCGATCATGGATGGCCTTGCTGGCCTCGGGGTCTCAAACCATCCCGCTCTCGCCATCACACGCGATGCGGCCGATATCCAATCTGGCTGAACTCTAACCCGGCCCAAGATTCTTGGGAGCTGGTGGCCAGGGAGATCCCGCCGGCGTGGTGAAGGCTTCTAACAGTTGCGAGTGATTGGGATACAAGGCTAGATGACAAGTGAATGGCCATGTTATACGGCATCTGCAGCCACTTGGGCAACGGGCATCGCATATCGGATTGCTGCCGTGGCTATAGCGGCTTGTTCTTCCCGATCTCACGGATAGGCTATTATACAATGCACCGAATACATTCAAAAGGTTCCCTACTAACCACACAAATCCAAATTTTGCCTAATAGAGATATCCTGTCCCTGCAATCCGTGATTCGCCCTATATAATCCATCTGCAGTCGCAATAGACCCCAAAGATGGCTATCCCTCTGCGAGGACCCTCGTCCAGTCGAACTTCCGCCATCGCTTCTTAAACCCGTCCACTCTCCGATCACCACCCTTTTGCCATCTGCCTTGCCGTTTAATCACATCCGGCTCGAGATCTAGCATTCCGCCAATGATCTCACGCGCAAACAAATCTCCACGTGGCCAGCGATTACTGTCCTCGACGATGTGAGCCAGCCCGCCGTCCAGTTCAAACCAAACGTGGAAGTACGGCATCTCCTTTGCTAATGTTCGTCGAAAAGCCAGTTTCCCCAGGCCCTGACGGGATTTGGCGAGCGTGTCGATCACCTTCTTGTGCTGGGTCCATTCCTCGTCGGCTGCGAGAATGGCTTCTTTGAAAAACGCCGGTGCGGTCTCTCCGAGGCTGTAGGGAAGCGGAACCGCCTCCATCGCGGCATGACGCTTTTGCTGTGGCCGAGCAGCATTTTCGTAGAAGATAACATCGCGTCCTTGATCGTGGTACATCCTCGTTAAACATTTCATGAAATTGCGGATTTCCTCCCATTCATCGTCGTCGCACTCCAACAAGTTCGTCCGGTGCTGAATGGGAACAATGCAAGCTGCTCCCTCGTTCAGTTCAGGCTCCGTGGGGAGCGTGAGGTAGACTCTCGTCGCCAGTGACACCATCGGCGCAGTGGGCGGAGTATCTGAATCCTCGTGATGGCATAATGGGCAGTTATCCAGGATGCGGTTCATCTTCTGGAACTCATTGATGGCGGTATTCTTGATGTTCAATTCGGAGCGCTGCACTCGTTTCGCCAGCTTGGCTGCATTTTCGTCCATATATTCGAGGTCGTTCTGGGTGAGCTCCATGTTAGTAGCTATATCACAGGCAGTCGCGAGCAATACTCACGTCGAATTTTGCGTCTTTGGCGATCCGCTCAGCAAATCGCATCCCTTCACCACCAGCTTGCCCTCTCGTTCTCCGCTCTTCGCGAACCATGTCTTCGATGCTCATATCCTCGTTATCCTGCACAAGACCCCTCTCTCGCCCCCTCTTATTTTCTATAGGCTTCGCTTCGGCCCTCTGGCCGGCCAACATTCGATTATCCATCACCCCGAGGACTACGACGTCTGGCTCTTTTCGGTCTGCTGCTGCTGCTACCGCTGCATTGTATTGTGCCTCCAAATCCCCGGCATCAGAAGAACCTCGTAATTTAGCTTTCATCATCTGGGCTTTCAGCCGGTTCAAAGCTGTCGTATCCAGTGGCTTAGTTAGCTGAGCTGGCGGATCTGTTTCCATTCTCTCTGTATTCGGAGCGGTTTGGATATCCTCTTCACGAGTAGCAGCGCCTTTCTCCCTCCTCACGCCCATTTCGAGCTTCCGCTCCTGGTACAGCTCCCCGCTGGGTTTGATCTTTCCAACATAATCACTGCCAATTCGCTCTCGGCGATCAAGTTCGATTTCCTCCTCTCGAGCGTCGTCGAACGAGCGAAGGTCGCCATATCGGTCAATGGCAACTTCTTCAACCTTCCGGCCCTCCTCTTCCGCTTGCCTGTAGACTGCCCTAAGTTTTGTCATCCGCCACTGTGACCCAGCATCCCCAAATTCGTAATCGACCTCGTGTTCCGCCGGCTCTTTGACTGCGGCACGCTCAGGATCGGTCTCCTGGACGTCATGTAAATGTCGATTCAGTTCCTTCTCATGTAGCTTGTATTCAAAGTCCGCCTGCAGCATCTTCGCCTTGGGCGATGGTGACTTTTGCTTTCGTCGATTGACAAAGTCGATGTCCAGAGCAGAGGGCGCTTCCATCCACGCATCTCGTTTTAGTCTGGACGGTTCTTCTTGCTCAATCACACTTGGTTCCGCCTGTTCTCTCGACCTCTCATCGTCCTTCTCGTCGCGAGACTCGTGTCTATGCCTTCGCTTGTGGCTCCGGTCTCGATCGTCTCCATTGCTCGAGGAATGGTGTCTCGATCGCTTATGACGGTGTTTGCGCTCTTCGTCGGAGTGATTGCCGCCGTGCCTCGACGATCGATGGTGATGATGCCGGTCATGGTGATGCCTGGATCGCGCTTCGTCCCTATTTGACTCGCTATCCTTTTCCTTTCCTCTGTCCCTTTCCTTCTCTCGATCGGCGTGTCGCCTGTGATCACGGTCTCGATCCCGGTTCCGTTCCCTGTGCCTCTCTCGCCGTTTCTCTCTTTCCTTTTCCTTCTCCCTTTCACGCTGGCTTTCTGCGAGTTCTTTCTCAAAGTCTTCCAAAGCCATGTTGTATTGAGATGTGCTGTTAATGCTCGCTTGAAACAGCGATAAAGCTGCTGTTCTCTCAACTGAAGCTTTCTGGAGCTTGGATGACGTGAGGGCCTGGAACGTCAAATTTGTCCCCTCCGAAACACCTTCAGAGCCATCGTTGACTCTTCTGCAAATGTTCACCCGCACCTTTGACCGAATCCATTGTGTTTCTCAAGCCTTGCTTTTCCCTGAACCAGTCTCTTCGCAGATTTGAAATCAGCCATCATGGCGAAGCCACCGGTTGCCGTCGTCTGTGTCGGCATGGCAGGTAGATACAGATATGCGGCCCTTCCTTTGGGATCAGATGCTAACAAGCCATTTTTCCTCACGCAGGCTCTGGAAAGACAACTTTTATGCAGCGAATCAATTCCCATCTCTACTCTAAGCACCAACCTCCATATGTGCTCAACCTCGACCCCGCCGTCCACTCCGTCCCGTTCGAGAGCAACATCGATATCCGGGATTCGATCAATTACAAGGAAGTCATGAAACAGTATAATCTAGGGCCTAATGGAGGCATTCTGACGTCTCTGAACCTTTTTGCTACGAAAATAGACCAAATCATGTCGATTCTCGAGAAGCGCACGCTGACCGATCCCGCGCAGAATCCCACCGCAAAGCAATTCAAACACATTCTCGTTGATACACCGGGACAGATTGAAGTATTTGTGTGGAGCGCTTCAGGGAGCATTCTGCTGGAGTCGCTGGCATCGTCGTTTCCGACCGTGATTGCATATGTGATTGACACGCCTCGAACGAGTTCTACCAGCACGTTCATGAGCAATATGCTGTATGCGTGCAGTATCCTTTACAAGACCAAGCTGCCCATGATTCTAGTGTTCAACAAAACGGACGTCAAAGATGCGGAGTTTGCAAAGGAGTGGATGACTGATTTTGAGGCGTTCCAGGCCGCGCTTCGGGAGGAAGAAGAGGCCGGAGCGTTTGGCGGCGCTGAAGGCGGAGCGGGCGGAATGGGAGGTGGGAGTGGATACATGGGTTCTTATTTAAACAGCATGAGCCTGATGCTTGAAGAGTTTTATCGGCATCTTAGTGTGGTTGGGGTTAGCTCGATGACGGGCCAGGGAATCGATGAGTTCTTTGAAGCTGTCGAAGAGAAGAGGAAAGAATTCGAGCAAGATTACAAACCGGAACTGGATAAGAAGAGGGCTGAAAGGGAAAAGGAAAAGGAATCGAGAAGGGAGGTCGAGTTGGGAAAGCTCTTGCAGGATATGAACGTCTCTACGCGAACGAAAAAAGACGAGCCGGAAACAGTGTCAGATGCCGAAGAAGAGAGCGACACAGATGAGGACGATGCGCAAGCAGGTCAAGCTGACCGACGGGACGATGTCGGGCTATCACAGAGATACAAGACGGCTCTTGCGGACACGTCAGAGACGGGACAAGAGGACAGTTTTACGAGATATATACGGTCGAGCAACGTGTAATGGCGGAAATCTAGAAGTACTTGTTGAATCCCTTGGGTGATGCTGGTGTCATGAACGACTTGCATGGAAGCTGGCGTTGGGGTCAGGTGGCATGAGGCGTGGTAGCTCCCATGGCTATACTGATCTGTAACTAGGCAATTTACACGCTCTCTAAATGAATCTAAATATCCTGAAGCAATAAAAGTATTGAATAGCCCATGGATTATGGATATACTCCGTAGTGCTCTGTATATCATGGCGCCTCCCGTGACCGCGCCAAGCCTCTGAAGCATTCGCGCAAAAACAATGTTTACAGCGCGGTTTGCAATGCCGCTCAGCTTCAACGCGAGAGATCCCCACCGAAACATGCCAGAGCCCGTTAACAAAAGCGAGGAAGCGATCCAGCAAGCGGTTTGCGCGTATCGCGAGCTGAAAGCCGCAAGCGCCAAAGTCAACCTCGCTGCATTGGCCCGGGAGCACAACGTTGACCTCCAGCGACTGCGCCGGCGGATCAATGGCAAGCCGCCCAAGGAAGGCCATCCGGCTTTGAACAAGCGGCTCGACCAGGCACAGTCGGAGATGCTGGATCGGTATATTCAGGACATGAAAGAGACCGGCGTTACGATTACACCCAGACTGCTCCGGGCCGCAGCGAATTCGATCCTCGCAGAGACTCACACCGATCTAGACACCCCGGCCCCCCAGGTCGGTCATAACTGGCCCTATCGCTTTATGAAACAGCATCTGCAGCACCTGCGCGGGGGGATTCGACCAATTCGGCGTTACCAGTGAATCGCGAGCTGCTCACGACTCCCAGCGTGACCAACCGTGTTGCGATGACGATGTGCAGAGCGAGCATTGTAGCGGATACGGAGCAGGGGACGGATGGATCAGAAACGGGTCCTATGGCGTATGGCATCCGCACGAAGTTTTTGATGAACGCGGCGACTTTAAACGCTGATTTCTTGCGCCTCGAAATCGATGGTGGCCGGTGACATCATACCCGCTGCAACCAGGCTGCCCGTCTTTATCAATCTCCATCTCTCTCTCTCTTTCTCTTTCTCTCTCTCTTTTATTCCGACACAACAGAAACAAACTGTGCACTGTGTGTTTTCAGACTCTTCGAAAAATCTCCTTCTTGCTGGTCACAATGGATGTGAGTGGCCCCCGCTGCAGATGGCGCCGTACGGTTGCTGACTCGCCCTACTTTGCAGGTCTTCTACATGTACACCTACGGCACGGGGGCCTGGCTAAGTCTCCAAGGCCTGTCCCTCGTAGCGTCGCCCAAAATGATAATCGCACTCCTCCTCGATGAACCCCGTACGCCATCAGGTAGGTTCTTCGCGTGATTCATTCCGCGGACCTAATTAGCTGACCTGGATTCTGCCACCAGCACTGGAAGTGTACTTTGCACGCTCATTAGGCCTAAGTTTGATAACACTCGCCATTCTCAATATCGTCCTTACTGGCTCCATTCCCTTGACCTCCAGCTACTCCATAAGCTCTGATGAAGACGACCCCAAGGCTCCCTATGCGGTGCCGACGCTCATGATCACCTCGGCATTCCATGCAGCCGCTGCGTTTTATGCGTATACCTGGGTCGCGTGGGGTGGGACGGTTTCACACATGGTTGGAGTGGCAGCCTCTGGAGGCCTGTCGGCGGTGGGACTGTGGTGTATCCTCTTTGCCAGTACAAGGGGTCGGATTAGCAGAAGGACGGGCGTGGATAAGAGAATGAGCGGATTCCCGTTTGATAACGCAGAGGCAGATAAGAAGAGGGAGCGGAAGAGAATGTAAGGCGACATTGGTGCATATCTGCTGGTTGAGACGTGTTTCTCAGGCGACGATTGAGGAGATGGTGTATTGTACGATGAACATGGACATTGATGTAGTAAATTAGCCATATGATAGTCGATGTGAATATATTCACAATATGTTAACTGCTCATGCTGCTTCCAAAGGTATCAGGATGGCTGCACGTGATCTGCAAACTCACGCCGCTTGAAGCCTCGCATCCAAGGGCCAACTCGCCATCCAACAACCGCCGGCACCGTGGAGCCAAATCTGTCGCCGATTTTAGGGATCCGAGCTCCACCAGACGATCCCTTCGCTGCCATGGAGTCATCACGGCCGCTCCCACCACGATCGCCCTCCGAACTCGACGCGCTACCCGACGCTGCCCTGACCGCCAACGGACTGAGCGACTTGGATCGCGATCTCGAAACCCAGCTTAAAAATGGCGACTTGCATCCCGAGGCGGAAGCGTCAGACAAACAGGACCACCTGGAGCGGGCGGATGGCGGTCTCAAGGACGGGGAGGAATGGGATCAGATCATGGCTGATGCAGACAACGTCGTCGCGGCGACGGATGCAATCGCGAGTGCTGCGATGATCAGTGGGCATGCGCAGGCGGAACGGACGCATGGCGCCGCCGTGGTCGTGGATCCAGAGATCTCCGCCGGTGAGACGCAGAATGATGAGGACGGGATGCACCTGTTGATGCAGAAGCAATCGCGGCACGGTGAGTCCAGCATGCCCGTCGCTGCCGGCGCCGTTGATTCAAGGACCGGGCCGCAGTATGCGCTCCTGGACACTCGCGAGGTCGCCGCGCCTCAGCCTCTGGCTCTTCCCTCGTATCAGACCCCGATCGCACCGTCAGCGCAGCATGACTTTGCGCCTCACGCTCTTCCGCAAGAACAGACACAGCCGGTTCTCCAAAATATCATCCCTCCATTCTCAGCGCCCGCACAATCGAGCCGTGCGGGCTCGGAGCGAACAGAGGGCGGAAATCACTTTGCAGAGATGAAATTGATCCCCAACCCACCCGACCTACAGCGATGGAGAGAGAGGCTATTTAATGTCGAGGACACCATCGTGTTGAGTGAAGAAGAGCACGCCTCCCCTTGACTTGCGAACCGCACACTTTTTTTTTCTTAAAGCGAAACACGCCCTCCCACCCCTCGAACTAACATGTTTTCCAAATCACTTGTACAGATTCCAAACCTACTTCCCTCACGTCGACAACGTCTACTCCCACCGCTCCACCCAGCGCTACAAACGCAAACCCTTCATATCCCACTACTGGGACTGCCGTCTCAAGGGCCGACCCCCAGGAACCCCAAAGTCCATCGACCCCAACAAGAAGAAACGCAAGCGCACCGCGCGCGAAAGGAACCTGTGCGACGTCAAGATAAAAATCACCGAATACTTTCCGGGCGCGTTGAGCATGGCGCCGGAACTGGATATGGGGATCTCCGCACTGACGGGCGCCGTGGACTCGCTGCCCGGCGCGTCTGACGTCGGTGATCCCGCAGCCGCGCAGCCCTTTGGTGTGCTAGCGCCGAGTACGGTCTTGCCGCAGGATCATCCTGGAATGTCGGGGGCGAGGTATTATACGATCCAACGCGTGAATGGGAACGGGGGCAACGGCCGGTCGGACACTACGGGCGGGTCGCACAGGCATACACTAGAGGAGAGCGATCGGATCAAGAAGAATAGCGTGCAGCGGTTTTTGATAAAAAACGAAAAGGAAAAGAAGAAGAACTTGGTGAGTTTTCTCCGCTGCTGTTGCTCAAGTGGTTTTGACGTCATCGTGTTTTCCCGCCGATACCTATCTCCCAACACCAACTTGCATCGAAGGAAAATGACATGTCACTTGTTGGTTTCTATTATCAAGCATTGTTTTTCTATAACGCGAAATCGATCCCGCCTAAAGTTACCATCTCCAAAACCATGTCTGACCAAGAACAGACCCAGCAGCTCAAAACATACCACAAAAAGGCATCCGGCTACGCCTGGCTGACGGTAAACAAACACAAACGAGAAAGCGATTTGAAGCTATACGCAAGTTGTTTTTGGTGAGCCCAACACCACTGTCCCAATGCCATGCATGACCACCGCCAGGTATCCCAGAAATTGACCGTCCTGCAGTCCCTTTGTACAGCGCGTCTGGATTGCGCTCGAAGTCAAGGGAATCCCTTACCAATACATCGAGGTCGACCCGTACAAGAAGCCGGAATCGCTTTTGGAAGTAAATCCGCGGGGATTGGTGCCGGCCATCCGCCATGGCAACTGGGGGTGCCATGAAAGCACGGTGCTGTTAGAATATGTACGCTGTTCGGCTGTTGCGCAAAAATCGGTGATGTGCTGACGATTGGTCCTAATAGCTTGACGACCTCGATTCGGGAAAACCCCTTTTACCTTTCAGAAAACCCCAACTCCGCGCCCATTGCCGGCTATGGGCGGACCACGTGCGTGTGCCTCCGCCGTATTTGCGATGTGCGCTACTGACAGAAGTTACAGATCAACCGGCATATCATCCCCTGTTTCTATCGCCTCCTCCAAGAGCAAGACTTGCAGAAACAAGCGGAGCACACTGATGCGCTAAAGGAAGATATCAGCAAACTAGTCAACGCGTCGCACGTAACGGGGCCGTTTTTCCTGGGGCCCGAGATCTCGTTTGTTGACATTCAATTTGCGCCGTGGATGCTGCGACTGAGTCGTGTGCTAAAGCCGTATCGTGGATGGCCGGATCCTGAGAAAGGGAGTCGCTGGGCCACATGGGTAGAAGCCGTGGAGACGAATGATGAGGTAATGGCCACTACCAGTTCGGACGAGTTGTATTTGGATAGCTATCAACGATATGCCGGTACGTAACCCGAAATTCGTGTTGGGTCAATAGAAATTGCAATGTCTAACCTGCCGAGGTAGAGAATCGACCCGACACGTCGATGCTCGCGAATGCCATTAATTCTGGGGGCCCTCTGCCGTGAAGTTAACGTACTTGGATATGATCATATCCCCGTCTCGATATTCGGTTGGCATAGTTGCAATAGACCAATTGGAACCGGAAATCAATCCAATTTGTGTCTTCGCCAAGGTTGGAACGGCGACTTGCTGTTTTCCTTCTACCAACACCCATATTCGTAGATAGTGAATAGTACCAATAACCTTGTCCAAGTCTCAACGCGGCGCGGTTCCACCACCTCGCTCGGCAAAGCCGAAACCGCCCGGCCCACTTCCGTCAGGACCTCTGGGCGATCGAATTGGAGCCTGAGGTGGCCTTGACTCCTCTGCCACATTATGCGATCGTTGTTCCTTCTTCTTCCCCGGATTCGCATTAGGCTTAGCGACATAATTTGGATCGTAGAGCTGTTTCCCCTTTACTGCCCTAGAAGACGGTTCCCTCTTTTCTCCGCGATCTCTACTATTTCCATTCGATCGGGCTTTGCCCTTCCACTTGTGTTCTCCACCTTGCTGTTGATGTCGCGGCGGCGTAGTGTTTCCCGGAGACGACGCGCCAGATCCTGTGTTTGAGCTTCCAAATAGGCGTTCACGAACTTCTTCGTATTTGCGCTGCTTCTCTTCCCGTTCGCGTTGGGCGATGGCGAGACGTTCTTCTGGAGTTAGCTGCTTTTGCTTTTTGGCTTCTTCGTCAGAGCTGTTTTCATCGTTATTGTTGCTGCTGCCGGTGGGTCGAGGTGAGATTGTGATTCTGTGCAACCCTGCCGTTGTGGCGCCCAGGCCGCTGGAATCTTGAGGGTTACGGCTCAAGACCTTGACGGCGGGCTTGTATTCTGATTTTAGGGGGATCGTGGAGCGGGTTTCGAGGTAGTGCGACATTTGGGTGGATTCTCTAAGCGCCGAATATGAGTTAGTATATATGTGCGTTCGGATCGGTGACCAGTAATTATCGGTTCCGGGAAGAACCATACGCTTCTGCTTCGGCCTCTGCCCATAGCTGCCTGTTGAATTCCGCATGCTGTGCACGTAGTTGAGCCTTTTTAGCTCTCGACGATATCTTCTTTTCCGGCTCTTGCTGAGGAGCCGGTGGAAGGGTGGGAGGTTCGGTGTTTGTATTCTGCGAGCATTCTTGTATTAGCAAAGGTTTCACATCTTGCTGCCATTTAGGAATAGGCTCCTCTATATGCGAATGCCGTACATCAATTTGCTCCTCCCAGTCATCATCCCACGCATCGGGGATGCCAGCCGTCCTGCTCATCGTATACAAACTCAAAGTGCTTATTGGGTCGAGGACGAAGAGAATGCGGGGTATCACGGTGGAAGCAACTAGCAGTAAGGCACGAATGGTGTCATGAAAGGGGGACTTTCTGGTCCAGTTGCAATGAGAATGGTGTGAATGTGGTGGATGTGGTGCTGCAGAATGAGGGAGAAAGGGTCAGAGCGCGAAAAGTCCTGTGGAAGTATGGGCTAGCAGCAAGTTCACATTCCCAATGGGTGCTGCTTGCAACATCCACTAAAACAATGCAACCAAGTGGTGTGGTTTACAGCAGCAATGAGCCTGATGGATCTGAAGGAACTGGATGTATCAACATAGCCACAGATGGCATGATTGCTGAAGGCCGTTTGCTGTTGCCCGTTTTGTCTGCTGTGGTTGGTTATGTCATCAACTGGGTGACTAGCTTGGTGCAGTTTAGCCACCCCCATGATTGACTGATAAGATAAGATTGGTGCCATACAAGATCCATACAAACATTCAATACGGAGTACATCCAACACATCCCGCAGAGAGAGAACGCCCGCCAGCACGATCTCACACAGCAATCAAAGCGGAATTCCTGCAGTATAATCTCCCTCAGTCCTTAGCTCGAGTCCCACACAGCCTCCAAACTCCGCAATGGGTACCCTCACCTTCCCCCATCATCCTCCCCGCTCCGCTCTCCGCCACAACCACTCACTAACCACTCAACACCTCCTCCCAGACCAAGACGGCGACTCCGAAATGCTCTCCTCCTCTTCCTCCTCCCCATCCTCCTTCACCTCCGACAACGGCCAACGTCCCCAGACACCCACAGCCGCACACCCCTTCATCTCCGCCTCCACCACCACCACCACTACCACCGCACACCCCGCAGCCGGCCTCTCCTCCCCCCCCGCCTCCCAATCAAAACCACAATCATCCGCACTGGACCTGACCAGCGCCGAACACAGACTTCCCACCCCCGCCGGCGGCAGCGGTAGTGCTGCCCCCGGAGAGCCGGAAACCTCCACTTCCACTGCACAAGTTTCCTCGACGGCAAACACCACAGCGGCCGAAGCGACAACGGCATCGCCGTCAAATCCCGCGCAAACTGAGGAGGAACTGATCCTCCACGGCCCGCCGGGCGCGTCGTGGAACAACCGCCAGGCACAAGAAGAGTACAGGCGGGCGATGGAGTATGTGATCGATAAGGATTTTAATCTAGGTGGGGAGCCTACTAATTTCCCTATTTCCCTCCTGTTACTTTGTGACCGTTTATCTAACCTTTGATCTTGTAAAGACGCTTTCGGGGATCCGTTCGATGAGCGAGATATGGAGATGCCGTCGTGATTTAGCGCTTTGCAATTTACCCTCTACGGTATTTTAAACAAAAGCAGATTATGGGGTTATCCCGGTGTCATCGGCGCTGAATGGGAGTTTATACGGATGTTTGGTCGAGTGAAGCGCTTCCCGGGCTGAGAGAAGAGGACAGGCCCACGATCCATTTCCCTAGACGCATGACGGTGCTGTCCACGGCTGTTGTTGGTTTTACCGGTATAGCGTAAGTTTCTAAAGCGAGCAATCATAGCCATATTAAAGAATAAAATTAAAGGACGCTACCTCGATAACATGCAAAACAACGTATAATAATGTTTTACATCAAAGGGGACTCGGAACAAAAAGTATCAATAGAGCAAATAGATAACTCATAGCCCGCAAAGGAGAAAATGGATTCAAAATAGTGAAGACATTGCTTGCCCACCTCACTCCACGCTTGCTTGCATAGCAGAGAAATAATCGCTCACACCTTTTTCCACCATTTGCAATGTTATTGTGAGGAAGGAAAGGGAAAAAAACAAAAAGATATCAGACACAAACACCCTACCAGAGTGGACTGTGTTCATAGCCGCCCAAACATCTCCCTGCAAAACACTTCCTATGGATATGCGCGGTGCCGGCGACTGTCGTAGAATTTCAAAATAAAACGTCACATCCGATACCCGCCGCTCTCCGGAAATCACTTCTTAAACATATAATGGCCGTAAATCCCACCCACATCGCCAACGCAAACCGGAACTTTCCTCATTCCCCACCAACGTGCCCCCATTTTCCATGATCTTCTGCCGTCGTCACGAGGCATCAACTTCAGGTCGTTCGGATTCGTCGGTGGCTCTCGCACATACCACCCTCGCCTTCCCAAGTCTCTCACCACCCAACCATTCCGGGGGCTCCGTTGACGAAGAGGCGTGATAATCCGTTCAGTTAGTTCAATCACGTGCAGGGGATAGCTCTGTTGGGTCACGAGAAGGCATGATTTGGGATTCAGAAGCGTTGCTTGGGTCAAGTATGGATTCTTTGTGAGATCAAGGTAACGCAGCTCCGGACGAACCCAATCGACCTCCATTTGATTCTCGCCGGATGCGGGGCGAGGCTTGAAAAACGAATTGATGTCATCGACGGTAATATTCGCCGAATTGAGGCCGAGTTCCTCCACGTGTTTAGATAGCCTGAGGAGCATTGGCATTTGGGCAGATGTGATCTTTGCACCGCCAAGGTTGAGAGATCGCAATGTGGATGTGAGATGCGGCAGGAGCGCCTCAACATCTTCTTCCTCGAGGATCCGGTGCCGCGAAACGTCTGACATCAGGTTCAAATACACCAGCGTGTCGCTGACAGCGGGATGCGTTGTCAAAAATTTAACCACCTCAGATCCGGTCAGTCGCGTGCATCGGGAGAGGTTCAAATGGGTAATTTGAGCGCTGTGTGGAATCAAGAACAAGGTTTTGTTGGTGATCTGAGTGTGCGTAACATCGAGATGGGTCAAATTCACCAATCGCGGCAAGAGGGCCTGGAAGGCATCGTCCGGGAGGCCCGTGCATTCGTGGAGAGAGACCCGCCGCAAGGTACGAAGCTGCGGTGGGAAACTGGGGTCTTGCGTTACAGCACCTACGAACCCAGAGGAGAAGGTGACTGAAGAGCAACCACAAAAGTCGACAGCTCGCAGGGTCGGGGTATCAGAGAAGATCTTTCGCATGACATCGCCGTTCACATCATCTTCGACGTGCTCTTGTAGCAGTAGCTCCTTTAGATTTGGGAGTAGGTTCAAGCACTCCAAGAGCGTCCTTGACGTCAAATTCTGGATTTCGAGATTCATTTGCTGGGTTCGGCCCAGTCCCACAGAGGTGAAGTGGGAGAAATCGAGTCGCCTAACGATGGTCCCCAGGGATGGGTACTGCCTGATGTGATTCAAGGCTTTGGAAAAGATGATCGAGTGCGGAATCGTGATGTGGCGGTATAAGACACTGAGGGTCGCAGAATGAAGGGTGCGGGAAGTCAAAAGGCAAGAGATTAAATCAATATTGCGTGGCGTGTATCCATTTGGCGGGATGTCAACTGCTAGATTAGAGATGATCTGGTCTGCGCATTGGGTTAGCATCCATCGGCCCTGAAAACGACCTGCGGACCCGACATACCGAGGATTTCAGCAGGGAGCTTCTCGATCGGAGCAGGCCCCCTTTCTTTGGGTGGTTGTTCTTCCTCCTTGACAGTGGGGGTGGGCTTCACGGTGGCCTCCTCCCACGCCCAACCTCTAGACTGATGGCCGCCACCCAGGAGACGGAGGTCACTGTAGCTCCTGCTTGCTCTCCGGCCTCCCAAGCGGATCTGTTTCCATCCCAGAAATCCGCCGCATGGGCAGCAGAAGTCCGGGGTCTGGGTCGGGCTTTGGACGTTGAGCGCCGTTTTGGCGGGGTTGGACTGGCCTTTGGACGGAGAGTTTTCTTTATCGACGAAGGACTGCGCGATCCCTGTGCGTCTATCAGCGCGCTGCCGCGGATTGCGAGGATCAGAGGAGACGGGTAGGTCAAAGAAAAGGGAGTATAAGAGACTGTAGACGGACCGGTGCTTTCTTCCTCGATGGAGCCAAACGATTCACGACGAGAGCTGCTTGAGCGCGAGTTGGAGTTTGAGCCTGGAGAGGTGCGACGAGAGTGATGATCGGGTTTGGGTGAGTCGATGTCCATTTGATCGGCGCGAAGAGAGTGGAGTGGGCAAGCAACGGCTGCAGGCGGCGGAGGAGCCATGGTCGGTGGCATGATGCCCTAGTCGCAGTAAGCATACAGTCACGGTGAGTCCTCCGTATAACACGGGTGAAGATCGCAAATCAACCCGAAACCGGACCGTGCAGACGCAAGGGTGAAAGACGGGGTGGAAGAGGCCAGTGACCGGCGTGGAGAGACGTGGATGAAGCAGGGATGGACGGGGACCCCAAGTTTGCCTCCCTGCAGCCCAACAGACGCTGCGATCTCAGCAGTTTGCAGCGGATGCAGCAGATGTGCCTTGAGAGTACAGCGGCCCGCGGAGATTTGATTGACAAACAATCACCAAACAACAACGCAGAAATGGAGACATACCTCTCTGGCCTGCCGACAGTGAGTTTCCTTTTTCTGTGACTTGGGACGAAAGTGAATCCGGGACGAATAATTGTGGTGGCACCAATGGCCCTGCGTGGATAGAGACCGGGAGCGAACACAGATAGTCCGGTTGCTGAATATGTGGACAAGAAGAGGTGGTTGATGATGGATTGAAAGTGCAGTGGGAGAGGAGGAGGAGGTGAGAGGAGGTCGGTTCAAGGTTGAGTGCCGTTTTTGTTAGTCACAGGGAGGATCTGGGTCTCGGCGGACCAAAGCATGAATGGGCTGGAAACCTGCACGAGCTAATAAACAACGGGATTCAAAGATTTTATTTTTCCTGCTGCCCCAGAAAAACAAGCACTAACTAACAAGGTTGCTGGCCAGGGTCGGTTGGGAATGGAGACCAGGGAATTTATATTTATCCCATGGGTGCTGGCTGCAGCGCATGCACAACAGCAGACTGTTACTGCTGGGAAGATCTCTCCTGCCCATCTTAAAAGGCAATGTAGTCAGCCTGGCCCTATCTCTCCTGATCCTATTCCCTCCTCCTTGTCATCCTATCCCCTCCTCTCTCCTCTCCTCCTCCTCTTCTTCTTCTTCTTTTCTTTTTCTCTTTTTTTCCGCCGCCAGGATTCTGCCACATAAAGGCGGTGGGTTAATGGGGGCTTGGCGCTTTTAGTGCTGCGTTACATAAGCCACAGCCAATCAGAAGCTGGCGCTAAACCCTAACCGGTTTCCATTATGTCATAGGCTTCGAGTCCGCTCACAGCCAAAATGCCACCTCACCCTCTTCCTCTGTTGCATCTGTTGCAATTATTATTCGGAAGAGTTGGAGAGCATGGGATGGATTCAACAGGGATCAGAATGCGAAGCAACAGTGCAACAGGGGCCCATTTATCGGTGGAACCTGAGGGCTGTCATGTGATGCCCTCCGCACAGTTCACCCGCTCCTTTCCGTCCCCCTGATCATCCCCAACAACTATTAACTCACCCCCGGAATTGGCTCCCTCCGGCCGCTGTCAACTGTTGATCTCAACGTCCGGGACTTCAAGGCTCAAGCTTCAGCAGCCGAAACTGATAATCGACAATCCCGCCAAGCTGGATGTGACACTGCTGATTTTTTGAACAGCTGGCGGGCCGATCGCGCCAAGGACGGAATTGTGCTTGGGAACCTCAATTCGGTGGCGGACAAGCGGCTTTGAGTTGCAGGAATCAAGGCTTGGTCCGTTACACGCTGGGATTGGCAGCGCTTGGCTGGTTAACTCGCCTTTGCTTTGGCGGAAAGGGAGAATCCGAGAGCGGAGGCTTCCACGGTTCCCGAGATCCCAAATTCCCTTGAGAGCCAAGCTTTGAAAAGCTTGCCCTGCATTGAACTTCCTCTTTGGTGCAATAACCATTTATGATTATTTCACCTTTATCCAGACATGTTGCTTCTCAACACCTTGGGCTGCGCTTTAGATGGCGTACGATTCCACCCACTCATCGAAACAGGAGCCACCCGTCAGTTCTTCGGAGCATTCTGCACAATGTCATTCGCGGCCGTGGGGAGCATCTCCCTCTGTACCAACTCCGCCACGACATCTATGATCCAGTCTTGACAATTCTTCATCCGCACCGGCTTCTTACTGGCTAGCTACAATCGCAACACCCATCCATCAGCTATACACTTTCCCTTCCCCCCGCACCTGTAACAAGGAAAACGTACCTTCAACCCATCATCAACAACCTTCAAACTCGCCCCAGGCGCCGGCACACCCATCGCAATCCCCTCCAGGCTGTCCACCGGCTTCGCCTCCTCTCCACGCTGCTCATTCTCCCCACCATCACCATCACCATCACCATCACCATCCACGTGCCTCACAACCACCACGCCCTCCTCTCCCGTCAACTCCCCCAGCTCCAGCACGCTAAAGTTCCTCCCCATCGTCCCCAACCGATATCTCCGCTGCACCGCGTGCGCGAACCCGGCGTACACACTGCCCTCAACGTGGATCCGCTTGCCAATCTCGGGGTCGGCGGGATGTGCGACAAAGAGGGACCAGTGGGCGGGGAAGAAGGGGGAGTGGTCGATAATCAGTGCAAGAGACGGCATTTTGAGACTGGAGCATTGCTTCTCGCCTGGAGAGAGAAGCAGCTGTGGTTGTTGTGGCTCTTGATAGCTCTCGCGTTTGGGAGCTGGATGGCGGATGCTGGGGCCTAGACTTGCCCACACTTTTGACAGGGCTTGGATAGGTGTGATTGGCGGAATGCAAATGGGTCACCTGGCATCAAAACCCGGGACGCTAACTACTTTAGGCTAGTGAATCAAGTGCCCCGTGCTGCGGCCCGATGTAGACCCGGATCTTGGCAAGAACCCCCCTTGATAGCATTCCTCACCACTAACGTCCAGAGTATTACTCTGGACTTCGTCTGAGAATTCTGCGACGGAATCTTGTCTAGATTATGTATTACAGTATTATCATTACTATTTGCCAACCCGATGTATTATACAAAATCCCATATATCTCGATTGCCTTTCCTACCTTTCCCTGATTAAAGAGTCAGTGGTACCGCTTGCGAACCGCCACCTCCATCCAATTTTAATAAACCCCGGGCAGAATCCTCCACTTCACAAGCTTCTTATATCTCTCCCAATCCTCACCATACTTTTGCGAACACGCTGCATCGTCGCGCTGCTCTCTGTGGATAAGCATAAACGCAAACCACGCGCTGTAAAAGTACGTGTAGAACATGCCCGCCCCCTTGGTCGCAAGCACCTCCCGACCGTCAAGCGTCTTCGCCGCATCAGCAATGGAGCTCCCAGCCGGGAAGATGAGATAGCCCGCCAGCGCCGTCGGAAGACAAAACGGCAGGGACTGCAGCCAATCGCCAAAATAGTTGATGTGCCGTGCCATCCCCCACCAACCCGCAGTAAGCAGCCTGGTGCCTCTCTTGGTCTGGATGTATGACATGCCCGCCACGCTGGGATGGTCGGGTTTCGTGCGGAAGGTATACTTTTGGGAGTTGGCGGCCCGGAATATAGAGACGCCGATGGCAAATGTGATGCTCACGGCAGCCAGGCCCGCCCATCCCAGATGCACCGGATAGACCGACAGGTACCGGCATTGGGTCGAGTACAGAAAGGGTACCCAAATGATATCACCAAAGGTAAGCATGAACCCTAACCCATCAGTGATGATATCCATCATACCCAGGAGGCCCGATTCCGCATACTGGCCCTCGAGCACATAGTATGTCTGGATGCAGCAGATGAACACGATGCTATCAGACACATAGCCATACGTCCGGTACTGTTTAGCCACAAAGGCAAGATCGAGCAGTGCCCAGCCGGTCAGGCCAGGACGCATCTCTAGCCACGCCTTGATATCGACCTCGCCGAAGAACGGCAACGTTTTACGTGGATTTAGCTCACGGCCAATGAAGAAATCGTAGAGCACGTTTCCCGACTGGCCCCCGATCGCTAGCTCTCGCAGTTCACTGTTACCGGGTTTTACACCGAAACTGCCGGCGTAGACGTATATGGAGATGGCATAGGCCAGGAGGACGTTCGCAGTCAAGATTTGCAGGTAATTGTCGGTAATGTACCTCCAAACCACAAAATCCGCGCCATAGATGTAAGTACCAATGCCGGCCAGAACCAGATGGACGATGGTTGAGTAAAAGGCTACAATCCACAACATCAGTTTCACGCGCCACGGTAAACGGTGTTTCCAATCCCTCACCATTAAACCGATATTTCAGCGGACGCCCCGACTCGCGCAGCTTGGTCCCATAAATCTCTTGCGCCGGCAGAATCCGGTAAAGCAGCAGACTGAATAGGTAGTATGCCAACACCCAGCCCGTAACCTCCCAACTGGCGAATTGCGAGACACTCCCCGGCCATGGGATTTGGGCCTTGAGCTTCTCCCACGTGAGGTTCGCAGGGTCCCGAAGAGCCGGAGCGGGACAGCCTGAGATATCGTTGCAAGTGAAGTACAAGAAGTACATTAAGGGAGGAAGGCCGAACACGATCCCGGCGGCACCAACCCTAAGATCAACGCGTCAGCGGGCAATTGTTCAGATTGACTGTCCCAAGAATCACTTACGGGCCTCCAAACTCATATTTGTGCGGCATGGCTTGGGTGCATGCAGAGAAAAAGTGTTGCGTGAACTTCAATGCGTCAATTGAGCCTTGTGTCCGGGACAGAGATCATGAATGGCATCCATCCTTTTGAGACTTGAAATCATCACGTGCCAGCTCCTTTTTTTCGCAAATAACGCTAGTCCCCATTTGGTGTGGCTCAATCTAGTTGTATTGGCGCCTTGGCATAGGGGGGCATTCGATTTCCAGCTGATTTTGAAGGCAAACACGTTCGCTGTAAAGTTGATATATATACGTATGCACATCAATTCCTTACTATGAGGATATTCCCGGGATCTCAAAGTGATATTTTGTATGACTATAAACTTCCGACAAAGCCCAAGCCGAATTTGAAGGGTATGGCAGTTGGTAATGTTGAATTCTCCCACGAGTAAAATGAGTGAAGCGTTTCAAGCACGTTTCCGAGTCCCTTGTTCCCCAGTTAATTGGGGAGGCCATGTTGAAATGGAAAAGTCGACCTTGACCACCATATGCTTGCAAGAAAGGCAAACATGGTCTTTCTGCTGCCTTTCCAATGGCTGCTTTTCTCATCAGGGGAAAATGTAAGAAAGAGAATGTAAGAAAGAGAATGTAAGAAAGCGGCGGGGCGATATCACCAAATAACGGCATCCAAAGTTCTCTGAAACCATTCCAAGCGACATGACCCATACCGCACAGGGTCAAGTCACACGGAGCCTTTTGGCCGGCGAGCGATGTTTTTCGCACGATGATCGCTTCACCCATCCCTGGTCCAGCTTGGAACGGTGGAAATCGATCATCAACGCCCTTCCTAACTCAGCATTCCATAAAACATTTTCAAACCTAAAATCCTCGTGAACCACCCCCAAGGCGTGGATTTCCTTCTTTGACCTCGCGATTTCATGGAGAAGAGTCTGGGTGTGTTCAAGTTCGGTTGTGCCCCCCCCACGCCATGAGGAGCATATGTCGAATTTGCCCGGCCCCATGCAAAAAGTACGTTTTCCCCATGTCAATTTTCCCAAGAAACACTAGTACAGCAGCGCCTTGTGCTTTGTGAAGTACTGCGTATACCTCTGATTCGCGTGAGACCTCGTTCCAGGGTCGGGATGTCGTCCCTTTGCCAACGATGGTATAACCATACGAAGCACACGTCAGCTTGAACGGGGCCCCATACCCCCCACAAATCCCAAATGGAGTGCAGTTGAGATCGAGATTTTCATCTAGCTGATGCTTTATTAGCTGTACCAGGCGTTCTTTGTTAATAAGGTGATGGTTGCCACCTTGACCCTGTTGGTGTTGCTCGACATTCGGGCAGTTGTGATCCAACAAGTCGTTTTGACAAGACCAAGCAGGCATTTTTGAGTGCAGAATTTTGCAGTGTGAGATTGACTCTGGCCACTTGACCCACGGGGAAGGTCTCCTTGGCGTAACATTCTTTGGGTGGGCGGGGGGGAGGTGACTTGGCTGATGTTCCGCTTACGGCTGGGTACTACCTGGTTTGAATCGGAGTCCGATGAGTCCGAGGACTCGGAGTGACGGGGTCGTTCCTGGGGCGCACGACGAGTTTGAGAACGCGTATAGATTTTGCGAGTCTCTGCCTCTGGTCCTAGAGGGGAAGATGGCACATATTCTGAATTTGGCGGAGTTCTCTGGCGCTCATCTTCAGGGATTTGAGCTCGGGCATAGTCCAAATCCATTTCCCAGAGGTGAAGATTTTGCATTGCAGCTTGGCGCCACTCTTGGGTCCGTATTATCCCATATCGGAAAATGTTCTTGGTGTCATCTGCGCGTAACCAGCACATGATGCAGAAATCAAAGCAACAGTCGGAGCTTGAAGCAGTTAAAAATCTTCAAGTGCCTGTCAATCTGGCGACTTGGAAAGAGTTGAACGGAGAGTTAGTCAGCACCATAAATGCTGTGAGATAAATATACCCTATGTATGGAGTATGGAATCAAGACATCTGCTATTGAATGAGGTTGGCAAGCACTCCATAAGTAGTATGCTGTCAATTGTCATTGATAGATGGATTGGGGTAGAAATAAGATTAGTGAGCCAAGCCTCTAGCTTAACTAGTGCCGAGCGCTTGGCCACGAGGCAACCAACAACCGGAGTTCCAGTGAAGGGCACGCTGCGCTCCAGGGGCGACGAGCCCGAACCGTGGGCACTGGTCATGACAACGTGCAATACGCTACATATGGAAGCTGCTGCAATTTACGTTCCATCTTGATCTCATCCAGAATCTTGGTGAAGATACTATCCAATTTCAAGCGTCAAACCATGGGGCAAGCCAGCAGGTCCGAAGACCTGATACGCCAGTTCATGACTCACCGTGGCGGCACGACCAGCCCGGTTGCACCCTTCAATGGACAGCCCAAGAGTCTCAACTTGCGTGACCAAGCCATGAAGAAAGCCTGCAAAGCGGGCTGCATTGCTACCATCGATGCTGCCTTGGACCTCGGCATCTCTGTGAGTGCTGTGCCGGTCGCTTCCTTCACAGTTAAGCGCGATGTCAAACCCAGGCGTAGACAGCCGAAACCTGTTGCAATTGTCGACAGAAACAGCGGCAGCAACACCATCCTCATCATCAAAGCCCTCACGCTGCAGCTCGCAGCCAGGGGAGGACATGTCGAGACATTCTCGCACCTGGTCTCCCTCGGCGCGCGGCTCGACGAGCCGGGCACGTCGCTCGCATCCATCCAGTCCCTGATCAAGCTCGTCACTCAGGGGCCGGATGCGCCCGCCCTGCTACCCTTATTCTTCGCCGGCGACCTTGCCCATCAGCTCAGTCAGGAGATGCGTACTGACATGCTCATCGGCCTGCTGAAGGGGTGTCGTCCCCCGCGCTCATCAACAAACACCTTGTCACCTGATGAGTATGTTGACCTTGCCAGCACTCTGCTTGATGCTGGTGCCAGCCCGAACGCTTTCCGCGGCAACACGTTCCGCACCACATCACCACTCTCTGAAGCTGTGCACACGCTTTCTCCCGATCTTGTTCGCCTTCTTCTTGACCGTGGCGCCTGTGCTGATGGACCGCTCGAGGTGGAGCCGCCTCCCGCGCCATGTATACCTTTCCACATCCCACTCTGCGCGCTTGCTCATGCCTTGGCGACCTCGATAACAAATCCGCCTGTTCGGGCAGCTCTCATGCAGATAGCGGAGGTGCTGTTGGACCATGGCGCCGACATGAACATTTGTGTGCCATACCTCCAGCACGGTAGTTCGCGTGTCTCCTTCACCAGTCCTCTCCTCGTCTTCCTTGACGCGGTTGACTGCTGGGAAGGCTATGATAAACACAACAGCAGTAGCCCTCATATTTCTGACGTGCTCCAGTTCTTCTTGGACCATGGTGCAAGCCCCAACGGGCGAGAGCACCCAGCCTATAATTCTAGGAACTCTCACATCACGCATGCAGCACTGCTGCACACCGGCCACTACCGTCTTGGACCGCCGCGGGATGACTACATCCAGGAGCTGCTAAGGGAATGGGGCGTGGGCAGCTTGGTATCCCCAATCTTCGCGTCAGCGTTAACGCTGCTGGCGGGCCACTACGCCCCCAGAAATGGGATCTTCGGGATTCGCGCGACGGCTAAAGCCCTGGCGAGGTACGACTACCGCACCACACCAGGGTCACTGTTAGGCGAGGACGAGGCTGTTCTTGCCGGCTGGAAGCGCGTCATAACCTCCGTCGCCAGCTCGCTCACCCCATATGAGCTGAATGAATTTCTCTACACCTACGTCGTCCACAAGGCGACGTGCCCGGGTGCTAATTGGATTTTTTACTTAGACCGTCACGAATCCGAGGAACATCCGATCGAGGACCTCGCCCGGGCGACGGTCGAAGCATTGCTCGCTGTGGGCGCTGACATCAACTACCGCCACCGGAAAGTAGTCCCAGAAACCCAACAGCAGCTACGAGAAGAGAAACGAGGGGGGTCAGGAGACAGCAATCCAACGGCACTGCACACGCTCTGCCTCTGGCTGGCTGGTAGGGCGGATGAGAAGCTCGAGTGGCCAACCGGTGGCTGGGAGCCTAAATGCGCCGGTTTCAGACACACAGCACCGCGCGTGGCTTTCATCCGGTTCCTGGTTAATAAGTGTGGTGCTGACCCCCTCACTACGTACCAAGGCCGGACCCCGGCTGAGATTCTGGTGCAGCTGAGGCGACCGGAACTTGATGCTGAGGAAGAGGGAAGGCTGAAATTCCTGGATCAGTATGACCCTTCTGTGGTCAAGGGGGCGCGGCTAGAGTTGGTGACTTTGCTTGAGAGGGCCGCCGCCCATACATAAGCTTCATGTTCGTAAAGGCTGTCAACCAATACTGATAACATGTGGCAATGTTTCTGGGTGTCAGATATGTATGTCTTGTCGGAGCAGAGTGGTAAACATGTCTTAGTGCTGATGGTACTCTGTACTATCTTCCTGAAGCGCGATTGATGTTACGTTAGAATTATATGAAGAGGGGATGTTGGCTGATCTTGCTTGCTATCTCCTCGAGTTTGAGATGCTCAGATCCGAGTAAAGGAATTTGAGATCTCCTCCAAATTGTTGCAATTGATAGATTGATTAGAGAGAAAATGGAGGGTAAAGGAAGTCTTGACATTCCAGATCTTGAAGCCTCCTGCCCTGAGAGTGATGTCAGGAAAAGAAGCATGACATCAAGACACCATCCCCCATCTCCTCCTCCATTCGTCCCGTAGTATGGCGGATCTTCGTCCCAAACCCACTGATTTGTCGACCGTTTTTTAGTGCGAGGCGCAACATTTCCAGCAATCTTTCTATATTGATAAACACTGTCAGCTTCGGGTCGTCCTTTCACTCCCTAACTTCAGAGCGGGGAGTTTGATGTTCATAGTGAGCCTCCATTTCTTGGGCTTGACCAAGTTCCGCCATCGGTTCGAGGATTGATTGTACGTACTCCATAACGCGCCTTACTCTTTGGATCAGGATCAGCACGCTTCCCCCCTGGGGGCATGACATCGGTTACACAACTTTTCGCCCGTCAAAACGGCCTCGATTGTGGCATCAATTACGGACCGGTCAAACCAATTCCAGTCTGCCTCATCACGGGCCTCGACCTGTCCGTCAGCGGAATCGCCTGGGACTTTCAGTCAGGAAATGCGAAGAGGGACGATACTATGATAACCTGCAACAAGAGCGTCACGGGCGATCCGGCCTACAAGGAGGGCGACACGATTTATGTGATCTCGAAGAAGAAGATGGCCAGTGCGAGGCTGAACGTGCCAGAAGACGAGGCTCAGCGCGCGGCCTTTTTCAAGGCTCACGCCGACAGTGTCCTGAAGGACGACGAACCGAACACTTCAGTTGTGCATGTCAAGCCGACCGGTGACAGTGAGCCAGCGGGAGAACAGAGCAAGTAGGAGGGAGCGTGCGGTGGATTAAGATGGGGTGTGAGAGGAGAATGCAATACGAGTGTTTGATGCAACGGCCGATATGATTTGAGAATACTGCTGTAACTTACTTACATGTAAACTGTCGTTACCGGAATCCATAAGCAGTCAAAGACAAAGTTGTCCGTCACTACAAGCCCTGATAATTTTGCGAGCGCGAATAATAACTTCTCTCTCTCCCGCTCTTCCCATATCTCAAGCCCGTATTAGCAGCTTCGGCTTGAATACTTGAAACCTAGGTAAATAAAGTGAAGAGAAAATGTACATGGAAGTCTGTGGAGAACTCTCGGTGCTGCGTGGATGATGTCGCTGTTGTTCTTCACTCGCCATACTCCGCCCGTCCCTCCGCACGTCCCTCCGCAGGAGGCTTGGACAGGATAAACTAAATCTTAGAATAGCGAAGGAAAAAAAATAGACAAAGCAAAAAAACATACAACAGCCAGGATTCGCTGGTAGTCACACACTCAGCTACTAGCCGGCAGGCAAGTGGCTTCTGCGCGGCCGATTCTTCAGTGTTGCGTGTGCACCCGCTAAAATATATGGATGACTGGGAAGAACGGTGCTTCCAGTCCGATCGGCTTTCAGATAACAGCTACGAGGCCCTTGTCGATTTCCTAAGCGAATTCACCCCGTTTCACGGCATTAAACTGACAGTTGAGGGGCTGAAGAACCAAAGTCGGACTTTAATAGGAAATCTTCGGGCAATGGCGGGTGAGATAACCGGGGAAACGGGAGCTGTCCCGCAAAAGAGTGTTGAATACAGTTTTTATGCGAACGTCATGATAATCACCGCCCGCCTCGGAGTCCTCCTGTGCCTGCTTTCGGTAGTCATCCAGCTCTAGACTTGTTCGGTTGGCCTGCAGTATCTGGTCGATAAGAGTGAGGTCACCTAGCTCCATAGGGGACAGCTCTATTAATGGATCTTTCTGTTTGACAAGGTCCTCCAAAATTCTACTGTCTAGTAGATTTTCTGGTAAGAGGGTTTGATTCCTGGCCTGTAGTTTGGTCTTATTCTGGCTTGCGATATCCTCATCCTTCCGAGATAGAGCATCTGCCAGAGTGTTTGTCTTCCCTGGTCTGAATCTGATCTGAAAGTTATATTGTGCTAGCAGTTCAGTCCATGCTGCTTGACGAGAGCTCAACTGCCGTTTGGTCATAAAGTACATCAAATCGGGATTGGACTCCTGTCGGTTCTACTCGCCATTCCTGGAATGCTCGGATGATAGCGAGCATCTCCTTATCATGGATGGGATAGTTGCATTCTGCTAGTGCCATTGTCTTTGAGAAGAAGGCAATTGGGTGCCAGAGTTCCTCATGTTTCTGTGAAAGCACTCCTGCAGAACGGCCACGCTGCAAATCGGCGAGCACTGCCGGTACTTCAATCATTATCTGAAAAAACGGATGTCCCAGTGCTATACCCCTTCCGAATATTTCCGGGTCTAATGGCAACTGCCACAATAAGCAAGCTCAAGCGGCAAAGAAGACTAGCCGGGAAGGCAACGAATGACACCCAGTCAGCCTAGAAGGTTGAAAGCACCCAAAGCTGGAGTGCAGAGCAAAATTACAACCACCTATTCCTCTCCTGCGCCACGATTCGCAGCTCGTCAGCCCCGTGTTATTGCCGCCGTTGCTACTGCAGAAGAAGTCCAAAACGGTGGCTGCTACCATTGAATCGAGCAGAATTAACTCTCCACGGGCTTAGGACCCGGTTATTCAGCCAGAACGACAATTTGTCTCTCATCTAAAAATTGGGGGGCAATTTTCCCATAGTGGCTTTAAGCAGATGCTCACAAACTGACTTTCTAAACACCACATCTGCCCAGTCCAGGTCTGCAGAACTAGTTGCAAATATGCATTCTATACACCTTGTGTCAGCATCCAAATAAAATAGCGGAATATGGTAAGCGCTGTAGTCTAGCCACTTCCTCGCGCCTTCGTATCTACTCTCATATGAAGTGTCAACCCTCAGCTTGATCTCACCCATATAGCTTTCCAAAGTTTTAGAATGCCAGAGCTCAAGGAGCAAGATGCCAACTTCTAGGAGGCAGTGCCTTGGGCCTGGGGTGCATCCCGCAACCTGGTCCGTGCATCCAGAGAATATATGCCTGATAAATGGCTGTGGAACTTGGACATCCGATTGACCGGCTTCTTGCTGATGCGGAACGGCAAAACATATCGACTTCTTCGTGAGCGGATTTTAGTTGGACAAGCGATGATGTTGAACGAGAGCGCCATTCGCTGATTCAAAGTCCATTTGGGGAGGCCCGGCACGTTTGTTAAGAATTGCTCAAGCGTAGCAGTCTGACTTCCCATCAAATCTGACGGTCCCGTGACTTGGTCGTAACTCAGTGCTCTCCCACACAGATACAACTGTAAAGATTGATTCGTGGCCGTAATAGAGGCGAGGACTAGTTGACACAAATCATCCACCGGGTTAGAGATTAGGCTTGATGGGTCCGGCAGGCGGCCAGATCGATGGTAACCACTGCCTCATTATAATGTGATCTAGAACGTTGTTATAAGATACGGAACTTGTGATAAGATATGAGGGAACAAAGGGTTTCCCTTACTGGTCTTGGTGGTCAACCTCAAGATCAATATCTCCGGCCATTTCGTCAACTTTGATTTCCGACTGAAGCCAGAGTGTAGCATGAGGTGCAGGCTGCGCGAAGAACCCAATGCGAAAAGCAAGAGGTGGGCCTCAAATACCTTGCCCTTGTTTTTGAAAGGTATAGAAGGTAGACGGGTAGGTAGTTGCCTAGTCCGGAATAACATTGAACCGACAGCACAGGAGTGATGAAGTGCATTAAGCCCAAAGTGGCTAAGCAGCGCCGGGCCGTCGGTCTATTATCAAATATACTCATCTGGGATATTCGGTAGTCAAGCGCCAAAGGATTCCATGGTATCAGTCCCACCAGGCTCCGAGCTCGCCCATGGTTATGTCCGTTGAGATACAGAACAGTGGAAGACTGAGTTTATTCAAAGTCCCAACAGTTGTTGAATCTATGACTATGACTCTACCCGCCAAGCTTCCATCAAACGCACCATGGGTTGAGGTCTGTTTGACATCATGACTTAACAGTACACAATATATAAAGGTCGTTCACAAGCCCTCTCCCAACGTCCTTCAGATCGCAAAAGGTAAGATAAATTTCCCTCTCTTTTGAATCCTGACTTCCCCTTCCAAAATTTGCTCCGCCTGGGATCGTGGCTTCTGTTGAAGGTATCTACAGAGAGGTCAGCCTCCCTGTAGGTCATACCACTAGACCAAGACAGACCCCGAGGTGAAGTGGGAAACTCTCAAGCACCCCAAAAGGCCTGGTAGAAAAAGTTGATATCATCACTGGCTAATACTAGCCTCAGAGTAGTCATATTGTTTCTGTCATCGGCCGGGCATTCTATTGAGTACGTGGATACATCACACGCACCTTGCAAATAGGCCTATAAGTTGAGCGATCTGCCCCGTTCGCTGGGTGGATACTGAGCCTGCAGGCAGCGAAGAGGATGATGACACCCTTATTACCAAGCCAGTTGATTTTCAGACTCGGACTTTTGCTCGAACGTCTGAAATTACCTGCCTGCAGGCACTTGGTTCTTGACTGACTCTTCGACTGAGGTTCCTGTATTCTCCCAGCGGCAATGTCATGTCGGTCCCGTGCAGGGCCGATTTACCTATTGATTTGTTGTCAGCCCACATCATGGTGATGGCATCCCCAGCATTCTCAAGTTTACTGCTTGATGGAAGCTTGCTTGTCCATACCTTGTTGCCCTTGCGTTATATCATGTTCTATGAGCCGATGAGGCTGCACAAGCTGAGGCCCGGTGGGTTGACCAAGCCTTCTCTTTGAGGTCTATTGCAATGAGTTTGAAAACTGAAAAATATATTCCTAAAAAGGAGGGATCAGGAGACGGCGGGGGGAGGACGGGTTTTCAGTTCTCCTGGCATGAATTTATTCTCTATTGCTCTACAGTCTGCTTAGGAATGTATGACTCCTGAAAACGAAGGAGCAGTCTACTATACTCGAGGCATTCGAGGCAAGTTTAGCATATGCGGTAGTTGGACGCTATGTACTTCCTTATTATGAGACAGTTGTTGCTACTAGCTGAAAATATTTTGACAGGTTCTTTCCCTACAAGCATCCCTTTAGAGCATTCCTTCTATGCCCTATTCATGTTATATCAGTTTGTGAGGTATTAGATATTAGCTTGATGATGCTGGCCGTCTGCTCAAGCTACATATGAATGCTTCAGTCTAGTTTAAACACGGGAATTTGATATACCATATTGATTGCTATCTCAACTATTAGTGTATAGAGCTAAAGGTGAATAGAGACACATAACCAACAAGAATGGAAATACTCTACCATAACTCCCACTAGCTTGATAAAGCACGGAAAGCACAGTGCATATGGTTATTTCAATAATCAGTCACCACCGCCACATCTCGTCTGGGTTTTTTTTGGGCCAAACTACTTTACTCTCATCGTCTTTGCTCCACCATCCCCTCCCTCCCTTCATCCAAATCTTCGATCGTGCGGCCCAGGATTCGCTCATCTCCGCATCGCGCAGTTCCACTTTCCTTCTCCTCTCTTCAGGGCAATGATCTGCGTGTTTGAAAGGTTCACTGAATAAATTCCATGTCTGAAGCCTGGAGTTATCCCACATGACATAACCCTTCCTTCGGACTGAGCGCTGTTCACTGTGGTAAACAAGGCTATAGGGATGGTCGGCGTAGGCCCAGGACCATGCATTGTAGGGCCCCGGATCAGGGTCTTCAAGTAAAGGCTTGGGAATCAAAGCATCCTTTTGTTCCTCACTCCATTCTGATAGAGGTTCATTTTCCATAATATAGCATTGATAAAGTGAGTCGTGAAGAAAGTAATGAGTAGCATTTCGGTGCGGATCCAGTATCCGATAGCGCTCTTCATAGGTTGTTGCAGTCACGACGCGGTGCAGGTAAGCTAGTCCTAATGAGAGCTTTATATATGGATGAGTTATGACATGACAAAGGGGAGTCGGAGCTTTGACCATACAAAAAAAGCTTTGTGCGGCTCGGGATGCAAGTCAAAGTCATCGAAGGGGACGCAGAATTCGCCCCACAATATATCATGCCTTGCGACATCATTGAAGGCTAGATTTAAGTGTCAGCGAAGCCCATGGGCGAATGGGCATACATCCATACCTGGGGATATCTTGTCGACGAGGTAGTCAAGGATGCAACCTAATTGCTCGGCCTCCCAGAAGGCGAAATCCTCCGAAAATTGTTCAGACCGTTCCCTACGGATCTCATAGTTTTTATCATTCCTCTCGCGAAAGAGGTTGCAGAAGAGCTCAAAGCGGTAAAAAGCTGCTTCGATACGGAACCTCTCTGTTGACGACAGCGGTGCGTGGATCTCGCCGTTGGGGAGAGGATGCGCGGAAAGCGCCCATGAAACAAAATCGTCTATAAAGAATTGGATATGGTAGTGGAGATCGCCGACGATTTGGGCATCAGCCAGTGTCCAGCGAATAGGCGTCGGTTTGCGTTCAACATAGCGGTCGAGAATCTCATTTACTCGTTCTTCGCTCCACGGATCCAAGTGCGATGATTCCAGGACAGCAAACACTTCAGGCAGCAATTCAGGGGAAAGGGTGCTGTTTAAGATCTTGTCTAGGATGGGGGATTCATAGTTGGAAAAGGCAGACTGCAGCGATTCATCCGCCTTCACAGCGTTGTTCAAGCTTGCGATGTCTGGGATCTCACAGAGAATCGCCTGCCTGATCTCAACTGCGAGGGACGCGAAACGGCTTTGCTGAGCTCTCGGGACTTGATCCATCTCGACAGAGGTACGAGTCACGGTAGCCAAAGACAGGCTGGGATATTTGCTCGAGAAAACACGGCATCGGGGGGTATCTCAGTATGGCCATCAGAGCACCCTTTAGCTAAATATAACTGATCTCGTGCCTGTTGCCAGTGTGACTAACTAATCCAGGCAGCCCGGCGCTTAGGTAGTTATGACTCCCTGTTGCTATTCATACTTGCACGTCCATGGGCCATTCATGCCCAATCCTCATGGGTTTGTTCATCCAAAAAGCAAAAGAATTGTCATTTCAACCGATGCAATACCCGTTTCTGATGCTTCCTAGCTTCCACTAACTCGTTAACTAGTTACTGCCTGTCGTGCTCAAGCCAATGGTCTCCCTTGCAAATGAGCACTTTGACACCGCCACCAAAGCCTTTTAAGCGCCAGTAGTTCTCCTGGAGAGACCAGGCTCACTTGGTGCAGGAGTGGCAGCAAATGCCCTCAAATCAATTGGCAAAGATTGTTTTTGGGAAAAGGAATCAATTTACGACACAGCCCCAAGTTACTCACAGGACATGGCGCTTGGAGTCGAAACAGCCCTTTCCTTCGAATGGGAGCTAGTTACTCGCCCATCAATCGTTATGAGCCGAAGGCTGGCCTGAGCTACTTTGAAAGTAGCCTTGATATATGAGCCAATGGTTATGCTTTGAATGCGAGCATATGCTATTTCATCCTGCCGCAGGATGGAGAGTGTTTCATGGCTCTTCTATCTCGAGACAGGATAGTTCTAAACCAATGGATTTTTCGATATCCTCATGCTCTGTTACTCCATATCTCCAGGCTCTATTCTTGATAACAGTGTCGATATGCATTGCTATCCAGTCATTCATGAACGCGCCCTGTGCCGGTCCTGGGCTGTTTACCCATCGACTTTGCCTTCTATGAGCAGCAATGGATGTCTATAAAGCTGGCATTGATTCCTCCACTCTCTCCCTGCTTTACTTTCTTATCCATACTCCATACCAACTTTGATTCTGCATATTTGTTCCCATCAAGCACATACCCAGAAACAACCTTCTGCTACTTGATTCTACCAATCCCTCGCCATTCACCCCAGAATGTCATATCTCCCTATAGGAGGTGGCAGACGGGATCCTCGAATGGCGAGGGAGACTTCGACCACGTATGGCTCATACCCTCCCCGGTCAATCACGCCGAGTCTCGCAATTCCAATACGCGAACGACGGAACAACGGCTACAACAATATGCCCTACGGGGCTCTCCCAACATCCCGATACGGCTCCAGTGCACCAAAGCCGGGTGACTCCGGCTTCTTGAGAGACGATGACTACCCTCCCGGGTCCCGTATGCGCACGGGCTATGACGGGTACAAAGAAAAGGAGAACCAAGCAAAGGCAGCAAATAAATTCTATGACACTGAATTAAACCGTCGCGCCACCCCCTTCGATAGGCGTGATCCAGCACGAAGACTTTATGGCCCGATGCAAGATCGCCATTTGTATACTGAAGACCATGCGGCCATGGTAGAACCAGCCATGAGAGCAAGCGAAGCCGCGAAGCGGTTAGTAGATGATCCAATTTAGTCATCCTGGTAGCTGACACATTTATAACAAGTCATGGAGAAGCCAGAGCAAGCTTCAATGACGGAAATATTGGTCGCCTGACTAAAAGTCACTACAAGACCCATAAACAAGCAGCGGGACATGCATTTAAAGCAGCGAATAATCACGCTGTAGCTGCACGTAGGCATGCTGTGTTCTCTCAACTGGTTAGTTTCGATGCCCTCCTCTCAATTGTCTCTCAAGAAATACTAAAGACAGGCTTTTCACACAACCAAGTGACCCAAGGGCCAAAGTCATCTTCCCGCCTGGGCTATCCATCAAAAGCCAAAAGGCTCCCAAGCGTTGAAGGTCAGTCTAATGGGACAAACAAGGCGGTCAATACCATTTCCCCATCTCGCAAGAAGGGTCATTGAAGGTAGGCTGATTTTACGCATTTAAAGCTAACATTATGACATTTATTTGTTTCCCAACGTGTGCTTTGACTCTATTGTTGTGCTTTGTGATGCTGTTTTCTGCTACATCTGCGCTGATATTGCATCTTGAGCTTCACAGATTTTGTTTTTGGGATTTGTTGGAGTTTCCAGTAGTCAGGGCTTCCTTTGGCTTGTTGCTATTGTCGTTGTGCATTTGTTGACTTTTCAATTGTTTGCACTGCTTGTTTTGTTTGTTGGAGTTTCTAGTAGTTAGGGCTTTCTTTGGCTTGTTGCTATTACCGTTGTGCTCTTGTTGACTTTTCATTTGTTTGCACTGCTTGTTTTGTTCACATTGCTGTGGACAGTCCCACTCCTTTACGCATATAAGATCGGTACATGGATGGCTCAGGCATAGTGAATCAGTGTAGACAGGACCAATATGATAACAATTCATGGGGGACTATGGAGTTAATGTAGCATAGTAGCCAAAGCCCTGTAGATTCCGGGAGCCACCAACTAAGCTCCATTGACAAGCATTTGTTATTGCAGCAAAGGCAGCAAATTGACGGCCTGGGTCTCTTATTGTAGTAAAATCTGGATTGCTAGTTAGCCAAGTTCAAGCAAACGAGAGAGCCTCGCTAACCAAATGATTCGTGTTCAAAATGCCCAACTTGTCTCTGCAGTGGCAGGATATTCCGCTTTATCATTGTTACCGTGGATAGTGACGATGAACTTGGACCCCAGAGGGATGAGAGCAACCTCTGATGTTCGATATCATACTCGTTGGTCGTCTAGCAATGCAAAACCGTCGAACCATCAATCCAGTGACGCTATTCAAATCTTCAAGAGACACCGAGCCACGACGGTCTCTACATCCTACTCTTGATAAAGGAGCTCAATTAACCTGGCCCTTGAAGAAAAGAGCCAGACCAACTGGATAGACCAAACAGGCCGCAGAGCCGCTACTTTCCGAGACGCGGTTATGAGAAGGTGAAAGGGACAGTCCGACATTTTCGAGGTTCAGGCCATATCAGTCTTGCAAATTGGACACCGCGCAGTTCGCCCAGTAAGCCAAGGGTCAATGCAGGTTGAGTGGAATATATGGTGGCATGTCAAGTTTCTAACGATGCTGTCATCTTTGAGGACGTCCAGGCAGATTGCGCAGTAGTCGAATAGATTGGTATGGCTTTCCACTTGATTCTAGGGTGCAATGTCAGTAAAACGCGACCAGAGTATCAGTTCAATCACGACTCCTTCATACCTCGAGCAGCCCAGGCTCCATATGCGTATCCCGCGAACTTTCATGTGCCATCCCTGGTTGAGTATCCGTGATGGGTGCCGCATCGTCTTTGCCAGGCTCAGGGGGCATCTCAGGTACACCGTCACCCACTTTTTCTGGGCGTGTAGGCATGTTCCGCTTTACCAGTCCATATTCAGTCTCTGGAAACCGATCATTCACTTCCTCGATTTTCATGACCTTGGCCGCGCTTCCGGGCTGACCAGGCACAGCTGCTCGCGGTAGAGGCCTCAGGCCGAGACCATCACGATTCTCCCCTCCACCCTGTTGCTGCAGCTCCCGAAGCCGACGCTGGTGGTTCCTCTCGCGGTATTTCAGCATCACATAGAAAAACCTATCAACCCGTCAGTCAAAAGTAATAAAAACAGAAGAGATGCACGTACACCAGCCCAAGCAGCAAAAGCGCAAAGAAAAGCACGCTGAGCAGGATATATATCATCCTCCCCCTGCGGTTCTCAGGTGGATCGTCCATTTCTAACAACAGTCCCGTCCTCAAGAGGGCTGGTCTTGAAAATCGAAATAACGCAACGAGACTGTGATATGCTCCATAGCAAAACCTTTCGGCCTGGAAAATGCCCACGAGTGAAGTTCCCAAGTTCAGAGCAGGGACTCATCCAAGAGGAGGAGGGGAAAAAAAACGGTGCCGGGGAGAGGGGCGAATGGCAGATATAGTGCTAGGTTTGGTTGGAGACTCGTGTTCATCTCTCTGCCTTGGTTGCGTCGGTTATCCCGGGGATTCACAGCGATCTCCCAGCGGACAGGGATCTCAGACGGCGACCGATCACAAACTCCCAAGGCACCGCCGAGCTGGCTTGCGTTGCACTTTTGATCGCTCCCGCGCATGGCTGCTTGGCCTGCGAGCGGGGACCATGGGTGCCCTGTCCCTGTCCAGGATCCGCATCTTGCTAGTTAGTGGCTGTGCTTGAGGATAATTCCTAAGCATTTTCGGTCTCTCGGTTCCATCCCAGGATATAATCCAGGCACTTGTCCTTTTATGCATTGATATAGCTGATTAAATGGAGGATGGATGGAATGATAGCAGTCATTCATTATCAGCCCTGAAGAGATCCACCGATTCACCCCGGGTATAATAGTTGATATCTGAAAGCAGAGTAGCCAGCGACCTATCCGGCAAACCAAGTTCAAAAGTAATAGAATGCATAGACGCCCTAAACTCCAATCCATCGCCATACCGCACTTTATCCAGTCACTCCTCTGCCTAGCGAAAATCCTTCTCATCGAATCTTCACCCGAAATCTCTGAGCAGAACCCTGTATCCCTCCAAGCTTTGCAGTCTTCCCCAGCCCATCATCCTCCTTCCCATCCTCCACCCCAGTATTATCCTCAAAGTCCTTAATTTTCCTAGGTTCAGGCGTTAACCTTTTCCTTTTTGAAATCGGCGTGCCTTTCAGCGACGGAAACGATTGCTTGGTGGATCTCGTCTGAACGCCAAACGCTGTCGGCGGTGTCATGACCTGCACGCTCTCAAGAGTCTCTCGCTTGATCGATTGTGTCTTGGCTGATCCCAATTTCCGCATCTTTCGCGGCACTGGAGTGCTTGGCTGTGGTGGAATTGATGCCAGGCGCCGTGAACTTCTTCTCCCAGATAGCAACTGATTTGGCGAGTCAGTCACTGGCGTCGAAATTTCGTCGGCAAACGTGACGAGGTTCTTGTCGTCCCAGGTCACCGTTTTCAGGGGCCGTCTTCGCACGCGCGACGGGTCCGGGGACGAGCTCGCCATATCATCCACTTGTGTCGCATTGATAGATTCTAAAACGATATGAGGTAGCTTCGAATCGCCCCTATTATGTTTGGTATTTGCCTTTGTCGTAAGTGCAAGTTGCTGCGTGTCTGTCTTCAATTTAAAAACGAATTCCGTGCCATTGGAGCGGCGAAGTGGTATCTTCTCTGGGATCCGTGGGATGACACGCTGCTTCGCGGGTCGCCCACGCTTTTTGGGAGAAGGGGTTGAGGCCGGCTTCTCTTCTCCTTCAAGCAATTCCGGCGCATTCTCTTTATCAGGCTCCGCAAGAGGAGATACAGGCGGTTGTAAAAGTTTGGAAGGTGAGGCCTGGCGAATTGATGAAGAGGGCGAGTTTTTATCCAGGTTCTCCAGGGCTTTGCGGTACTTGTTCCTGGAGGAAAATCGTAGCAGAGTCACCGACGCATTTGTATCAGCCGTGTCGGTTGCCTGGGCATGCTTCGCTTCTCGTTTCGCCCGCGCCTCAGTTAAGAAAGTGGTAAATAGTTCTGCATCGTCTTGTTCGAGAACTGATTGCTTCAAGAGTGTCGCGATGGCCGAGGGCTTTTTAACTGGACTCGTCGTCACCATGTATTTGCGGCGGGCCGTAAAGCTCTCCGCTTCAAACTTCGTCGCCTCGAAGGCACGCTTCCACTCTTCGTCGCCAGACTTGACACCCTTGCCAACACATAGTTTCTTCGTGATGCGTAAGACACCGGAGCTCTTGGCCAAGTTGATCTCCTCTACCAACACATCCCCCTCAGAATCCGTCATTTCCGTGCCTCTCGACCTCATGTTCGCCTGTAAAACGCCTGAAGCAGAATGCAATCTCTTCCAAATCTTATGCGACTTGCATCGAGGACTAACGGGAGTAGCTGGCGTCCGGTCCCAGAGTCGAGTTGGCTTCTTAATCGCTGGTCTGGGCGTGAAACGACATCGAAGGTGTTCGGTAGTATTATCGCTATCAGTATTTGTAAAGCTGGAGGATTCACTATAAACACTCATATCCAACAGTCAGTTGGATCTTCGTGGCCTCTTTTTGGGACTTGAATGGGCCGGGGCAGAATGTGGAGGCACGGGAGGTCGTCGCGATTTCCTCCCAAAGATGAGAGCAGCTGGTTCGGAGGAAGGGGAGGACATACCATCCTCGAGGGTCCCACGAGATACGCGCCATGTTGCTCGGGGCCAGAAATGCACTCTGTTGTTTATGAAAATTTTACCTTGACGGTGGTCACCATGTGAGAAAATTTGACGGGGGCAATGCGAGGTTTGGCGACTCTTAAAAGTAGAAGCAGGTCTGGTATGGATAAACTGTGCAGCTATATCATATGAAATAGTTGATGGATGGGCCTTGAATAGCTGGATGGGTGAATAATGAATTGCGCGCGTTGGATTCACTTTCTCCTATTTCTCGCGATGCCCGGCTGCTTGGCGTGTTGTCATCCGATGCGGAGTTGCGGTTGCCACGCCAACAGCCTCGCCATGAACAACTATTGTAGAATGTAGATGCTTGAGTTGATGTTGATTTTTCAGTTATTTGCTAAATGCTCTTTTGGCAGGCTTTTGGATGGTAGTATCTGAAAAGTCAGGAGTTCTGTACTCTACAAGGAACATAAAATGAAACGCTCTTATGCCTGCTGGAAGCCAGAAGCTTCCTTCCATCTGTTCCGGGCGTGATCCACGTATGACGCTTTTGCCTCGGAGCCGCTGCGCCAGTCATCAAGAAGGCTAAGACCAGCGAGTGCGGATTCTATTGATGCCGTCTGTAGATCGAGTGACGACACGAGATCCGTTTCCGTCTGAGCCTTCTCGTCAGGGACCAGTAGTCGGCGGACTGTGAGGGCAGCCTGCACGTGTGGAAAGCTAGAGCTGTTTGCCGTTAGGTAGCTATCGTTCCACGCCGTAAGGTCTTGAGATTTAGAAAGAATGGATTCGAATTCGGTTGTCAAGATTTCCTGCACTTCTGACGGGAGAGGCTCTGCGAGTTCGTTGAGGGTTCTGCGGAATCGAGCGAGTTGTACGTGCAATGTAGGATTGGAGGGGTCAATGGCATGGGCAGCAAGAAGGCACTTGAGAGCGAGAAGATATTTCTCTGCAAGGGTGAAAATGTTAGCGAAACATACGTCTAGCGGTGAAAGAGGCACATACTTCTTCGAATGTAAACTTCAAATCCGGCGGTTTGTACGTCAATATTGTTGGGCGACAGCTCCAGCAACGGGGCCAAAAACTTGGTCGCTTCCTTCATTGGCTCGGAAGTGTGCGCAAGACTGACTCCTAGCGGATCGCTATCGTCTTTCCTGGCGTCGCCACCGCCGCCTGTGAGGGCAGCTTTCTTGGCCTTGATCCTATCAGCCTCTGCTTTTTCCAGTCTTTGCTGTTCCTTCTTGGCCTTCTTGATAGCTTTCTTTCGCTCAGGATTGTCCAACTCTCCATCGGGGCCGATGGTTCCGGCGGGAATTGGGCCGTGGCAAAGATCGGGCTCGTCGTTTAATAGAATGTAGGTTTTGATTGCGCCGAGGGCTGCTCGCGTGTAGTATGGATGTGACCGCAACCGGTCCTCCCACCGGATCATATCAACATACGCTCTGATCATACCCTTACGCAAAGAAAAACCGTGAAAATCAAACTGATCCTCCTGCCAAATCTCAAAAATATTATAAACTGAATGGAATCGTTTGAGAGCAAGCCCGATTTTCCGCTGGCGGAGGTAGGATTCGGCGTCTTCAGTCAAATACCAAACGCATTGCATTTCAAGTAGGTCCCCAAGCGGGCCCCCGATCCCTTCGTTGCGTGTAAATTTGCTCATTGTGTTAAGAGCCTTGTCGTTTTCGTCGTTGCGAAGTTGGTATTTGGCCGCCTTGGTGTTGATATGCCGATCCTTTTCATCCAGGGACCGTGCCAGGTCCATGATCTCTGCAGCTTTAGGGATGTTGCCATAATGTTTCCATATCCTGGCCTTGGTCATGTGGTAGTCAACGAATTTAGGGGATAACTCGATTGCCTTTTCGATGAACGCCATAGCCTTTTCCAGGTCACGGCTAAGGTGGTAGTTATAGTGCTGGGCGAGGAAATAGTATACAGAACTTTCAAAGGTCGCATTGTCCCCGTTGATTTGTTTTTCAGCAGAACCATTAACTTGGCCGCTGAAGTCACCAACGTATCCCTCCACAAGCTCTTGAATGATGTCGCGCTTTGAAGTGTTGGTATATAACGACTTCACGTTTGCAAAAGTAGATGGGATGGCCTTCCGCAACATTCGTTGGAGATAAGTATCTGCCGCTTGGCGGAAGTCATTTCCTTCGAGAAACTCCAAGGGGATGCGTCGGGGGGCGTCACAGCGCGGGAATTTTTCGACCCAGGAATCATAAACTGCTTTCAAAGCTGCATGGTCATTCATGTCAATCTTCTTTGCTTGTATTAGGGCATCGTAGTAGTGCGAGTTTTCGTGATTTCGTTCGAGAAGCGCTTCGTATGCAGCTACCGCCTCATCGTGTCTGCCCAATTTCAGCAAATAGTCCGCCCGCATTTCCATCACAGCTAGCACATCAAAGCATTGATTGCCAACCTCATCGAGGTGTTGAAGCGCCTTCTCGATATTTCCGGATTCCGCGATTATCGAGTTTTTATATAGAATAGCTTCCGAGTGATCCATATCGGTCCTCGGTGGTGGGGTCTTCAACGTTTCCTCGTAGGTGGACAAAACGTGCTCCGCCTCACTTAGATTGCCTGCAAGGTGGTACGCGATCGCCAACGCAGTCCAATTCTGACGAAACGCGGGCTTCTGCTGTAGCATCGCGGTCCGGCTCTGCACATAGCCTGGAAAGTCTCTGATCTGTGCTTGAAGAAATGCCAAATCTCTCTGGATCGGTTGGGATTCTGGCTCGAGTTTCAGAGCAAATCGATACGCTTTGATCGCCTCATCGTAGTTCTTCTCGGCGCGATAGAGGAGGCCGAAAACGTGCCAACAGATATGAGACTGCATGTCGTTCTTGAGGGCGGTTTTGGCTAACGTAAATGCTTCTTCCTGCTGGCCTTGATAGCTGAGCATCAGTGCTTTCATCGCCTGGGTGTCTCCATGGTTGGGGTTTTTGCGGAGGATCTGTTCAGCAGCCTTGAGGCCTGGTGAAGAAAGTCGTTGTTAGTCATGAGGTCCGGCGCAACGTGGTTTCCCTCTCCAGGCTGAGTGATCGCACCTTTTTTATATTGTTTGTTTTCACAATGCCGCACCACCTGGCGGAATAATGAGCCATCTTTGGAGCTCAATGGCTGAGGCATTGTGCTGAACCTGGCGCCTGGTGTGAAGGTGGGAAATTTTTGGTCAAGAGGTGCTGCCGCAGCTCGGGGAGAAACCTCTCAGCACCCTTTGAGTGTATTGATCTCGGAAAGTGTTCACACCACAGGTCCAGGAATGTGCAAGAGAGCACCCTTTTGCAGCGACTAAGCGTATATATGTATGTTCCCAGTGCGCTTGGACTTCCTGGTGGTGCTTGTTCAGGCTGGTGAATTCGGTGGTTGCCCACACTTCGGCGAAATGATTTATCCGTTGATCCTCATGATGTACTTTCGCCGCATCTGACAGTAGGGACCTTGTGAAGAATACCGTTTTCTAAGGCTGGAATAAAGACTAGTGATCTATGGAGAGAGCAGATGATGTTACATTGCAATAGTATATACAGCGTGCTTTTTGGTATGAACAGCCTTCTCATATGCTGCGACCTGGGATGCATTTGACTTGATATCATAAACTGGATTCAACCCACGACTAGCCGGACGCATCCTCGAATCTGGTGTCCAACGTCCTGGACTACCGCTATTTTGTTTGCGACTGTTGCTCCCGCCATCGATTCAGCGCCTCTTCCCATCCTTCGAAGGAGTTGCCACATCGTTCAGTCACCATTCCCCAAGTTCTAGAGCGTATGATGGTCTCCACTCCGCGTTCATTCCGTAGGAGCATCGCCAACGACTCTGTGCGCGCTTCGCGAGGAAAGAATCTCGCCGAGTACGGATCCAACCGCTCGTCCACTATCCGTTCCCTATCTTTGGCGGATTCAACCTGGCGTAACACCAAGTCGGGATCCTCGGGGTCTGGGCTCGTGGCAACACCGGCGCAATAGTTTAACACATCAGACCGCACTTGCCATGAAGGAAAAAGCACTTTCTCCTTGAATGTCTGGCAGCTTTCGGAATCGATTTGGGTGTTGTTGGGGAAATCCGTGCGTCTGGCGGAGGTAGAGGTAGGGTCGAAACCCTGCAATGCGGGTGTTACGAGGGCATTTAGATTTTGCGTGATGGAATCATCAATCGTTGATCGTGAGATGCGTAGAAAGTCTGGAGAGCCGCGCAAGGCAGAGAGTTATTAGCCTCAAGTCCATCTCGCACTGGAAATGTGGAGGTACTATACGTCGAAAGGTCCCTCGGGGAAATCACCCACCTCTTAGCGCCCGCTGGTTGAAACAAAATTGAGGTGTCAGCGTTGGCCTCGTCGTCGACGGCCGTGACATCCCCTTCTTCTTTGGAGAAACCGGCTCAGCAGCTGGTTTCGATGGATTCGCCCAGAACAAATCCAGCTTCTCAAATTGCTGGCACACGAATTAAAGAATTTTTAACAATTTAAGAAATATGTAAGACGCTGTTTACTGACAATTAAACGTCAAGACGAATGCGCACTTGGTAATCATTGAGAAGACCCAATTCAACAGCAGCTCGTTCTGCGTCATGGTTCAAAGCAGGATCTCGATCACGTGGAGGCGGATCGCATCTACGGTTCCAACCGAGAACCAACAAGCAGAAAAGCCCTGGAGCCAGACACTGCCATATGAATGGGGAGTCCCGGTCATTTCAAGTGAATACGGAGTACATCGACCAGCATCTCTCCGTGCAGGCTTTTACATTGGGTTGCTGGTCTCTCAAGCCGCAGTCAGGCGCCTCTGACTAACACATGATATCAGGATCAGGCGGCCTCTTGACTCTTGTTCAAGAGTAGGCGGGTTAACACGGCGGTTTGCCTGCTGTTACGCAGATTGCATGCGCTGGGCCCCAGTCCATTGTGCTGCAACATGTCTCTACGTCGACTAATGAGCGCTATGCAGGCTGAGAAGTGGCATCCAAAAATGCATCCCGCTTTACGGCGAGAGTCTACGCGGAACTTTTGACGGGGGGCTGAATGGCTGGGAAAGCTCATTGACCTAAATAACTAATTCATATATAGGAGCATGCAACTAGTTACACTGCTCGATGATGTGGAATTCGTGTCGAGACATCTCTTCTTCCGCAGTCTATCAGCATCGTTTGCTGCTCTTATAAACGTTCGATGCTAGACCCTGGTCGCTTGAGACCTCGCCTACAATAACCTCGTGCCTCTCTGCACCTTTGAACTCTAGACACTCCGCCAAATGCCCTCCTGATGCTCCCCGCCGATGTTTCACCCGGACTCGCACAAACTCGACCGTTGATGCTGACTAATCTGCTGACACTTGGCGCCAAGCCCTCGTCGACCGCCGTGACCGAATTGCTGGAGGAAACAACGCAGCATCAACGGCAACCCGTCTCTTTTCTCATTTGCATCGTTTCTTTTGGTTGGAAATTATTAGTTGCTTCAATGTGCATCACACTCCCTCCTTTTATTTGATCACAGCCTTGGTCCCGCCAAAGATAATTGAGCCTGCATTGTGGGATCTCCTTGCTGCGCTCACCGTATCATCAAGCACATCCAGCTTTGCCCGTTGCGACCCCCATCACAGAACATTTCGTATCTATTCTACACCTCACTTTTCTCTCAGTGATATCATCGATTTAGCCCATTCTCTTTACTTCTCCCGCATTTCTAGCGCATTGCTGTTGCCTTCTAGGCCCCCCGAAAGTTCGGTGTTAGACGGGTTTCGCTCTCTCCACTTCGTACTGCTTCAGCATCTCCTGTATTGAGGATTTTGTTTTTTTTTGGACTCTTTGTGTTCCTTTTTCATCCCAAGATACCCATTCGGAGGAATACGTCTTCTCCTGATACCTCTATCATGCCTGAATTGGCCGAAGTTGCCCGCATTGTGCATTATATCCGCAAGGAGCTTGTTGGAAAAAGGGTTTCAAAAGTCATAGCGAAGCACGATGATCTTGTATTCGGCAAGGTAGGCACATCCGCGGACGAGTTCCAGAAGTGCATGCAGGATAAGAAAATTGTGGGGGCTGGTCAACAAGGCAAATATTTTTGGATAACCATGTCTGAACCCCCCCATCCGGTCATGCATTTCGGCATGACTGGCTGGCTAAATATCAAAGGCGTACATTCCTGCCATTATCGCGCAAAGCAAGAAGACGAGGAAAATACAGAATGGGCCACCAAAGTTCTGGGAAATTTCAGTTGTCGATGGATGACGATCAGAAGACCGAAGCAGCGTTTGTGGACGCCAGAAGACTTGGCCGTGTCCGCTTGGTTGACTGTCCGGGGGACGAGATCCGGTCATATTTCACCATTGAAAGAGAATGGCCCCCGATCCAATTGTGGATAAGGGAGTGGTTAACGGAAACTTGGGCTCATGGAGAAAGTGGGCCAAAAAGCGAGTCCTCTATCAAGGCCTTTGCTTTCTTGGATCCAATCTCATAATTCAGCCGGGCTTGGGGAATTTGGGATTGGCCGTAATGTATATATTCCGTCCTTTCCGCCTTTGAAG